CCTGATCTTTTTCAACATGGCACCATCCCACCGGGCCAACTCCGGTTTTCTTCGCAGACTAACTACCCAGTGAATTCCTTCGGGGGTAGCCACTGCCTTCTCTGTAGAGTTACGGTTAATCCCCACAAAGATACCTGGCTGCCATCGCGACTCCATTTTTGACCGACCGCGAAGTCGAAACTCCACGAGTTCACCCCAAGAAGGGATTGGTACCCTCCAAGGCTTGCCCTTCATCCTCTGATAGGCAGTCATTCCATCCTTTGGAACTCCCTTGTGGTAGAGAGTAAGTAGAGTGGCTGCATGTTCCACGAGCCAAGTGAGTGCAGGATGGTCAGCTTTCAACTCGACCTCGGCGTGGTACTCCACGAACTCCTTCAGGGTTCTTGCCATTCCTTGGACCATTTGGATGGCCCTCTCCGCTTCTCCGTTGGCCTTTTCGTGAGCTTCCACAGGCGCCTCTTCCAGGACGCACTCCCCTTGGAACCCATTCTTAACTCGTTGCAGCATAGCTTGAACGCTGCTTTCCTGGTCACCTTTCAAGATGACACGCTTGTACCCTGTGGACTCAAGGTCCTTCAACAGCTGGTTGGCTCCGAAGGGATTTTCAACTCCTTTGGAAGGCACAGGGTGTGCCCACACCGACTTGGTCCTTCTGTCCCGGACCACTATCACAGGCAAATCTGCACTTCTTGTGGCCGAATCGCCCATGAAACAGTAATCCACCGATATGGTGGGAATTTGCTGTTCGTCAACACTCCTGCGGGCAAAATGCCCCGAAGAAAGTCCTCTCCCACGGATACAAAACGGGCACCAGTTTCGGAACGGCAGGTGAGTGAGGTTGTGCTCGTCAATCTCACTTTGGCTTGGAAGCATCGGGGTCTTTTGGACACCTGCACTTTGAGCCTCATCTTCGTCCACTTCAAACCCAGGCTCGGTTTCCTCATACTCGCCTGCTGGTTCTCCTTGCTGCGGCGGATGCGATTCATCCTCCATTACACTTGGTGAAGGCACAAGGCTTTCCTCTTCGAATTCTCCTTCCACTGGTGCAATGTCAGAATTTCGGACACGATCGAAACGATCCGGTCCGTGGGATTGGCCAAAATGGCTGGGTGAAACTTTTCCTTCTGATGACTCACTCGGCCTTACGGGATGTCTCCCCGCCGGCCGAAAACCTGCTTGCGCTTAACCCAAACGGGCATCTTGTAGACACCGCCCATGACGATCATCTTCAACTTCCTTCCACTTGCCCGATGCAAGGCAAATGATCCTCCGTTCTCTTCACTGTCGTGGACAATCCTCCATCCGGCCGCAACCATTCGGCTGGTGCTGAACAACGGCCTCTTCAGAGGGGACAGCACCACAGCCTCGACCTTGTTGACCTGCCAATCTTCAAAGCAGATCACAGGGCTGGCGCTTCCCAACGCCGTCACTTCGTGGTTTGAAGCACTGGTATACTGCTTTGGCCCAGAGTGATCACCCACTTGGTAACCTTGGACCAGGGATTCCGGAAAGCAAGTAACAGCAGCTCCACTGTCGACAGTGACGTAGACCTTTTCCCATTCGCCGTCGATTGCCGGCTCGTCCACGCTGAAGATCTCAAGGCTCTCCACGGAGCCCTCGTCACGGTAGTGGCGCACCAAATGATGGGCCTCCTGTTTGGAGAACCCCAAGTCCACCAAGCATTGACTCGGTTTCCATTTCCCCCAAGTCTCATCGTCATCCTCAGAGACGTCGGGTTGTCCAACCACAGGCTCCTCTTCGACAACCACCTCCTCATAGTCGTTGCAGGGCACGTCTCGGCTCCCACATGCGGTGGATGGTGGCTCGTCTCTCTGCTCGTTGCTCGGCATCAAAGATGCAATTTTGGCCTCATGCACCCTGATCTCCTCTTCGATCTCAGCGGCTTCCTGGTCGTCTTCTGCCGATTCAAGATTTTGCGACAGGGTCTTGATCTCCTTCCTGGACCAAGCCACGTCTGCAAGGTTTTCCAGGTTCGGCTCCTCAATCCTGGCCTTCTTTCTGGCCCAGGCCTGGTCTGCGAGCAACTCGAAGTCTGGCTCTCTCTTCGTGGACCCTTTGTCCGCCGGAAGCGGTCGAAGCGACCCTTTCCGTGCGCGGACATGGGCACCTTCCTTCCATAACTTCGCCCGTTTAGCCTTGCTCCGTTGCCGCAACAGGCTGAGTCTCCAACCCGTTCTCTTGAGGTGTTTGTGCTTGGCCTCGGCTGTGTTGCGCTTCATCCATTGCGGTCTGGACCAATTGCGAACCTTGACTTCTTCCAGAGGCTCATCGTCCTCCTGGCGGAACTCCTTCCGCTCCTTATAGTTCAGAGCCCTCATCACCAAGTCAGGCCGCAAGTCCTCCCGGTCTCCTTCGAACCGACCTCCGTATCGGTCGATCTGGTGTTGGCGGCGAGTGTCCACTCCAGCTTTCCACTCGACATCCTCGGTCGAACCGCGGAACTTGGCGTGCCATTTGTTGTCAAGCTCCTTTCTTTCAAAGGCCCTTTCGGTGGACCCTTCCGCACGGTGCTTTGCCGCTCGCACGCGGCTTTTCCATTTTCGCTTGGACAGCCGCACGCTGTGGCCAGCGCGGATGTCCTGTCGGTACCGTGGATCTTCTTCGAAGCGTGCACTCCGTCCTTTCAGGACCTCAAGCTGTTGCTTTCTTGCCGCGATTTCCTCCTCCAACTTCCGTTGACGATCCTCGTCGGATCCTCCTTTGCTCAGCTCGACTTTGGCTCGGTGAATCTCTCGCGCTTCCACCGACTTCAGGTTGGTAAGGAGAGAGCGGATAAACGCCTCGGTTGACCCAGTTCCTTTTCCTCGGCCTTCACCGGTGGACTTTCCTCTACTGGATTCCTCGTCGGACTTAGGCTTGCTCTCCTCCAGGACGAAAATCGCTTGGATTTCAGCCTCAGCACCCTTTTCTTTGGAGTCCTGCGCCTCTCCTTCCAGAGACTTAATCCCAGGCTTTCCTTTGCCTTTGGAATCTTTACCTTTGTTGGATCCTTTCCAGGACCCTTTGCCTTTGCCGTCAGACTTCTTGCCTTTTCCGTTCTTTCCGCCAGTTCCTTTGCCTTTTCCGGTCCTGTCCCAACAGTCCTTCGCGAGGTGGCCGAAACGGCCACACGCGTGACAAGGCCCAACACTTTGGGAACCGCCTTTGCCTTTCCCAGGCTTGCCTTTGGCTTTTCCTTTGGCCATGGCATCAACATCCATGGCGTCCGGATTGCGCATGGGAACCGACGTCTTGATGTCCAAGTACGTGTCGATCTCAGCCCTCATAGCATCGTAGCTCGCGAGTCTGCTTGCGTGTAAGTCCAGGTGTTCAGCTAGAGAGTCAGGGCACAAAGACTGAAGGCATAGGCGACGAGTGGGATCGCTCAACGCGTCACTGGTCCTCTCTTGGTACTGAGTGTAGAGACGTTCCCACGTCTCGATAGCTCCACGTAGGCTCGACAAGTCCTTGGCCTTTGTAGGCCTCAACACTTTTGCCAACAAGTGGTAGTTGGACTGCGCGGTCTGTGGCTCGTACTCTCGACTAAGTCGCCTCCATCCATCAAGTCCACTTTGGGCTAACGAATTGCGTAGGATAGACAGAGTCTCACCCTTGGTCAAGGACACCAAGGCCGTGTGTAGCTGCCGGTTCACTCGAGCAGCATCATCCCATCCTGGCCTGGTGGCCACTTCAAGCTCTATCGCCCGATCATCCACGACTCCGTTGTAGGCTGCCGCCCACTTCAACATCTCATCTGCTTGTTCGTATTGGGATACGAACCACGTCGTGAAACCAAATGACCATAGAGGCCACTTCTGCTTTATTTGCTCTTTTGTCTCGCCTTGGAGCACCTCAGGTTTGCCGACTCCTTTAACATCGACCACTCCTGACTTGTCCTTGGGTGCCAGCTTTGCCAAGGACTCACTCAACACTCTCACGGACTCAGTCGTCTCTTCTCTCTGCACGCCCAAAGCTTGCCTCATCGCTGCGTCTCTGGCCTCCATTGCTTGCTGATTCTGTTGGATCAGCTGCATGGTGTTCTGGTTGGCCACATGCATTTGTTGGAGCATTTGCGCCATCATCACCATGGGGTCTACTGGCCCTGGCGGCTGCTGAGCCATGACTGGCGAGAGTCGAAGCGACCCTTCGCCGTCAGTCCTGCTTGGGGTACGTCAGAGCGACCCTGTTCAGCAGGGCCTTTGGGTACCTCTGTAGGTGGTGACCCACAAAGGCGAACAACCTCTGTAACTTTCGGATCTTCAAGATCCTTTTCACCAAGGCACCCCAGTTCAACACGGGCCTGTTTGCGGTGGCCCTTCGACAGCAGTTGCCCATTCAGGGCTCCGCTACCATGCAGCGGAAAAAGTAGCAACTCACACTTGGGCTCTACCCTTTTATCTACGCTGAACGAAGTCGAAAACGGCTGCAGATGAAACAAGTCAAGGTGAACCAAACTACAACTAACTAGGGGTCAGGTTCCAGCAGAAAGGCGTTTCCTACTAGCGCTTCTGACTACGGCTGTTGCAGTCTATGTTCAGCAATGATTAGTACAACTGTATACAGATGTTATCTGATTTGTGGTTTCAATCTCCTGAAAATAGTATGAGTCAATTTGGGATCATCAGGGCTGAACATATCCAATTTATCCAATGTTCAAAACCACCAAATCTAGTTGCTATTGTCAGTTGCTCAGTGGTTCGGCCAACTGCTTCCATGTACTGTTTCCACTCGAAGGATGCGACACAAAATACCACTGCCACAAAGCCAACATTCACATGTTTCATCTTCGCAAATGACATCAAAAAGCAAGTATGCAGATCCTGCAATCAAAGCAAACACTTCTTTCAATGCTTTACAAATCCTGCCAAAGCTGATTGAATATATTGAATGTCACGGTTGTCATGATGTTGTTTTTTCCCAATCTTACAAGTCATTCCTTGGTTGGCCATGATGCAATGTTTGGCCTATGTTTTCCCGTTCTCGTATCTCAAGAGCCCGGCACAGTGATGATGTTCTTGTCCCCTTGGCAATAGATCATGCCCGACACCTACACCGATCACCAAGGACTGCCAAGGACGAGATGGTGGTGGTTCAACTCCAATTTCACCTAGGGGCTTGCGGTAAATATTTCGAACTAGTCAATGGGGGTCATAGCATGTGATAAACCGTGGTGCAGATGCAGCAGGGAGAATGGGCCTTCTGGCACTGCTTCTACCAGGGATACCTCATACAACCACATTACAACCCCAAACAGGGTGGGTTTCCAACGCCGCGTTGATCTTCCCATCTTTCTCAGCAAATCTCCATGTTCAGTTGAATCATATCCCTATCAGGGTACCGAACAAAGTTGCGTCCTTCTGATTTTTTGGGATCCATACCCACTTTTCAAACACTTCTATCCACCATTTTTGGTGAGCTATTCTTGGTCAATCTCCCAATTGTATTTTTTTGGTGACGCCACTGGCGCCTCCTTATTGTGACTTGTCAGCTTCTTGACAAGACATCCAGTGGAACTGTGATAGACCTGCCCGCGAGCCCGCTTCAAGCCGGGAAGAACCATGAAAAAACTGGTCTGTCTGCATTGTTGAACCCGTAATAATTGGTTGGTCTGATAATTCACGGGATAACTGGATAACCAGCAAAAGATCATTAAAATATTCAAACGGTAATTTTGTGGTACCCTATGCCCCATTTTCAGACAGGTTGAAATAACATCAAATAGTCCAATATTTGGGTGTGTTTAACCCGTATTTACCCAGAAGGAGAATGTCAAAGTCTGCTTCAAGAAGAGGCCTGTTGGTTGGGTGGTCCTCACTTTTAAGCCATGCCGTAGTCAAAGAGTTGATAAAGTTGCACAAAACATTGCATCAACAGTTCTCCGATGCAGCGGATTTTGGCAGTCTTACTGTAACATTTTTTGCTGGGACTTTGGTAAATATTGATCACAGATTCACAAAACATTAAAGATATTAAAGTCTTCATTTAGGGGCCCCAGTAGATTGAAACGCTCACCCTAAAATTGTCCCATCTTCTAGTGATTTTAGTGGAATTTCACGGATTTTCTTATCTTTGTCGTACCTTGACCCTTTGACAGTACCCCCAGTACTGCAACGGGGACCTTCTCCGATCTGAGGTCCCCAGCATGGATCTTCCCGAGATGATCCGACACGAAGAGCTTCCTGCCGCGATCATCAAAGCCTCACCGGGGCATCGTATGGCAGGAATTGATGGACCTGGCTACTGCTCACTTAGGATGGCCACCATTGAAACCTCCATGGAACATGACCATGGAACCGTTGAGGCTCGTTAAAACATGTTAAAACCCATCATGTTTTGTTTGTTTCGGCACCGACAGTTTGCCAAGGTGCAAAAGTCCGTGATCTCGGCATCTTTGTGGGTGATCACCACCTCGTGGGCGAGGCTTCAAGCCATTCTGCCGACCGGGGTGAACGGGGTGATCTGATTCCCCGCTCGCCTAAGCAACAATCGTAGAACAAACCAGAAGAATAAATTCATCACCCACAACACAATTGAAGAGCGAGAGATTCCAAACTATCATGGGATAGGACAATGCGGATGTTTGGCAACAACTGTGAGTAATTACTCAAGACTGCCTAGTGAGTGGGATGCGCTCAAGAAAAACAAGAAACGAGCGACACAACAATACATGTGTAATCATGAATGGATGAGAACTGGGTTGGGAGTTGGGAGCCAATTTTTTAACCCGCCAAGTTAGCAAGTTCGAGAGAAAACATGCTGGCTGAGAACTTGAAGGCTGGGTTGAATCATGCTAACAGTGGCTTTACCAATGAGATCAAATTTGTGGGGAATTCGACTTGGAATCAAGCTGCATGTTTCGTCCGAGTTTGTTTGAGATTTAACCCACACAACATCGTGCCTTTTTTGGGGAGCATGAGTCTTCAAAATCAACGACCCAGAGGTGATGCTCAAAAGCCACCTGAAAAATCAATATACACTATATAGGCTATACATGTGATTACATGTGTATATTCAGTATATTCTGTGGTACTCTATATTATATATATATCTCTCATATAATCATATATATATATGTACGGTATACACCAGAAATTCATAGGAATTCTGTGTATAATATCTATATACTCGAGTTGATGCTTCGGATCCCAGATCGTCCATCGATAAAAGGTCGCGCCTTGATGGCGCCAGTCACAGCCTCGTCCCCGTTTGACAAAACCCATGGGGTTTCCCCTCGGAAAATGATCTACGAATAGCTGATGCAACTCACACCAATATACGTTGTATATATATATATATATCATATAGGTATAATGATATTAAATCAATTTGAATCATATGAAATAGAATATAATATATATATATATGTCATGATCTTGATATGATCATGGTTCTGCTCCATATCAAATAAAGTGTATATTATATTATATACCACATTATAAAATCAGATAGCCAACAACTCTGTGACGCTATATAGACATGTCACCAATCCATCCGAGGACGTTACAGTGGCGGAGAGAGATGTGGTCAACAAGGATGGTGAGATACACATTTGGGTTCCTTTGGCACCTTAAAACAAGGTGCCTAGAAACATCTGATTATCAAATCAGGTGGGTTTTCAGAAAATGGATGGATGAAATATGATGAAATATGATGAAATCCGTGTTCCATCCATTTTCCGTCCCTTTTCCAATGGCAAAACCACCTGGTTCCATCCAAAGAAACAGGATGGACTGAGTTGCTGACATCCCAAATCTTGACCACGTTGATGGTGCCACTGACAAAAACCTGGATCACGGTACCACGGTACCACGGCTCCGTGTCAGTCCATGGCTGTTGGGAAATCCTCGAAGTGGGGGGGTTAATGGGAAAAACATGGAAAAAATATGGAAAAACATACTGCAATTACTAGTCGAGCTACTCAGTAGTTCTTAAACACATCCAAACGTTCATGATCTATTCTGGATCTATTATGGCAAAATTCTGAATCATGAACTGCTTTATGTCCAACCTTAAACTGCCATGCAAAAAATACTGTCTGGGGCAATACCTTAGTAAATTAGTAAGTTCCCCCTTCATATTCGTGCGTTCAACCTGTGCCACAAACATCCAAAACTCTGAAAGACTAGTGCGACCATCATCGAAGCATAGCATATTCGAAGCTACCCACGAGACGACATTTCTACGTGTGTCTGAAAATGGTGTACCCCAGACCCCCATGGTTTCTCCATGTTTTCCCAATCAAAATTGCCAGACATTGAGGGTGAAATCTCCCAGTTTGACACAACCCAATCAGGTTGCTACCATCCCTGGCATCACAAAGTTGAGCACCTTCAGCCGCTCATTGTAGAAGACCTGCTTTTCCAGCTGAGTCTTGGATGGCTGGGAGAGACTCAGTAAGTCACAGGTATTGAACTAAGCACACCTCATTGCAATCCACAAATTGTGAAATGATCGTTGTTTTGAGTACCCATAAGCTGTATCAAACTATACAAACATGTACTGTATGCAATGGTTCATGGATAAGGTGATGTCAAACTCTGTCAAACCTTCAAAAACTGCTACCTTGGCGATTACGGCCCCTCGGAGGCGGTTGGCCTTGATTAAGGGTTCCTCTTCTGTCTGGTCGGCAATGCCGGTGTTCTGGTAGTCGAAGGCCACAAACCTCACGAGTCGATTCGTCACCAAAAAAGGCAGGCGACTCATAGCTTTGCTGGTTTTGGGCTTTGAGCCACACAGGCACAATCCCATATGCTCCATGTATGATATATATTTACCTACAGGCAAATGTTGGTAAATATTCCATATATGGAGCATATGGGAATGTACAAGTGTCTAGATAATTGGAATCGACCTCCCATGAATACTGGCAGCTTTCAAGTTCGCATATGACGTCGGTAGCCTTGACATCACCATTGACATCCCTGGCTTCCCGGCTCGCGATCCACCGCAATGACCCGCTTTGAGCTGGGGATGGACACAAAGGCTCTGAGGATCCTCAGGCCGGTGAAGATTGAGAGATCTTAACTCAGTGACCAATGCGCTTGGAGGACAAGAAACAGACTTTGTTCATGGCTAGCCTCTCATATTCCGAAAAAAAAAAACATCTTTAGTGAAGTGGGATCGGAACTCCTCCTCCACTTACGGCTACGACCAAACCCATCAACCAACCATCTGCCAGGGTTTACCAAATATTCATTAAACCTTCGCTGGATTATACCTGACTCCACAAACAGATCAAAGACTAACCTGTTTTTCAAACGCTGTTGCTTAAATCAATCTTGAATCCCCACCATCAATGGTTCTTATATCCCAATTTTCCCAGATTAATGGTTTATATCCCCATCTTATATCCCAATTTTCCCAATCTTGAATCCCAATCTTATATCAATGGTTCTTATATCCCAATATATCAATGTTTATATCCCCATTTCACATGTCCCTTTGTCCAACATTTGGTCATCCCTCCATCTCCAAGTTTCGTGATCTCATCAACCACAAAGGACTGGATCATCCTGGCGGGCCATCCGCGCCACGGTGGCCCCCCCTTTGGGCGGTGCGGATGTCCGGAAGTCGCTAGAGGTAAAAGCAAACATTGCTGAAATGAGCCATGGTTTCATCCGTGTTCAATATATGTTCACAGATGTTCACAGTAGTTCTTGGCTTCTCGAAATCACCCAAAAATCGCTCAAGACCTTCGTAATCCCAGGCCTTTTGGCTTATTTTCCAATCTTTTCCCCATAAATCATATACCACAAATTACCATCTGCTTATTTAACAGTTTGGAAAATCACCATGCTATTAATAGGTAAACCATCTATTTCTATGGGCCATCTATACCATGGCGAACTGTTAGTCATGGCATCCCACCGGGCTTCCCCACTGATACGTCCCCAGGTCCCAGGTCTTCACGAAGCCCTCCGAGTCGGCGCTCACCACCTGGAAGAATTGCAATTCGTTACGCCACTCGTTTGATCATATGGGATGCCAATCCCCATGATATCCCCATGTTAATCATTAAAATCCCCATGATCATATTGGATACCCTCTGGTAATGACTAACATAACTATTGAACATCACCATTTATAGTGAAATTTCCCATTAAAAATTGTGATTTTCCATAGCTATGTTAAATTACCAGAGGGTATCAATAATGTTTGGCATCATCAACTTTATTAATAGATGATATTGGATGCCAAGCATCATAATTTTGGCATCATGATATCCCCATAAATTGATGATCACCTATACAGAGTGTCCAATATGTTCCAATCATCTACAGATCGGACAAGGTGATCATCAGTTTTTTTTGGGATATCCGCCACATAGGACATAGCAACCACCACTTGTCAATGGTGCTTGTCATGGATATCTATCCCTTGTCAAATCACAGGCCGTTGGGTCGCAGTTCTTTGACGCTCCGTTGGAGTGCCTAAATAAAGGTGTTTTTTAAGCGCCAAATAAGCAAACCCCAGCAACCAAAATATTGGTTTGTAATGTTCATTCAAATTCTATGGGCCACTGAATCCCCAAAATATATATCAACATATCCATTGCTAAGTGACTAAGTGGAAAAACACAATCCCTTGGGCCCTGGGCCCTGCCCGCCTGATTTGAGGAAGCTCCAAGAACTTCGATTCCAACGATGGGCGCGGAGTGGCCCTGTGCTGCCGGTTTCGCCCTTTTCGGGGGATGGAGAGTAGATTTGGACAAAAACACCATGAAGACAAGAAAAGAACAGATTTGGACTTCGAAGATCAAAGTCATGTCACAAAAAATCGTTCAAAGTCGTGATCCTTGCAGAACCCCGATAAACAAGTTCAAAGAAGAATGCTCCAAAGCCTTCAATGGTTCAAACTTGGCGAGCCCATAATCCATCCAACTTTGCCACTCTGAAATAGGATACCGGTATTCAGAGTCATAAGTCTTCAATTTCTGTAGGGTTTCCAAAGGCTTCGATCCATATCGGAATCCGCTGAGTTCCCCGTCATGGATGGTGTGAATGGACTTCCCTACGTAAGGATTCCAGACCTGGGCTGATGTGATCACCCAGAGACTCCAAGGCGCAAGCGCCGCAAGGGGAGCACCCTGAGATAGGTAAGCTGTTTTTCAACTATTTCATTATTTCTATATCATTTGAATATATATGAGGATATCTAGATATGAGATATCAGGATATTTGCTGAATGATATCATGACATCTAGCATTTTCTAATCAGATCGAGATTTCTGGCGGATATATCTGCAGGCTGGGATGGCTTCATAGACCACGAGGGTTTGTCATTCTTCCAGTTAGATGGCAATTTTAGGGTACCCCGTTGTGAGACACACCCAAATGGTTGATGTTGGTTGTGTATCACCCAATCACCCATGCTATCCCCATCTATAGATGACTTTCCCACTACGTCCCTATTGTTGATGGCTACATCTCACCATAAATCCCATGGAAATCCTCCAAAATTCATGGTTTTCATATCATGGGAATATGCAAAATGGTGGTTTCAACCACCACTTTACATATTCCCATCATATTCCCATCATTTTCCCATCATATTCCCATCAATTCCCATCATATTCTCAAAACTTTGGGGGATTTTCCTACCCGTAGGCCGCCATACAAAGAGGTTGTAGTCGTAGCCGCCCGTGACCAAGACCTTCGTTGAGGTGGCAAAGGCCATGCAGCGGACCTCAAGGCGCCGGCGATGGGAAGATCATCTATAAATGGCTCTTAAATATATTGGTATATATAGATACTGTAATATATGGGAATCTATTTATATTAATAATTTTAATATATGGAAATATATCTGGGTAAATTAGAATATTTCACTAACCTGAATTAAGGCCATTTGGGGATGATTCCCCTTACTAACCATGATTCCAGTGAGGTCGCAGTGAGGTCGTTATAATTTACCCAGATAATTTTAAGATGATATATGGAATCTTAATCATTTTTAAGATGATATATGGGATACATGGTTTCTCACCTACTAAACTATCAATGGCCGTTTCAGGAACCTAAACTGGAGGTACCTACCATATATATATATACGTATATATCAGGCCTGTGTTTAGGGCTATGTAAGGGAATATCCCCACAAAATATGACCTTATAGGGTACAGTACCTCCATTTTAGGGTCCTGAAAATCCCACTGATCAAATATATGGGATACATAAATACCAGCTTAAATATGGGAACATCATCTTAAATACCAACTTTTAAATGGCCATTATATACATTGCAATATGGGATAATATATATATATATAAGAATAATAATGTACTGGGAATATGTTTTGACATTAGTAAATATCTATTACCATCTGGTTATTTAACATAGCCATGGAAAATCCCCAAAATAAATGGAGGTTTATAGCTGGGAAAATCATCTATTTCTATGGGCCATCTATACCATGGCTATGTTAGTCATAACCAGAGGGTAAATGGCTATAAATTCCAGGAGTCGTCTATGCAATATGCTGGACTTCGTGTGTAATTGTGCCGCTGGAAACATGGTGGAAATTTCACCATCAATTTCCATAGGGGGAGATCATGGGATTTTTTTTAGGGATTCAATTGGGATTTCATACCCCTCTGGTGATTTAATGGGAAAATGGTGGTTTAATGGGATTTAATGGGATTTAATGGGATTTAATGGCACTTACCCTCTGGTTATGACTAACATAGCTATGGAAAATGACTATTTATAGTGAGTTTTCCCATGAAAAATGGTGATTTTCCATAGTTATGTGACAGTTTACCAGAGGGTAGTGGGATTTGCCATGAACAAGAGGGATATAGTATAGTGGGAAATCATCGATGGAGATTCAAAGGGCTTTTTTATCTGGGATATATTCTGGGAATGTCTGGGATATAGCATCATATAATGGGGTGAGATACAATATAATATAATATGATGGGAATAATTAGCCTATCAAATGGTGGATCCAAATGATTTTCCCCATATATTGATGGTTGACGAAGTTGACTAATTACCCATGACTTCCTTTTCCCAGTGACATAGTTGATAATAAATAATATATATCTAATAATTATAATTATAGTTGATAATAATTATATATTCCAAATAATTATATTGTCTTAATATATAATATCTATATAATCCATCTATAACAAAGCCATTTCTTTGGGGCGCCCAAGGACTTCGTTGCCCAGTGACGCCCATCTCGTGACCGCGCAAGGTGCGTTTCCACATGCCCGTAAAGGCCTGACTGTGGGTGGCGCCGTGGTCGGCTTGGCATGGCTGGTGGCACAAATTAAGGGATGCAACTGACCCCCAAAAAATGGGAATATCATGGGAATATCCTGGCAAAATGGTGGGTTAAATATCAAGTTCATAGGGATCTCATGGGATTTATGGTGAAGTTTAGCCATTAACAATAGGGATACACTGGGACAATCATCTATAAAGGGGGATATCATGGGGATACATCACCAACAATATGATAGTTGGGTGGGTGAAAATGGACTATTCCCTCCCAGCTATAGCCATGTCAATGGTAAAATGGTGGTAAACCAATGGATGAAATGGGGTACCCAATTTTCAATCAAAGCCATATGAGTGGTGAATATTGGAGATTATGACCAGGACACCTAGGAATTTCGCAAAGAAATGGACAACCAGAAGTAGATCTGCCAGGATTGACTGGTGATTTGAGGTGAGACGTCCTCCAGCAAACTGTGGTAAATTTGATTCTGACCTCAACAACGGGTCAACCAAAAACTGCCTGGAATACACCTTTAATTTACCACTAAAAGATTTCGATCTATTCAGTCATGTTGGACTCCCGATCGATGTTACGAAAAGGATGGATGGTGTTGGCATGCATCAAAAGATATCACTCCAACCATCCCCAAGTACTTGGTGGTGTAAATTTCAAACCCTCGACTCAAAAAGCTCGGTGTTTGGGTATGATCATCCTGGGTAGGGATAGAAACAACAAGTCTTCAAAATCCCCAGAAAAAATGATTTTGGCTATACGCTAGTGCAGTATATATTCCATCTATTCCATCATCATCACCACCCTGAAGTTTCTTGGGCGAGATCCTCGCGTTTAATCATCATTTTGATTGATTTCACCACCAAGAAGATCCAATCAGATCTGGGTTGCCGGCATCCCATGTCATGACCTCACAGTGCAGTACCCAAAAAAAACGCGAGTGGCGATCGTCATGTCTGGTATACACTACAAAACCATCCAAATGTTACCGGGTATATAATATTATATATAGTATATTATATATAGTATATAATATATTATATATTATATATTATATATTATATCTAGTATATATATTATATATTATATATTATAATATTATATAGAATATATTGCAATTTCCATTGATGCATTTCATCACTGTAGCGACTCACTGCAGTGTTTGGGAGTCAAAAGAACGAGTTAGCCGTGCGCATAGCGCTGTGCCCTATCACCAGCGGCTTTGGAGTTCACCATAGATCCCTGTCCACTTGAGGGTTCACTGTGTCGCGTCTCTCGACGCTTGCACGGTAGCGGAGCCCAGTCACTGGGCGTGTCTTTGTGATCCAGGGTAAGCTTTCCACCGCTGGGGCCGTGGGAAGAGTCGATGGCGTCCGATGTGGCGCAGCACAAAGTGAGCCGGAACAAGGACGGGGTACCTTGTTGGGATGGGGATGCCACATCCTTCCAGGAATATGAAGAGCTCAGTCTGGCCTGGGAACAGTCAGTGCCTGTTCAGAAACGGTACCTGTGTGGACCTAGGTTGGCAAATGAATTGACGGGCACGGCCCGACGATTCATCATAGGAAAACGACCTGACTGGATTTCCTTTACAGGTGGTGTTGAAGTCCTCATGGAGCACCTGAGGAAGAACCTTGGACTTCCCCAATTACCTGAGATGTCTTCTTACTTGAACCAGTACTTCAGAAACAGTAGACGTAGGAAGAATGAGACCATGAATGGATATATCACCCGAAAGATGGAAATCTATGCCAGAGCAGTTCAATCTCTGGGCCGTGTGCAAAAGCGCTTTGCTGGCTCACAAAGCTCCCAGAGACAGTCGATCTCGAGGGCTACTCCGAGCCAGTCTGGAGGTGGAAGCGATGAATTCCATGACGCGCAAGAACACGAGCTGCCGCCAGCCGCGGCAGCAGATGCCGCCTCCTCTCATGCTGAGGAACCAGATGACGAAGAGGATGAGCAGCGATGGGATGACTGGAATGGATGGCAGTCAGGTTGGCACTCCTGGTATGATCGGGGACAAGATGGTTGGTCTAGCCATGATTCCTGGCGCACTTCAGGGCCGAGACCTGCTAGATCAGCTTCTACCACTGCTTCCTGGGTGACTGAAGCACCGGAACTCCTCCCAGAGTTCGTTCAGGGCTGGTTTTTGCTTCAAGATTCAGGTCTGGACACTGCGGAGAAGAACATGGTGATCGCCGCTTTGGGGGGTGACTACTCCCTGAACCGAGTGGCTCAAGAACTCAGGAATCAATGGGTTGATGACGACCTACGTCGCCGTGACCAAGGAGGCAGATCCACTGGATGGATGACCTATGCTGATGATGATGACCTCATAGAGCCTGACATGAAAGATGACAATAGCTTCTTGGCCAACCAGGACCTGACCGATGAAGGGTTCGCCATTCTCGAAAATGCAGAACAAGAAGCTCAACAAGCTATGGCTACCTTGCGAGAGGCTCGTCAGAAGCAGCACCAGGTCAAGATGTCTCGCCAGTACTTCAGAACCTCTTTCCGGGGCTCGAACTTTCAGCACCGATCCAGCCAGGGTCATGGGAGAAGAGAGTCAACGCAGCCCAGAGGCTCAGAAGTTTGTCTGGCTTGTGGTGGACCCCATCAAACTTCCAGATGCCCGAAACGTGCGTCTGGACAGGCTTCTTCAGCTGAAGGTCAAGAAAGTGCTCCTTTTGTCTCCACGCCTTTTTCCTGCTTTGCTGAGTCGGAAGCTTTGGTGGCAGCACAGGAAAAGCTCACCACCTTGCAGGCAATGGAGCGTGGCATGGCTGTGATCGATGGTGGCGCGACCAGCACTTTGGGAAGTGTTCGCGCTCTCGAGCAAGTTATGATGCTGAACCAGAATGCCAAGGGCAAGCATGGAGTCGAGTCTGTGGACCTAGCTGATCAGCCCGTTTTTGGTTTTGGAAACTCCTCACACGACAAATGCCTTAGCACTGCCAATTTGACCGTGATGGCTGATGGTCGTGAAGGACAACTGAGGGTGCATGCCTTAGACCGCGGTGAGGGGCCGGTTTTGTTTTCAATCAAGTCCCTACGTGCTTTAGGCGCTGTTGTGGACTATGAGAATGACTTGATTTGTTTTCGCCGGTTGAATGATCAAAAGATCATTCCCTTAGAGCAGTCTAGCGCAGGGCATCAATTGCTCCCCTTGACACAGGACTGGTACGATGGTGCCACCACAACTCAGGCACCAGTTCCAAGTTTGAAGAACTTCCTTTAGGGACAGCTCCTTCCTGACGTTTTGCCTGAGACAGAAAGGAAGGTCATAGCTCAAGAATCAGGTACGGAACCAGTCGTGTCAGAAGGTATCAAGATTGAAAAAGTTTTGAAAGAAGGGATTCAAAACGGTGATCAAGTTTGTGATATTGTTGAAAATGCTGGTGATGTTTGTGTTGCGGTTGATCCGGATGTGAAGCTCAGAGACCACTCTCAACAACCTGAACTTTCCTCTCTCACTTCTCACAACACTAACACTTCCCATAACCTCTCACACAACACAGCAGCTGCAGCTCAAAGCACCTTGTGCCCTTCAGAGAAATCGAAGTCCCTCCAAGATGCCGAAGCCCAACAAGGCTCAGCTGGTTGCCGAGTTGACTCAGATGGGCGAGTCACCTCCGAGCAGTTGGACCATGCTCGAGCTCTCCACTCGCCTGGAGGAACTGAAGGAAGAGAAGGGTGTCCCAAAGAAAGTGCGTGGCAAGGCGGCCACACCCTTGCGGGTATGGATGATTCGTCTCAACGAAGCCTCCAAAAAGAAGGCGACCCTTCAGGCCTTTGTGCGAGACAATCTCCATCTCAACCTGACCATGAACGAGAACATGGCCGCGCTGCAGCGAATGGCTGTTCAGAAGATCTACATGGAGACAGACCCCAACGAGGAGGATCCTGTTGGATTCGGTCTCCACTCCTCCCTGAGTTATCGGGAGGTCCTCCAGCAGTTTCCGGACTACATCACATGGGTCTTGAGGACTTGGAAGGAGGGCGAATGCGACTATCGCCTGGCTCGCTTGGCAATGTGGGTCGAGAACGAGCAGAGTGCGGCCTCCTCCAACCAGGGGTATCAGCCTCCCACTCAGAGCAACCTTGGCCTGAAGAATCCGCAGAAGCCAGAGCTGACCGCCGACGAGGGATCGGTCACCAGCTCCCAGATCCAGCAGACCAACATCATGCTGGCGAAGCTGGCCGAAGCTGTGGTGGAGCTCAAGGCCGACATGGACTCCTTGAAGGAGGAACGTCCGCGCAAGAAGGACAAGGGCGAGGAGGACATGGAACAGAAGGTCATGAGCTGAGTGAGGATCTTAGCTGTCCGGCGCCTAATGGTTCTGACCCTAGTGTTCCCGATGGCTCAGAACTTAGTTTCCCTGACTGTGAGGGATACGTAGCATCCCCAGAGCTTTCCAGGCAGTGCAAACACATGTCTGACACTCAAGCCAGTTTTGTGAAGCGTAGTTGTGATTCCATGTTGCCTGATGCGCTCCAGTCACTAGTGGCGACCAAAGGACCTGTTTTGATTGAAGTGGCATGTGCACCAGATAGCATTCTTAGCCACGTCATGCAACAAACGGTGGGTTCAGAGGGAGCTGCTTTGCGTTGTGCACACTGGAATCAATGTGATGTAGGAACGAATGCTGGGGTTCGCAGGGTTCTTAAATTGATTGATGAACAAAGACCCAAACATGTGTGGATTTCCCCTGAATGCGGTCCTTATTCCGTCATGCAGAATGTGAACCAAAGGAATCCCCAACAAGTGGCTGATTTGGAATCCAAAAGACGGGAGGCCCTCAAACAATACGTTGGTTGCTGTTTGATTTTTCATCATTGTATCCAGCGGGGTATTCATGCAACATGGGAATGGTCTCAGTCGTGTCAAGCCTGGCGGTTACCCATCATTCAGCGGTTGATCACCAAATACCAACCTTTCTTTTCCATTGTTCGTGGTTGTCAAGTGAATCTGAGGGATGATGATGGTTGTTTTATTCAAAAGGGTTGGAAACTGATGACTACTCACCAACTTTTGTCCCGTAGGATGGACCTCCCCTGTTCCTGCCAAAAGGGTACTCCCCATGTCAAGTGCGAAGGGAAGTTGACTCGTAGGACGGCCTTTTACACCCATGAGTTTGCGAAACGGGTTTGTGATGCTCTGATTCAAGGAAATACCCGGGATGAAATCCATAAAGAACTTCATGGTCATGTTTTGGGTGTCGAGGGTTTTGGGGAAGGAACGGTTTGTGGTTGTGAAGAGGGACAACAGCATGGTGCGGATTTGAAGTGTTTGCATTGTTTGAAGGAAACTGATGTGATGTTTCAATTGGAGAAACCTATTTCCCCTGAAAATGAAGAGGCGTTTGTTGGCTCTGACTCCAATAGATTGGAATCCATCAGAAAAAGGTTGTATCTTCTCCACGCTGCTACGGGTCATGGACATGTTCGCCATTTGATCCAAGCTCTGAAACGAAGAGGGGCACCCAGAGAGGTTATCCAGGAAGCCGAACGCTTCAAATGCTCTGTGTGCGCTGAGAGAAGTAGTGCTCAACCTCGTAATGTGTCGTCGTTGGAACCTCAACCCCCAAAATGGAATACGGTTTCTTGTGACATGGGCGTTTGGACACACCCTCACACAAATGAAAATCACCACTTTGTCCTCTGTATTGATGAAGGCTCAAGATTTAGGATAGGAAGGGTGATAGTTTCAGGACAACGCAAACATGTGAGTGCCACACAATTCATTGAATGTTTCCGGAGTCACTGGACTCAGTATTTTGGTCACCCACATACCTTGCGGGTTGACCCAGATGGCTCCTTTCGTAGCCATGAGCTGAGTGAATTTTGCGACAGAAACCATATCTTTCTGGATTTGGTGGCCAGCGAGGCCCATTGGAAGATTGGTATTTGTGAACAAGCAATCAAGGGCGCGAAGTCCGTCATGACCAAGCTGGTTATGGATGATCCCGATCTGTCTCCTCAAGAAGCCCTTGCCGAGGCGACTCGAACCTTTAACAATCGAGAACTGGTTCGGGGATACTCCCCAATACAGCACGCTTTGGGTCGTGCACCGGATGAACTAGGCCGGTTTTTCGGCAGTACCGTAGGGGCAAGCCCGGATTTTCTGGTGGAGAACCCTACAGGGGAACTACAGCGAAATTTAGCAAGGATGAAAATAGCCGAGGAGGCCTTTTTGGACTGGACAAACAATCAACGACTTCAGAAGGCAATGCTCTCCAAGTCGAGGAGGCGACTGAATTTCCTCCCAGGTGACTTGGTGTTTATCTGGCGACATCAACTGCCTCTCAAGACAAGTGGTAGAAACACAGCAGGCAGGTTTATTGGACCAGCCCGAATTTTGGCAGTAGAAAAACGCAGAGACCAGAATGGTGATCTCATTGCCGGCTCAGCCGTGTGGGTAGTGCGAGGACGTAGGCTTTTGAAATGCTGTCCTGAACAGTTGCGCCATGCATCTCAACGTGAACAATTGTTGGAAGAACTGCATTCTGAATCACCAACGCCTTGGGATTTTACCAAGGTGGCTCGAGAACTGGGTGGAAACGACTATGATGATGTTTCAGCGGAAATTCCACCCGATGAAGAATGGCATCGAGCAGCTGACCCAAGTTTGGAATGGCAACCACAGATTCGCTGCAGAGGAAAGCGTGCAGCACCAATGTCCACTGACGCAGATATGGGCATACTGGAAGGGTCACACCGGAGCTTTCCCAGTGATTTTCGGGAAGCAGACTCTTCCAGTGCTCGTCCCAGTCAACGGCCAAGACAAGAGCCGGAAGATGGGTTCCTGGTTGCACCGCCCTGGTGGGAGTCAGTTACCACCGCCAAAGATAGTCAAGGTGCTAGTTTTTGGGAATCTTCATTTGCAGCAGTGGAAGTGGGAGTGGACATGCCATCCACGAGAAATCAATCTGAGAAGGCACTCAACGATATGTCAGCTTTTCTGGCAGGAGCTTTGAAGAAACGAGCGGTGGAGGTGAGCGAGAAGCATCTCACCAAGGAAGAGTTGGCCGAGTTTCAGAGTGCAAAAGCAGTAGAAGTCACAAACTTTCTGGCAGCAAAGGCTTTTGAGGCCTTACCTCCGGATCTGAAGCCGGACATGAGTCAGGTGGTAAAGATGCGGTGGGTGTTGACATGGAAACATCGTGAAGATGGTACCCGAAAAGCAAAAGCCCGAGCTGTTCTCTTGGGCTTCCAAGACCCTAAGTATTCTGAACGAGCTACCATGGCACCAACCACCACACGTTTGACCAGACAACTGCAACTACAGATTTCAGCTCCCAAAGGTTTTCGACTTTGGAAGGGTGATGTGACAGGAGCCTTTTTACAGGGCCGACCTTATCCAGACGAATTATTTTGCCTGCCATGTCCGGAAATCCTTACAGCCATGGGTTTACCCACTACTGCTTTGACAAGAGTAAAAAGGGCATGCTACGGTCTCGTGGATGCACCACTGGAATGGTACAGATCGGTCAGCACCGCTTTTCAAAAACTGGGTTTAACACGAACTTGGTCGGATCCTTGTTGCTGGGTTTTTGCCCCACATGGAACGGTCCGAGGAATCATCTCAGCACATGTTGATGATTTCGTTTTCTCTGGCTCAGATACAGACCAAGAATGGCAAGACATACTGCAAGCCATCAGAACCGAGTTCAAATGGAGCGACTGGGAAACCAAAGCGTTTACCCAATGTGGAGTGTACATAGAGCAGGATGCTGACTTTAGTGTGTCTCTATCGCAGGAGAAATATGTGGATGAGCTTAAATATATCAATATTAGAGCCCACCGTAGGAAGGAGAAACATGCTGAAACTGATGACTATGAAAAGTCTCAACTCCGATCCTTACTGGGGGGAATCTCATGGCATGCTCAGCAGGTGGCCCCACATTTTTCGGCTGAAGTTGGATTATTGCTTTCTGAAATCAATCGCAGTACGGTTGAGACTTTAAATAAGGCCAATCAACTGTTGCACCAGGTCAAGAACATGAGGTCCCACAGGTTGAAGGTGCATAGTCTGCCTCTTGATAATTTGGGCCTTTTTGCATGGTGCGATGCAGCAAAACAGAATCGATGTGATGGTAGTAGCACTGCTGGAATTGTCATCGGCGCCAGCTCCCTCAATTTGCTGCAAGGGAGCGTTGAATCTGTGTCTTTGCTGGCTTGGCACTCATCAAAGATCACTAGGATTTGCAGGAGTCCTGGAAGTTCTGAGGCCATAGCGGCAGTTAATGCCGAAGATTTGTTGTATTTTGTGCGTTTCCAATTTCAAGAAATGTTGGGTTCCAAAGTGAACGTTAGAAACATCAACGAGGTGGTCAACCAGGTAGCAGGTTGTGTAATTACTGATTCACGAAACGTATATGATAAACTTTCAACTGAAGTTTTGTGCATGCGTGGAGCTGAGAAACGAACGGACTTGGAACTCTTGAGTCTTAAGGAAGCACAGGTATCCAACCACGTGATCATTCGGTGGGTACATTCAGAAGCTCAGCTTGCGAACTCTTTGACGAAATCTAAGGAAATGCGGCAGCTGAACTTGTTCTATGACATGAAGCACTCATGGTGCATTGTGGAGGATGAACAGATGAGCTCAGCCCGGAAGCGCAAGCAGCAGGGCATCGGCACTTTTACAAATCGAACTTCCAACAGAACCCCTGAACCTGAAACGAACCAGTCTCACTCTGAGCGGAACTGATGGTGCGTTTTTCTCTTTTTGTTGTTGTTTTTCTTTCAAACTTTGATACCTTCGAACCAATGTCGGGGGCATGCAATTTCCATTGATGCATTTCATCACTGTAGCGACTCACTGCAGTGTTTGGGAGTCAAAAGAACGAGTTAGCCGTGCGCATAGCGCTGTGCCCTATCACCAGCGGCTTTGGAGTTCACCATAGATCCCTGTCCACTTGAGGGTTCACTGTGTCGCGTCTCTCGACGCTTGCATATATATACTATATATATATACTATATATATACTATATATATACTATATATATATACTATATATATACTATATACTCGATATCATATATATAATATAGTATATACTATATATTATATATACTATATATATATGATATAGTATAATATATATATATGTATATGTATAGGGGCCCCCGAATAGATAGCACAAACGGTACAAGCACTAAGATGGCATCGATGAGATTTCAATCTCATATGTTGGTTCAGTGTGTGCCATCTATCGGGTCACGACAAAATGCAAAAAATCTGCTATTTGTAGCGATTTGGAAAAGCCATCTTAGGGCACTATATATATATATGTATATATAGATTATTATCCCCTGAATATGGTGTGCCATCTTTGCAATCTAGAATAGAAATCTCTATACTTGTTAAACAGGCCAAGTATACAAGTATCCCGTGGGGTATGCCATCTATAAACCCCTAAATCCTGTACACCACATGTTTGCTGTTTTTTGAGCTTAGATGGCATTTTTGATGCTTTTTACATATGCCAACTATTCGGGGGTCCCTATATAGTATAATATATATATAGCATATAATATATATATAGTATATAATATATATATATATATAGTATAATATATATATGTAGTATATATAATATATATATATATATTATATATATTACTATATTAATATATACAATAATATACGTAATATATATAATATATATGTGCATCGGGATAGGTATGTATCATATAGTTTTCAGATTTCATAATTATATATGTTTCCGGATTTTATATAAATTTGAGAGATAACCACTTGAGATAGTCACCTGAGATTCATAAAGATATGCAAGCACCTCTCACAGCAGCCTAGCTGTAGCTAGACAAACGCCATTCAACGGGAACATCTCATATAATATGACACCACCTGATATGCAAGACGATTCACCTCAAATTCCTCCAGCAAAGGTAGATTGGACCCAGAAACATGCTACATCTATGGAATCCCCATGTCCTACGAATGTTTTGCAGCTTGGGACACGGCGACCCGCAGCCGCTGCCAGTCTTTTTCACACATCAACTTGGGTCGCTTCTCAGAAGGCATCACAGAGGCCTCGTCTGCCTCGCAGCGATCTCTGTCGAGACGTTTAGCATGTTTAGTTTAGTCATCAAATGTCATCAATCAATGGCCTTTTGAGTTCAATTAAAAATTGTATTTTTTTTCACTTCACGGACTGTCAGTGAATCCTGAGATCCATGGAAAATCCACAACAAACTGCATGGAAATATGATAGACACTACAGATATCTACAGATTACTACAGTATTTCCATACGCAATCCATCCTACTCCTACAGTAGGGCTCCTAAATGTTGCTACTGTGGGGACCGGTTCCATGGAGCGTTCGAGGCAGTGCCACTGGCTGGCGAAAGATCTTAAACAATCTTAAACATATCTTCAGATGCCATTGGATATGTCAAACACTATTTTTTTTTGATGGGAAAATATGGGAACATCATCTCAAATGATTCTGAAAGGCTACTATTGTGGTGATTGGCTGGTCAAAATCAAGGTACCCTTCTCTTCACATCACAATAGCTGAGATTCATGGATGTGAATTCCCTCCTTGTTTATGGCATCATGGGTGAAAAAACCGTGATCCCGGTAAACGGTGCATGAATAGAAGGGGAGCTACCGACGGGTTGGATCCACAGCCTCTGGGTATCAAGATGTATCAAGATTGGTTTGGTTTGATGCTGTACTGAAAAGTAGTACATTTGGCAATTTCATATATTGAAAATCACCATTTTTAGTATGTAAAACATATATTAAATCATCTTTTACCCTCTGGTAAATTAACATAACTATGGAAAATCACCATGTTCAATGGGTAAATCCACTATAAATGGCCATTTTCAATAGCTATGTTAGTCATTACCAGAGGGTAAATGGACAATTTTTCCATCTGCATAGCTATGAATTCCCCAAGACCTGGGCCCCTTGGCACCCCTTGGCCCGGCCTCTTCTCCAACCGGAGCGCGAAAGCAAACACAAAACCTGGACGCCACGATCATCTTTCAAGTCAAAGGGAAACCGTGTACAATTAGATGAGCACATATTATTGCATATTTAAATGAGTTATACATGTAAAAATATATATATATATTATTTTATATTATTATATAATATATATTATATATATCTGTTATATATGAATATATGTAAACCGGTGTATCTTGTATGTCTATGTTCACTTGCTGTACACAACCGACCTCTTGAGTTTCTCAATTGTCAGTTAAGGGACAAGCCTTGCCTGCGCCAGCAACCAAAGGTGCCATAGGGATCCATAATATATCCACCCCCATATATCAGTTTTTGAAATGGTTTTACCTATTCTTGTTATTTCTTGTTGTTTCCGGTTATTCTGGATGTTTTGTGCTACCCGAAGGGCTGCGACTCTTAAGTGACAAGATACATGTGCCGCGTGGGTGCCACATTTCGCACCAACCGCACCGTCAAAGCAACTTGGTGACCTCGTGGCACACAGCAGTGACAGGCGATGGAAAAACACAGGCTGGACGAGACGAATCAAGAGCCGTTTCATCATCCAAACTACTGCCGGGAGATACACATGATGCATCAGCACATACAATCACAAACGTGCACAGTATCCATATACCGTACATAAAATAGGCATGCTATCTGATATCTTAATGATTATATGATCACCTTTATGATTATTCTCAAAGTATTGGCACATATTGGCACTTCGGTTCCTGCCTCCATCACATGCAAATGTATGCGAATGTGCCTCAAAATGCCTCAAAGTTGAGGATTCAAGACTTCCCTTGTCCTTCAAAATAGACTTTGCATACACATACATACAGTGACATATGTATATATATATATGCTAACCCCCCCCCTGATACCTACTTTTTGCTGTTAATTCCTTCCTTTCTTCGTAACTACATCTGTGCTGGCAGCAAGTCATTTGCAAGAACCATGTGGGTTACATGCTTGAGGGAGCGTGGGTTCAAAAGGATGAAGCTATGAAGGCTTTGCACAAAGTGCTGCGTTACAAGTTCTCACTTGGGCAAACTACAGCAAGTACTTTGCACGAATCACGGTCACATGCTTGAGGGAGGGTGGGTTCAAAAGGATGAAGCTATGAAGGCTTTGCACAAAGTGCTGCGTTATAATTTCTCACTCGGGCAAACTACAGCAAGTACTTTGCACGAACCACGTGGTTCACGTGCTTGAGGGAGGGTGGGTTCAAAAGGATGAAGCTATGAAGGCTTTGCACAAAGTGCTGCGTTACAAGTTCTCACTTGGGCAAACTACAGCAAGTACTTTGCACGAATCACGGTTACATGCTTGAGGGAGGGTGGGTTCAAAAGGATGAAGCTATGAAGGCTTTGCACAAAGTGCTGCGTTACAAGTTCTCACTTGGGCAAACTACAGCAAGTACTTTGCACGAACCACGTGGTTCACGTGCTTGACACTTTAGGAAGGGTGGATTCAAAAGGATGAAGCTGTTGAGGCATAACATTATATTGAGGTAAAGAGTGGCACTTGCCTACGGTTCGACGAAGACCCCTGCAACCGCAGTAGCTCCCACGATATAGCGAAGAGAAGAAGCATCCTTTTTTTGGCCATCGCACGCTCGCACTCGGTAATCTACCCCAGATACCACTGTACAAGTGCGCCTGTGCATGTCCACAGGTCTTTTCCTCGATTCCAGTACTCGTACTGGCCCGATCTCAATTGCATGCAAAGCATGCGAGCCCCGACGCATGCCTGCTGGTTCAAGGTCACGCGTTCTTTTAAAAAACGCCAGCATCGGTCGACGATCTGCGTACCGGACTTCACCTGCATGACTTTGCCGCCAGGAAGACGATGCTTTTGGACCTCGACATACTTCGGAGCCACCCATCGAAATTTGTTGCCCACCTTTACTCGTGTCTTCTTGTGTACGACACGGTCGTGTAACATACCTGGGACTTGTGCCCGGTAACTCTTCGCAGAATCTGTGTGTAGAATCACATTTTTTCCCTCCAGCCATTTTTTGGCAATTGGCTTCCACTCGACTTTGCGCACTGCTCCCGGGCCCGGAGCGCGCAGTGCTGCCAGCGGAGGTTTCAGGCGGTGCAGCACAAGCGTACCCGGCTTGCCTCGCTGCACTATGCCACACCACTGCGCCCATTGGACTTGCCCTTGAACAATCTTTTTGGCAAACGTGGCTTCGTCAGCTTCCACATCTGCCCATTCATGTCCTCGTCCAAAGCAAATCTCCTTCTCCTTTTCCAGGACGTAAGCTTCACGTAGTGTATACAGCCTCTTCTGCATGTCTTCAATGGCTTTGTGATTCACATACATAAGGCGGTGGATGGCTGCATGTGGCACACGGTTCAGCAAGAGCAGCAGCAAGGCTGCCTGCGTTGAAAGTGGAGTATGTGACTTGCCCCAATGGTCCACAAACAAAGGATGGGCATAGTGAGGACTGATATATGCCTGACAGTTTTTGGCATTGCACCTATGTTTCGGTGGGCCGCCCTGTCTCTGAGGAGCCAACTTCCCCAGGGTTCCATGCTGACAGCGAGGACAAACGGACCCTTCCAAACGAGGTAGCAAACCATCTTTTCGCAACAGCTCCACTAACGCACGGGGCGAGCATGTCAAGAGCTCTGGCAATGACCTTTTCCATGAGTCTCGATCCCCCCGCACCTGCTTCACAGCTTCAGGATCACGAACATAAGGAACTCGTTGCCAATTCGCCTTCTTCTTTGGCTTGAGGTAAGCAGGCCGTTTCAAAACTTGCCGTGTCTTGCCCTTCTTCGCAATGATGGGGTTGAAGCGCGGCGCCATACTCTCTACTATGGGAATGCTTGTTTCTCTAAGATCCAAAAGCTTCTGGTAGAAGAAAACATAACAATGCTGATCGGTTACAAGTATGCGATGACCACATTGGACCAGTGAAGTGACACAAGCTCCTTCATATGTTTATATTACCCGTCGAATGCTGCCAACTGCTGGGATGGCATGATTGTTGCAAGACAAGCACGTACACACGTTCTATGTTATCTTGCTTGTGTCTTCCCAACAGCAACACGCACAGCTTCTTTTTATCGCCCGCTACTGTGAGCAGATGTCGCTCCCCATATTGTACTATATATGTACATGCCACACGACGGCATTCCCGGCTCACTCATGGAGGAAGATTGCAGCCTCTGTGTCCGCCTCGAAGTCATCTCCATCTGGACCAGTAGATTCTTGCCACTCTTCTACCGCATCCATCTCAGCAGCCTGGGCCAAGGCTTCCAAGTCGGCTGATGAACCATCTGCAGGAGCCTCCTCTGGTCGACTTTTGGTTCTCAGACGCTTGGCAGGTGGATAGCGGAACTGCCCAATCCGATGGCAGCGCAAGGCCGGATTTGGAATGATGACTGGCGGAGGTGGCAGAACAGTTTCTTCTTCCTGAGACGATTCTCCTTCTGGCCTGTCAGAGAGACGGACTGACTGTGCAAGGCGGGCGCGCCACAGCTCGGCTTCGATCTTCTCGTTGGCATCTTTGATGTAGACTTCCGGTCGTCCGGCGGCAAACTTTTCCATGCCCAGAGAGATTGTGCGGACCTCTTGCTGGGTTTCCTGTTCCCACTGAGGGCCATACTCCACGATACCGAGCTTGTACTTGGAATAGAGCGGCTTGTCCTTTTCGGAGAGGAGGTCTTTGTGCAGCTCATCCACCTGGATTCGATGTACTGGGGCCTCTGGATCCTGATTGGGAAGCCGAAGGTAGACAGCATGTTGCCCCACAAGCAAAACCACGGAGCGTTTCAAGCAAGCGAGGACGTCAGCCTGCTTGTCCCCTGCAAAAAGACGTCTGGTCATCTTCATGAACTCCTCGCCCGTGATGAAGATGCGTGAGTCATCTAATGGCTCATCCTCACGGTCCAAGTCATTCGACGCATAAGCTCTCATGCAATTCCTCGTGAGCTTTGCGTCATTGTAGCGACCCGACGTAGTTTGCTCTTCTTCCACAGTCAAGAAGGACTTGAGGTCGGCCATGGAGACATTCTCACGGTTGGGGTCGTCCAGGAAGATGCCCTCGTACACATTGGCCACTTGATGCCGAAAGTTATCAAGTGACTTGGCTCTTCTCCATCCTGGCACAGCATCTTCTTCTTGCAACCTGTGGATATGATACCTGCCCATAGCAAGAATCACAGCAATCAAGGCAGGAGTTTTGCCAACCCCGGGCCAGCCCAAAGCTACGACCCCGTAGCAGACGAAAAGTGGGCACAGGACAGGCAATAACTTCTCAGCTAAGAAGGGTTTCAATGAGAAAGTGGTCAAGGGGAAGCCCTTCTGCAATGTGGCACCATTGGAAGCCTTGGACTTGTTTTGTGCCATGATCCTCACTTTGCCTTCCGGCCAACCAGCAATGGGACTCTCCGCATCTTCTCGGATGTTGAGTAAAATCCATGTATACTGCTCATTGTTGGCATCCGTCTCAGGCGCATGGTCATTGATAAAGGCCACGCCTTGGAGTAAAGTGTCAGTGTCTGGGGACCATGTCGATGAAGAGCTTGCACTATTCTTCGCTTGTGCCTCCCATCTCGTCACTGTGCCCCAGTGCACATGATGTCCAGGCAGGCGGTCCAATAAGGATTGGAAAGCCTTCTTGACAGCCCACGGACCTGGACGAGAGAAAGGAACGTAGGCAGATCCTGCAGGAATTTTCGTGGCGTCCCGAATCGCCATCTTGTCTTGGAAAGTCACAAGCTTGATTACATCCAATTTCCCGTGGCCTTTCTCCATGGCAATACACCCAACCTTTGAGTGAGCTGGTAAGGCATGAGCAAACTGCAATGCAGCTGGTAGACTCTCGATCCTTTGCTCCTGGCAGACCGCTGCAACATTTTCGGCAGAACCACAATTCTCCACATCCTGCTGCACATCCACTAACATCATTGTAGCTGCTCTGAGACCATTGAGTGGACGACAGCAAGAGAGGAAGTCAGATATGCTCATGGGGTTCTCGATGCTGGCACTTGTTTTGGGTTCACAGCGCGGGGCCGCCAAACTTTCAAAGCGCCACTGCTTCCCACCGTAGACCCGCATCGCTTCATCGATGATCTCAGTCGCCATGGTGAGGACACAGAGAGACTAGACCCAGCGAGGCGCACAGCGGGGGCACGATACTATGAGCGTAGAAGCGTTGCAGAAGAGATGGATATGCAGAAGCAATGGGAACGAAGCAGACGAGTGCTGGCAGACACAGTCAACTAAGTATAAACTCAAGTCTGGAATCAAGTCTGAAACCAAGTCTGAAACCAAGTCTGAAACCAAGTCTAAACTTATTAAGTTTGCTACACTTCGAACTTATCCTCCCACCTTCCCCTTCCCTGTTTCAAAGGTTACATGGCAATGTGTCTTGCATCGTGCTCCGTGTCTTCGCGAATGCGCAATCTTTTTCATCCGCCGCCGATGTCTCTGGCTCAGCCGCTCTCGCAGGCTCGAAGCAGACCCCTCTATCCTGTACGGTTCTGCTGCGATGCTAAAATGGCCTGCAACTCCAGCACTTTCTGCTGTGTTTTCTCCAACTCGTCCGCCGCTTCAAGATACGTCTCCAACAAATCATCAAAGTCATGACACAAGCTGCACCTCTGGATTTTCAGTGGACGTTCCAGAGTCTGCCCGTTGTCCTGCTCTCCTGCGCTGCCGGCACCCAGCACACCCTCATTCCAAGATGCCACACTTGCGCTCCCATTGGATCCTGCAACCTCCTCTGGACTGTCCACGACGCCACCTACAGGCGAGGGGGGGGCAATGTTGAGGGCCGGGTTGGGTACGTACTCGTACTCAGTATCAACTTCAGGTGCAACGCCTAAAGACGGGTTCGGTACTCCTTGCCATTGCTCTTCTTCTGATGCCGACGAGGGTCAGACGTGGACGACGTCGACGAGGATGAAGTACCATTCGTCAGCTGCAAGACCTGAGAGAGCGAGAAATGACAGAAGGCATATGATCATACCGAACATGTCTTCGCAACTGTATAATCACGCGCGGAGAACCAAAGTACGTAAGGCGACTTCGGCCCCGAGAAAATAACGAGTGTTAGTGTACTCAAGACATGGAACACATGTTCTGAAGTCCAATCAGCCGAGGCGCAGGTTGGGAGGCTGTGGCAGTCTCCTTTTTGGGACGGATCACTTTGGGGAGAGCCAGGGCATGTAGGAGCTTTCGTGAGGCGTCAGGACTCCAGCTGCCCAGCAATCCGACAGGGGCCAGTCGGAGTCCTTTCTGAATGTTGCAGACCATTGCCGCTAGGTGCTTTCGCGCAAGTGGTTGTCTACTTTCATGTACTGCATGGTCCCCGGCGAGGACTTGATTCAGCAGCATTTGTAGGTTGTCTGCAGGTCCCCCACCAGGTCCCCCAGGAGCCGCCGCGCCATCCTGTGCCACCGACAAGACAACAACGGCCTGATTGTCGCGCAGAAGCACACTTCCGGCAACGGGGATCGACATGAGGCCGGATGCGATGACACGAGGATACGAGATCTCAACAAGCCAAGAGCGAAGCTCAGACCGAGGCACACGGACATTGTTTGTCGGAGAGTTTCTGTCTACACATGTGTACACTGATCTCAAGTCTGAACTCAAGCCTCAAAGCCTGCCACCGAAGATCCAAGATCCAAGATTCCCAGAATTTTTTTCTTGGATGCAGGCTGGAAATCTTGGATGCACCCAAGATCCAAGATCCAAGATTTCCAGAAAACTTTTCTTGGAAATCTTGGAAAATCTTGGGATAAACCCAAGATCCAAGATCTTGGGTGCATCCAAGATTCTGCAAGTGCATCCAAGAAAAGTTTTCTGGAAATCTTGGATCTTGGATCTTGGGTGCATCCAAGATTTCCAGCCTGCATCCAAGAAAAATTTTCCGGGAATCTTGGATCTTGGATCTTGGGTGCATCCAAGATTCTGCAAGTGCATCCAAGAAAAGTTTTCTGGAAATCTTGGATCTTGGATCTTGGGTTTATCCCAAGATTTCCAAGAAAAGCTTTCTGGAAATCTTGGATCTTGGATCTTGGGTAGCAGGAATCGAGACTATGACGCTCAAGTCTGAACTCAAGTCTGAACTCATGTCTCAAGAAACTCAATATAAAAAGCTTTCTGGAAATCTTGGATCTTGGATCTTGGGTAGCAGGAATCGAGACTATGACACTCAAGTCTGAAGTCAAGTCTGAACTCAAGTCTGAACTCATGTCTCAAGAAACTCAATATAAAAAACTATCAAATTCAACATATGAAAATAAGCAAATTATACTGTAATTTACAGTATAAATCAAGGAAAGGTAGGTACCAGGGTGGGGGGGTACCATATATATATATATATATACAATGTGTATATATATATATATATGTATATATATATGTATATGTATATATATATGTATATGTATATATATACAATAGGTATATCAAATTGGACTACGGATCATCCCTTGAAATCGAGCCGTGGTGACGCCTTATTCGCGCAGCCAAGGTTCTTGGTACACTGGATGAGAACGCCTGGCAGTGCTAAGCACCACAAGGATTGGGGAGTAGGAGAGAACGTCACATCCCCACTTTGGGTAGCTATTCGCCCTATTCGTTTCTGCTCGTGTTTGGGATCTGGCGTCATTTCGGAACTCAAAACTCAAATCTCCTGTAGCCATAGCTGATGCTGGATATATCATGATATATATATATATGGATATATCATGATATATCCACATACCCACGAGTGCATCCGAAGCAGCATCTGGATGGCCGTCCCAGGAAAAACACCAGCAGGTGGCCTCATCCACCATCTTTCTCACGTCAGGCGATGGCAGGGGCAGTCGACCCCTGCTAGAGCCAGTGTAGTGAAAGCGCTCCTGCTGGAGTGCAGCAGCACTGAGGGAATTCAAAGGTGGGAAATCATGGGAAATCTCCATATTCAAAGTGGACCTCATCCACTAGGAGGTGTTCCATCACTATGTTTGTTCAAATAGTTGTTGACCAAAGGGACTTATGATAATTGATGGTTGGGAGATGTCATTAGTCATTTATCGACATGTATGTGATGTAAATGTGACTCAAACCAAATAATCATTCCAGCAAATGGTCACATTCACCTATTATGTGGCTCAAGCTTGCCAAACGGACTGCCAAGAATCGGCTATCATCCCTTATCCGTACCACATTCATGGAAGGATCCCCTTGCAACAATCATCGGGGGGATGAAATTGAGTAAAACCAGCAACCCACAGATCTCTGAGTACTTCGCATCCAATCAACGAACTACTTGTTCTACATTCCCCATGGTTCTTGTTCACACACCCACTCATATTATTCACATTCCCCTTCCCATTCGCCATACCCCAACATTCTTGCGTCATACATCCCATCATTACCTGATTCTACACTTAAGCAACATTCTTCATGTGTCACATCATGTCGAATCAGATGAAAAACCGCGAAAAACACATTAAGTACATCAAATCACATTATACAAGTACCTGGCATGACCATCAAGTTTCCCCAGGTTTCCCATATCAAATCACCCTAACTCTCATCTGAAAAGCCCAGCAAAATCCCAACCTCTGGTGGCTTCGCTACCCCTCCATTTCCCACCTCCTGAAGCCCCAAGGCTTTCGCAATGCGTCGCTGCAGGTCCGCGACGCAGCCGTTGTTTTCGGAAGAGTCCAAGGCGGCATCGCTGAAAGTGTAACAGCTGACCTGAGCCATATGGGGGGGTTCCAAAACGGATGATTTAGGGGTAACCCCCCCTTTTAGGAAACCGCCATATAAAAATCCGAAAGAACCCCCATGAAATACTGCTTGGTTGATACTTATATCTCAGTTTTTTTTTGTTGTGGGTTTTAGTCTGTTGTAAGAGTCCCAATAAACCAGGCCCTATTTCATAACCAACGTTGCTTGAGAGCTACTGCTGATCCCGGTGGAAAATCACCATGGGCATTTCAATTGCTGTGGAGCTCCCAAGGTTCTGGGTCTATTGAAACTGGGGATTCATGGATTCTATACGAATTCTACAAGGTGGGGCCCCCAAGATAGCTAAGTTGGTGAACATAACTCCAATAACTATGGTTTATGGTACTTATAACTATAGTTACTGGGGCTTATAAACCAACTTATAACTGGGGGGCCCCACCTTGTATACGAATTCTACCATGAATATCATGAATCATGAATCATTTCGGATGTGTTGCCGGTCATGAAATTTCATCCCTGCCTGATCAATCTATCAGACTTGGGGGATTGGTCCTATTGGGTAGGGATGAAACCTACCAATGCATGGAGATTACCTTCATCAAAATAAGTCATGTTATCTAGCCTAAGAAAAAATCAAACATGTGAGGAAGGGTCAAACCCTTTGATTTTCCAACATAAATGAGGGAATAGATATCCACTTACATATTCAGCTTGCATTTTGATGGGAACGCCATAGCTCAGCCTTGTACCTGCTTCAGCACCCAACTCCAGGTTAGCGAGATCTCCTGGCCCCAACATCGCCATTCATGGAGATTTTGATCGGTCTGTAAAATCAATAAACATTAATTATGACTAACCTTTGAATTTCGAGGATTCCCAAATCCTCGCAAGTGTCGCCCAGCAACTAAGGGTCTGGGCAGGCCATGCTTTGCGTAGTTCAGGCCACGAAAGCAATCCAGCAGTTCTACTCCAGCTGCAGGCAGATTGAAGATCGCGTGGGTCACCGGATGCCTTGGTTCAACGGTGCAACAACTGGCGATAGCACAAAGACCCCATCACCGGAAAGCATCCCTGCCCCAGGTAAGGAATGGAAATTCGGAAAACGGTATCCAACCAATATTCAAGGCCAACCGCTCCAAAAAATATCGAGAACTTTTCAATTCTCACCATCCCGTGTTCCATATAATGTTGGATACCGATTAGTGTCATGGGCCTCTTTTGTGAGAAAGTTTCCAAACATTATTGGGTATCTTCTGGCAGGGGGAAAAGAACTCTATTGTGAGAAGTTTTTTTCTCAGATCCATTTTTTTTCAGGAGGAGCTTTATCCACCTTTATACACCTTTTTTTGGGTAAAGCTGGTCCATTTACTTTAGAAAGCCATATCCATGTTAAAGCCTTGAAAATGCAACGTTTCCCGAATAATTAGATGCCTTATTAAACCCTTACTAAAAAACAGCATCCAAACAATTTTTCAAGGGGGTACCCCATGAGTGACCCAGATCCTCAATAATGTAATTGTTTGGATGGTACCCTATTGTGCACAAAAACTTTTGGGGCGATTTTTTTGGGATTTATAATGATTTATATAAAAGGAAAATCAATTGAAAGTAGATTCAAATGAATTGAAGGTAAATTGGTTTCAATTGAAATCCGTTCTTATCAATAGATTTCTTTAGGGTTTAAAGGAAAATCAATTGACAGTAAAATGAATTGAAAGTAAATTGATGTCAATTGAAATCCTTTCTTATCAATAGATTTTTTGAGGTTTAAAAGGAAAAGTAATTGAACGTAGGTTGATGTCAATTGAAATCCTTACAGTACTTAAGTTGATCATCCTGAATCCCCCAGGACTGGTTCCCAAGAAAATGCCGAGTTATTGAGTGGACTAAGATTGTTGAACAAGGGGCCTATACTAATCAGTATCCAACATGTCAACATTTCAATATGGTGGATCATAATATATTTCAATATCGATCATCTTCAACATATCAAATATGGGAATCAATATATCAACATACTATTGGAAGATTGGAAATAATTATCCTACACATTATATATATAATCCCCAAGTTGGAAGTATAATCCCCAACTATCCAAATATGGGACTAATGATGTTATCATATAATACCCTCTGGTAAACGTTTACATAACTATGGAAAAATATCCATTTTCAATGGGAAATTCCACTATTTCTATGGTCATTTTCAATAGCTATTTTGACATAACCAGAGGGTAATGAACTTCCCATATTGGCCCATCATTTCTCCAAGATCTTAGATCTCCCACCTCTTCTTGAAGAGCTCCGGAATGAACTCCCGGGCATCTCGTGGTTTGTGGATCACCAGCAACGAACCAACGGCGGGCGCATGAAAGTCTTCTCCATGGGGAGGGATTTCATCCACTTCCATGACCTGGCCAAATGAGGCTATGGTTTAACCGTTAAACCCCAAATTGTGGCTACTAATATCTACCAATCAATGAAATACAATGTAATGACATGTTTAGATGTGGATGTGCTAATCAGACAAGTTCATTTTTGGCATCACCCCACTTGGGCCTGCGGAAGCTTTCGACAATCAAACACACAAGATCAGGTCAGACAGCTCCAAGGTGCTGTCTAAGGGTGAGATCTATCTGGGCCCATGGCTTTTTGGGCCAATGTCCCCAACGAAGCCTTTAAAAGTGGTCATTTTTGGGACCAGTGATATAAAGCTCCTGGGATAAATGATGATATCCCTGGTTGGTTTAAGGGATGATACCAATTCTGGGACCATGGTTTCAATGGGTGTTGATCCATGCTGAAAATCATACTATATACAGTAAAATAACAAGTCATGCCCATGCATTGTCATGTATATATATATTTATACGTACATAATTGTATCATTATATATCCCGATATAGCCCCATACATCCCCATATATTCCATATATGTTCATTTATCCCTATATGTCCAAATCCATTGGACTGGATGCTCCTATTTGTTTTGGCGTCGCCTGCGGCAGCTTATTGATCTCCACGCTCTTGCGCAGCCACTGGATGGAGGCGGGATTCAGGTCGTTGGCGTGAGAAACCAGGCTGTTGGTCAGCTTGACGCTGGGAATGGAAAAGGGTCCCACCTTCGTCAGAGTCGCTCCGGAAATTCATGGCGGAGATTGAAGATCTGGAGATTACCCTCTGGTAAACTAACATAGCTATTGAACATGGCCATTTATAGTGAGTTTTCCCATTAAACATGGTGATTTTCCATAGTTATGTGGCTGTTTACCAGAGGGTATGATCATTGTCCAAAAGATGAGGAGGTCCCAAACTTGATGGTACCAAACTTCCGGAGACTTGATCTGGATATGTGATATGGTATCAAATAAAAACACGGTAGTCATTGATCATATAGATTGTATTCTGATTATATTGTAGAATATAGGCTCCCAAACATGATTGTTCCAAAGATGATTTACTGGCTCATGAAATTTGAAGATTCCCCCAATCTCACCATCACATGTATTTTGAGATCTGCTGGTGGTGAAATTTGAGCGACCTGGTGGGGGGATCATGAATGCCACTTTAAAAGTGGTGGAAAGGTGCTAATATATGTATATATATATAATATTATATTATGTATAATACATATATGACATCATATTATATTACATTGTATTATATCATATTACATTGTGTTATATTATATTATAGTGTATTATGTTACGTTGCCTTTTATTACATTACATTATATTATATACACATATATTTTAATATTTATATTATATTATTTATATTATATTATGTATCTTAGATTATTTATAGTATATTGTTCATAGTATATTATTCATATTATATCATATTCTATTATGCTATGTTATATTTAGATTATATGTTATATGTTATATTTAATGCGTGTATATATATATATATATGTGTGAATCTCATATTATATTATATTATATCATATTATATTATATTACATTATAGATTCTACATTATACATTAGATTATATATATATTAGATATCATATATTATATGCTATACATCATATATTATATATTATATGTTATATGTTACATATTTTATGGCATAATATTACTAATCATACATATTGTATGTTAAATATTATATATCATATATGTATCTATATCTTACATCAGATTGTCATATACTGTAGACACATCAAAGAAGTACGATGCCCTGCCCCCTTTCAAGCTGGCCGTCTGGGAGAAGTATTTGAGAGACTCAGAACTTTGAACAGCTGGCTGACTGCTGCATCGATCATGTGGTGGTAGAAACTTTGTGTTCCAAACCACATTATGTATATCCCATTATATCATATTATCCCACTATTACCAGTTTTTCCTAGTTAAATCGCCATTTTTTCCGGGTTAAATGACCACTTTGTTCCTGGTTCAGCTCACCATGGCGGGCGAAATCACCTGCCAAGCGACACCACAGGTGCAATCCGCCAGCACCGGCGCCGTTTCGGTCGCCACCGTGGAGGGCTGGAGGAAGAGGGCCTCGATGAGTCGACCGTGCTCCTGCCGAGGCGAGAAGATGTTGAACTGTTTACCCTCTGGTAATGACCAACATAGCTATTGAAAATGGCCCATAAAATTAGTTGATTTACCTATTAAAGATGGTGATTTTCAATAGCTATGTTAGTTTACCAGAGGGTAAGTGTTTTTGGGTATGTTAGGATACCCATAGGATCCATGGTGCTGGTATATATGCTAACATAAAGGGGGTTTGATGGTAAATGTTAGCATATATATACTATACATGGATCCTATGGGATATACAATCTATAGAATCTATAGATATACGGATAGGATATGAAGGATACATACCTGATCTTGAAACTAGGTATTAGGATTGTCTATATTTAGGTAGTGCATTGTAGTTTTATACATAATGCGAGTTTTTCTAGGAGGAACATGAAAAGGATATGTGGCTTCTGTATTCCCTGCGTTATGGCAAGAGCCTGCGAAAGATCTCGGTTCCATCCGTTGATGAAACATCGACTGTTGTTTCTGAAGCATCCAATAATGGATATTGTTTGATTGATACTTTTAAACATTCATCCATTGTTTTTTGCCACAAACGGCAGGCTGAAGGCTTTGGCAGGATCGACAGGGGTGAAGCCACCGACATCCAGTGGCTCCTCCTGCAAGCGAGAATTCCAGTACACATCTTGGTACTCGAACCTCAGTTTTTGCAAAACAAATGACTTAGTGGTTGGTTGATAGGTATCCCTATGATGGGCTAAGATAACCCTCAATAAATCCATTGAAGCGGGAATTCCTAGCTTGCCTTTTTTACATGACACCGGAGGATTCCTGTAGCTTGTTGTTCATCCCCAAGATACACTAGTGATATCCCCATGATGTTCCTCCCAAGAGTTCCTCAAAGATCTATGAGAACATCCCAAAGATGAACCAACTGGTCTACTGTAATGTGATGCGAATAACACTCAAATCTTGGGGGTAGACAACCTATATATATACACACATATACAACATGTCTTCAATTGTTTATATATGATAGTGATATCACTGATAATGGTGCTGTATGTAATTATATATATATACGGATGTATATCATATAGACTGAGATAAACATACGCCTATCGATCTCTGTATGACCCCCCCCTGGCCCGCAGATCTACGTCCAGCCACTCAAACAAACACTGGTGCTCCTTTAAGCGCACCACTGTGGACTCCTCTCCTGCCAAATGCTCCATCGGGAAGGTTCGAAACTCCTCAGCCATCGGTGTGCAAACTACTATGCTTTGTGTAAATGATTGTGTATGTAACATGTTGAAAATGTACAGTATGTATATATATATATACATACATATATATATGTTGCGATTATGTACATACATATATACATAATATACGGTAAGTATACACATTAGTTACATGGTAACCCACTCATTGGATCACATTCACTCCTCCAATTTTCAGACTTTAATGTTGTAGTCACTCCACATCGCAAGGTCCGTGTTGTGGATGTGCAGTCTTGCGGCTGTCTCGATCTTGCCAGTCTTATTCACCACCGTCTTTACCTGCAGAGCATGTGCATGTCTTTGTTGCAACGATAGAGTTGAATTGAATTTCGAGGATGCTACCTATCTGGCAACAGGCACTTCCACTGTCCCCGGAGAGACAACGATTCATGTCATGTTCTTGAACATTATATATATATATATATTAAAATTATATAATATTATATATAATTATATGATTCTATTATATATAACAAATATATAAAAATATTAAGAAATACTCTCTGGTACTCTCTTTGCAAGTTTCAGGCCCAAGTGCCGACTTGTTCTTGTCAAGGATCACTTGTCCGATGAGGTGCTTGTATGGTAGCTGTGAGTCCTTGCCGTTGGGAACTGACTGACCCTCTACTTTGCACAAATGGGGTTGTATCAAAACCCGGTATCTTTTTAAATGACCCAAAATCACGTTATCGTTTTTTTTACTCTTATCGTTTTCTCAGGTGGTGAGCTCCCTGTAGACAAGAAATGTGATTTTTCCAGCTTTCGGTGGGTGTGAAAGCATCCTCGGTCTAGAGTCAACAGATGTCATCTTTTGTTTTCATTTCCTTTCATGCCTTTCATTTTGCATTCATTTCCTCTCATGTTCCTTTCATTTTGCATTCATTTCCTTTCATTTTGCATTCATTTCCTTTCATGTTGCATTCATGTCCTTTCATTTTGCATTCATTTCCTTTCATTGTACTTTCATGTCCTTTCATGTCGTTTCATGTTCCGTCGCTATGTATCAAAGATACAGGTCTTCGAAAGCTGATATGCTCAAACCGATCAGGTGTGCATCCGCCCAAACGCTCGCGTTTTGTCATAATTCGTTATCGTTTTTGCTATCGTTTAGCTATCGTTTTGGAGGCCTGTGCAGGTTGCCATTCAGGCTTCATGAACATGTACATGTATAAGCTCGTTATCGTCTTTTTTTACTCTTATCGTTTTCTGGGCCGGCAATGCATTGGCGTGCCAAGCCAAGCTAAAATGAAATGCCCGGGGAAATTATACTATCCCAAATGGGTGGCCCTCGGCAGAAATCAAGGCTCAAGTTTCACCCGGAGATTGTATCGCCCGTTTCCAGTTGGCATCTTTCAAAACTTCCCCTACCCCACAACCAAGCTGTGTTTAAGGTTTGATGGTCTCATCATCCACCCAGATCACCCAGGAGCTCGGAGGTTGAGATGGGCAATGTGACCAGCTTGTTCAAAGGATGAGGGAATTTCCATCCCTGTCGGTAGAAGTTTCCTGCAAAGCGATGAGTCGATGCCGGATCGATTTAGGATAGTGTACAAGAAGATGTTCATAGTAACATTGAAAACCATCTCTAGAAACTTAACACACAATTCTTTGGAAAAGAGAACGCACGTAATAATTTGATAGTTTGACGACTGAAGTCCTGCACTAGCAAGGTTTCCTTCTGACCCAAAGTTGTATCGTGTCTTGCAACCAGCACAAAGGCCTGCAACCAGCTTCATTTGCGGTCATCAAATGTGATGGACCCAATCTTAAACCATCCCCAGCAAAACCATGTGCAGGTCATTTTGTATAATGGTTACCATAATCCCCATTATAATTATTCCTACAACATCACCATGGTAATATACTTCTTAATCATTAAACCCCACCGTTTTTGTTGGTTTGATCCAAGATCAAAGCCCCAACCTTAGAACTTCCTCCGCGGTGAAATGCTCATAGCCTCAGGTTCACCGCCCTGTGCTTGTGCACGTAAGGTCAGGGTCTCATTCAGCTCATGAGTCAGTTCAGAATCCCCATTCAATGACTGGTTATCATTCAATAACCTCCCAAAAAGGGTTTGCTCATGAACTGGTTGGCTAGTCGAATACATTTGCATTTACTGACTGGCTTTGTATGTTGTATATTACGGCCAACCCCTTTCAATTGATAGTTTGTTTTGTAATAAACCTGGGAAACAAAGAACATCATATTCAGCATCAAACATGTGTCCATTCTGTTCCCATCTTATGGGTGTTGATCAACATCTGCCGAAGGTACTCAAAGTCACTTGAAAGGTCGAGAGCTTAACCTGGGCAGTTGAGATCCAGTCCATGGTTCGGCAAATTATGGGTTGATTGGTTGGGTCAATGGCTTGAAATAGTTCAAATGGTGGGGAACTCTATGATGAATATGCACATACTGGAGACACCCCCATTCCATGGAATCTGGCGTGTTTTTTTCGACTCACCATATTTCAGCATCAAGTGGCAGCACCAGAGGTGATCTGTTCCTGAAGCCATTCCCTCTCAGTAGGAAGGTGTCCGATGTCTGCGATGCTCCTTGCGAAATGAGGAATTCCGAGGCTTTTTTCCCCACCTGCCAGGTGAGGGTTGTTAGATTTTATGTCAGTTGCCTCCTCCTCCTTCTCCTCCTCCTCCTTCTCCTCCTCCTCCTCCGCCTCCTCCTGCCTCGTCCTCCTCTCCTCCTCCTCCTCGTCCTCCTCGTCCTCGTCCTCCTCGTCGTCCTCGTCGTCCTCGTCGTCCTCGTCGTCCTTGCTCAACTGCGACCCGCGATCCACAGTGTTCTCTGCCGGACCTCAACCACGACCATCCACGCCCAGTGTTCCCTGCCGGACCTCAACCACGACCATCCACGCCCAATGTTCCCTGCCGGCCCTCAACCACGACCATCCTCGCCCAGTGTTCCCTGCCGGACCTCAACCACGACCATCCACGCCCAGTGTTCCCTGCCGGACCTCAACCGCGAGTATCCACGCCAAGTGTTCCCTGCCGGACCTCATGTAGGAAGATATGGGACAAAGAATGTGCAGAAGAAAGTTAGAAAAAATGTCAGAAAGAATGTCAGAAGATATGCCAGAAGATATGCCAGAAGATATGCCAGATAGAATGCCAGATAATATGCCAGAAGATATGCCAGATAGAATGCCAGATAGAATGCCAGATAGAATGCCAGAAGATTTGCCAGATAGAATGCCAGAAAATATGCCAGAAGATATGCCAGATAGATATGTCAAAAGATATGCCAGAAGATATGCCAGAAGATATGCCAGAAGATATGTCAGAATATATGCCAGAAGATATGTCAGATAGAATGCCAGAAGATATGCCAGATCATATGCCAGAAGATATGCCAGATAGAATGTCAAATAGAATGTCAGAAGATATGCCAGATAGAATGCCAGAAGATTTGCCAGTAAGAAAATGTATAAATGTCATGGTGGGGATCACACGAAGTAAAGTAATTTAAAGCGGGTCCGTCTGTACATCAGTATCTGGTTGGTGGTATACCTACCCCTCTGGAAAATATGAAAGTCAAATATGAAAGTCAGTTGGGATGATGACATTCCCAAAATATGGAAAAATAAGAAATGTTCCAGTCACCACCAACCAGATATACTTCCATAGGTGAATCGAATCATGTTCCCTATCTGAAATTGCAAACATATCACCATTTTTCTTCAGGGTTGAATCAGTTGAATCCTCCATGTTCCCAGCCATGGCTGTTTCATGGATCGCCCAAACGCATCATGTCACACTCCTTGACATCAAGATGAGCTTGGAAGTGTTAGTGGCCGCGGGCCTGCAGTTGGGGTAGCATCTTTGAAAAAACGAGAGGAAGTTCTAAAGTAATCAGATTTTAGAGCTTTCAATATCTGAATCGTTTTTTGTGTGTTATAGAGTTATAGATCTTGAGATATCTTGAGTATCAGTTTATGTTCAATGTTTTAGAATGGTTTATAGGCATTCACCAAAAGATTCACGAACCAATTGCTCAATATGGATCCACATTTTAACGTGGCTCAAAAGGCTTCGGGCCTTCGGGGCGACTTTTGGGGGTCCAGAAATTGGAGCCATAGCGACGGCACGTCAACATATAACATACGAAATAGGGGGCAAATATATCAAATATCCGTGACATATATATGATATATCAAACGAGGTGATCATGGAGAAACTATGGGAACATAATGAACATATAATACGAAAGTGTGACAAACACAAAAGGATCCAAAAGTAGCATAATATAAAATTGAAATTCCAGCTAATTGAAGGATCAGGAAGATTGGAATATGTACCAAGATTTGATGCGCAAGCAGTGGGCGTATTTTCAGTCAGATATTTGGGAAAAATCAACCAAAAATTGGGGGCACAACTGGCGTGACCTATTGATTTGTCTACAAGACCACCCAGAATCTACAATGCGTTATAATATCTTGTATGATCATAGTTACTTAATACAGTAATACTTATAAACGCGGACTTCCATAAATGGGGTACCCACAAGTCATCAATTTTTTTGGGTGGATTGTCCATTGTAAACCATCAAGCTATTGGGGCCATCCGTGAGACTGAAAATCGCAGTTCTCTGCACGGTTTTTGGCGGTTCAATCCTACGACCATCATGTTGAGGGTCCAAAACCCCCTACGACCCTCTGGTAATTTTAATTAACTTAACATAATGGAAAATTTTAACATAGCTATGGGAAATCGTCATTTTTACTAGGTAAATCATCTTCAATCATCTATAAGTCTATATAAAGTCTATATAACTGCACCATTTTGAGCAACGGGTAACGCCCATGGCTTGAGGCCCGTGGCTCCACATTTTTCCTTCGGGCCAGGTTCAGAAGATGGGCCGCCAGCCTCATGGAAGCATGACGGCAGAACTACCGGCTATGGAAGAAGTGTGGAATACTTACCCATAGGATCCATGTATGGTATATGTGCTAACATTGGGGGTATATTGATGGTAAATGTTACCATATATAGCATAGATGGATCCTATGGGTTATGAATTCAAAAAAACATTCCCAATTTTGCCGGAAATGGGGGCAAAAACATCACCAAGTGGAGGTTGACTAATTATTGGGTTCACACTATCCATGGATTTGGATGCCAAGCTTTCCAACACGTGCTGCTCTTGGGTGTCACTGCCACCCCCCCCTGGAAAAATCCGAGCCGCCTCTTGAGAAATTCGCCGGTGCGCCGTGCTGGCACCTACACCATGCGGGGTGTTGATTGAATCGGGTACCGCTTGGGTCGCCTTACTACTATCCACCTATAATATGATGTCATGTGACTGTGATTTCAGGTGTCTGTATTTGTTTGGATAAGATATCAGATTGTACATTATACATACCCTCTGGTAATTTAACATAACTATGGAAAATCACCATGTTTAATGGGAACATCCACTATAAATGGTGATGTTCAATACATAAAATCCACAATATATCCGGATATATCCGATATGTCCCTGAAGGCTCCATTGTGCAAAAAAAAATCACCGGACATTCACCTCATTTTCCATGTATCCAGGTGACAAGAAAAAATCCATCAAACATATCCTTCAACCATATGTGGATTTGACATATTTGACTCATGTTTTCGGTACCAAAAATTATGGATATCTTGTCGCCAGTTCAAAATCCCCAAACAGGTACCATATTAATGCAACCCTTACCATGTAGAACAGGGGCTAAAAGATCTAAAAAGAGAACCTTCAAAAAGAACGAAAAATGGTAAATCTGTCAAGACACTTTTTGTATCTTTTTGTCAAGACACTCTTGTAAAAGACTGCTTGAAGATTGTCAAGACGACTCTTGTGGGACGACACTCTTCGACATTTCGTGGGTCATATCCCCATGATTTGGGTACCCTCTGGTAATTTAACATAGCTATGGAAAATCTCCATTTTTCATGGGAAAATCCACTATTTCTATGGCCATTTTCAATAGCTATTTTGACACCCATGTTCTCCCCCCTTGGGGCCTCAAGCGCCAGCACTTCAAAGGTCTCTCCCACTTTGGATCGATCCAACTCATCCATAACCAGGGGATGGGGGCGGACCCCCAAGGGACCTGAAATCAATAGTCGTTACAACTATGGTGAAGATGTACCAAACATATCCCAAAATGCTGCTTTGGGGAAACCAAGAATTATATAGAATTATTGATTCCTGCTTCTTTAACAGGTTCTGCGCACCACCTTGCAACCAGGGGCTTACATGTTTCGTTCTTGGAAACTGTGTGGCTTGGTGAGTGTCAAAGTCTTCAACATGAGAGGGCTAGAGTGGGTTCGAGTCTAAGGGTTCTGACTACCTGGGTGCATAGGGTGAGCAAACCGGAACTAAAATAAATGTATGGTTCGCAGTTAGTCCCAAATACTCTCTGGTGCACCAAGTCAGAGACTTATTCTGAAGCAGTTGAGGGTACTCAATGTGCTGGCTGATCACTGCATGCATGAGATGTTGTGAGCCAAAAAGGCTGACGAAGGCCTTGGCAAGGCCATCAAGCAATGCATAGAAGATGCTCCAACATCACACGCGATGAATTGAGTTCCTCTAAACTTAAACGTGCATTTTTGTCTGGAATTCTCCAAAAAATCCAGGTTAACCCCCCCAAATATGATGAAGGTTGCCATCCAAGGACTTCGGCGGATCCACCGTAAACCCCCACAAACATCTCCGGGAGCCGTTGCGTTGCCATCCACCCCGCAGGATGCAATCTGCTGCAAGACCTAAACACCGGGCCCAACGTTCATATCCGGCTTTAGATACCAAATCTTGAGAAAAAAATGGGGGGTTCAACGGTTCAGCCGTTTTGCTTGGCTACCAGAGGGTTTGGACGGTGCTGACAGCTCTTGACTCTCAACCCATCAGTTGATGAGTTACAGTGAGCATGAACCCACACCATGAAACCGCGGGTGTATTGGCATGGACGTTTTCAATCGTGTGGACTCATGAAAAATCCCCTTGGACAAGTCACTGATCTGTGGATCCAAGCCCTGTACCTGTCATGTTCACACAGAAATTGTTGGTTTCTCATGGATATTTATCCCGTATTGATACCAGAAAATCATAGGTCATAGGTCTTGACTCATACCTAAAAGCCAATCATATCAATCATATCCCTCTTTGTTATTGGTTGATAACCAATCATATCCCCTTATTGATTGTCAATTCAAATTATCTATGAATATCAGTGCAAAAACACCCGCTAATAGATAATTTCTCCCATAAAAAAAAACCATGTTTATGAATTCTTATAGGATGTTCAGATATGGTGTTTGATTACCAAGGGGTATTTCGGTTGATATTCCCATCCCCCACGCCAGCGTCTTTGGTGCGACTTTGGGCCCCCAACTGGAAGTTCTAACAGCTGCATGACGATGTTCCTCAGCGGCTGGCATCCATGGGCAAGTGGGGGTTGGTGGACCCAAAGGAGAAATAGTATGAGTGTATAGCATCTATAATAAGTGTGTATTATATCATATACATAATCAATATTATTATTATGATGATAATGACTATCATTATATATTGTTATTAATTATAACATTTATTATTATTAATAATTTATTATTATTATAGACAGCCTTGGGACCACGAATCTCTGGTTCATTCTGAGTGTTAAAGAAAACCTGATGACGTCGAACTCAGCTAGAAAGCTTGCCATATCTCAAAACAATCATTGCTGTAGAAACGGATACACAAATATGTTTTTTCCACCCTCAAAATCCTCTAATCTTCCATGATTGCTTCCTTCATTGTTCGTACTCCCTGGCAATCAAACCTGGCAACCGAACAGCCTTACTTTAAGTCGCCGGTTTTCCCAAGCATTTTCCATTCATCTTGGACTTCCTGTGGCCAGAAGTAAGAAAACACAGGAACCATCCCCCCAAACACCATAGACCCTGGGAATCGCCCAGCGCAAGAGGAAAGTGGTCTTCCAACTGCGGATGGAGAAGTCTGAGCGCCACGCTCTCCACGGTATCTTGGCTTCACCTGCCGTCGTTTTTGAGGGGAATGTTCCCCTGCCACCTTTGTTCACCGCAAATGCATCGACATGCCATGGGCAAGACTATCAAGACTGAAATTTTCTGGGTGCCATCTTTCAATGGGAATTTCAGGATCCTAAAATGGAGGTACTGTACCATATAAGGCCATATTTTGTGGGCCATCTTGAATTCCTGTCAACTCATCCAACGAATGAGTAATGCCCTGAGAACCAGACAGGTCATCCCCGAACCTGTAACAGGATGTAGTTAGTCATCACTGTACGACCCCATGCACAATACATAACCACTGTTTCTGAACTACACCCCAAGTTTTATTTATCATCATGTTTCACCATCAACCAATCATTCCCATCATTTCTAGGTTACATCCCATCAGCTAAATGTGCCCTTTTCCAGGCAGCACCACTTTTCACGATGGGAATTCGCCAAGGGCCTTGGCTTTGGTCTTCTTGCCTCTATCCATGGCCTGGGAAAACAAGTTCGCTGCGGAAGAGCGGAAGAGACATAACATACCATGTCATCTCTGTTTACATAATTTCACATGTACCATCTGGTTATTTAACATAGCCATGGAAAATGTTCATTTTTAATAGGTAAACCATCTATAAATGGGCCATGTTCCATGGCTATGTTAAATAACCAGAGGGTATTGTGCATATATATATATACACATATTGTATAGAGATGTATGGATTGTATATGTATGGTATTGATACATATATAATTATATATGCTAGTATGCAATGGTATACACATAATCATCCAGGTACATTCATAGAGCTGACGGTGGTGCATACATTATATATATACAGTATTATGTAACTATACGATACTACACGTATACACTAATTATACATAATTTGCTGAATGCCATCCGTGGATACTTTATTACCAATCCAAGAGTTGGATATATGATATCACCAACACAGCACAAATGAGATATCGCAAACATCGGCCGTGCTCTGTGCATGGATCGAACTGTTCGCTTCTGCACGAGATCCACAAAACGCTCTTGGTTTGAGGTATTCTGCTTCTGACATGAATTTAGGGGTGCACAATCTCGACTTATCCGAAATGGTAGTATATTTTCCCTATAATCTCCTATGATCCCTTATACAGTAATCCTAATGAAACCAGAGAATTGTTGCAGAAATCGGACGCCGAAAGCCCACGGGAAGGGATCATCGCCTGCAACTCTAGGCTGATCCCGTGCATCCTCAGCATTGGAGGAATCAAACTGGCTGACACCTCAATTAATCTGACATATATATATATTATATTATATTATATTATATTATATTATAGTGTATTATATTATAGTGTATTGTATTGTATTGTATTATATATTATATTATATATTATATTATATATTATATTATATTATATATTTTATTATACATTATATTATGTATTATTTTATATATTATATTATATATTATATTATATTATATATTATATTATATATTATATTATATATTATATTATATATTATATATTATATTATATATTATATTATATATTATTATATATATATTTTATATTATATTAAATTATATATTATATATTATATATTAAATTATATCATATTGTATTATATATTATATTATAGATTCTATTATATATTATATCATATATTATATAATATAGTCTATCATATTATATATTATATATATGTATATATATAATATTATATTATATAAACATTATATTATATATACATTATATTATATATACATTATATTATATATACATTATATTATATATACATTATATTATATATACATTATATTATATATACATTATATTATATATACATTATATTATATATACATTATATTATATATACATTATATTATATATATAGTATATATTATTATACATATATAAATACGGATCTAGATCCTACTGATCTAGGGCTGGTCTTTGCTTCCCTGAAATCATTGGGGATTTAATTCCAAACTTAAAACCAGGACTCAGAATATAGCTCCACACAAGCCTCACACAACTTTAGGTCGGAATCCGGCATTCGGAATAGTTGGGACTTCAATCTTCGTTGTGAACCTTTTGCAATGCAGGTGTTATCCCAAGGAACAACTGCTCCAAAATCTGGCCTAGCTCCCAATGGTCGGTGCCTAAAATCCCTGAAATTGATCGAAATAGTACGCATTGCCCATTTGTTGGTCAAACCTGTCCATTTGTTGGTCAAACCTGTCAAACCCTTGAACTCCTAAAATTGCTGGTGATTCAAAAAACAAATCACCAAACCCATCCAAATCCCAATTTTTCCGGACATTTTTTGGATGGATTTTTTCCAGACAAAGTAAAGTCCCACTCATCTTGGCTACCCAACGGTGAGTCGCCATAGTCATCGCTCTCCCACATACCCTGCAGATGGGAAAATTAGGGAAAATTTACGCCCAAGATATGGCACGTTTGATAAAGAAAATGATGAGAAACCACGGGATTTTTGGGTTTTGAATGGGATTATGTAGATGATTATGTCAGATTCTTAATCGGATAATCATCTAGAATTTGCGTTTGATCGGCGGATTTTCCATATGGGGACGTTCCAACCCCATTTGTGATCAGTGGGATACCCGATGTTCAGACAAAACCCATATGGCTATGGATCAAGACCACCGGGTGAAGATTAAAGGGACGAAAACCCACAAGTTTGACCCACACTCACTTGGGCTGCACTGGCACGATACTCAAAACTCAGCATCAAATGATATGACATATACATAACATATATATATATACACATCAAATAAATAGACAGTGACAGGTAGATAGATTATGATAGATTTAGATAATCTTATGACAAGTATTCGGAACCAATTCGGAACCTACCTACTTGGGTTGGCCCGATTTTGAAGCAATCTCCGCACCAGGAAACCAGGTCCACGATCGGGATTATCTTCCCGGAATTGGTCCATGGATGTCCATGGTCACCCAGAAAATCCACTGAGCGTGCGGCCAGGTCATCCTCATTTCTGCCCCAAGCATCCTGTGAATGCAGCGAGGTGCATAGCCACAAAGTGACATAGATGTGGAACATATATGTGAGTTTTTCCCTGCAAAATGATTTAGCCTGGGGCAAACTGACCTTTACAGATCCTAGGACAAATATCTACAAATGGTGGGTTTTTATGGGTTTTTATGGGTTTTCCACATCGAACTGTTAGTTTACAGGAGGGTATCGGGGCATCAGCCGCGGCCAGCGCAAGGGCGGTCACGAAGTTTTGTTTGGCCCCCTCGGTTTGCTGGGTTTGAGTGGAACACCCACATTACATATCTATGCTATAACCAACTACACAAAATCCTGTTGTTGCTTGTAAAAACCCAAGGTTTCCGGATATTTCTGGAAGATGTTCCCTTCGATCCCTTCGACCAACCCAGTGATAATTCCCATCGAAAATCACAGTGACCAAGGTTGCGCAAGAAAGTATACCTTCCTCTAAAGTAACATAGATACGGAAAAAAACGCTGTGTGTAGATCTTTTGTCCTAGGTCCTAGGGAAACCATGGGCTTTCCACATCTTTTTGTTAGTTTACCTTGAGGTAACCAAACAATCAAACGCATGGGTGACGGGATGAATCACATCTTTCTGGCAATAAACTTGTCAAACCATCCATTCTGAACCAGATTGAATATGTACTTTTGAACCCACATCCATAGAATCCATAGATATAGTTTTGTCCGGAAATGAGGTAGAGTATCTCCCCCTTTATGACAATCTTCATGGGAAAAATGTGGACTACAGTATCATTTTCAGACAAATCCATATCACAAATTCAAATGATATCACCGAAAAAATATCACCATCCACAAATCCAAAATCATTTATATATGATGCAAATATACAGTATATTATAATATACATGCATAATATATATATACGTATATATATACATGGAGGTTTCCTTTCCTAAAATAGGGCTACCCCCAAATCATCCATATTTTAGTGGGCTTTTCCATGATAAACCAACCATTTGGGGGTACCACCATTTATGGAAACTCCATGGGGTTCACCTCCAATCCCCAAGCCCGGGCGGGGACCTTCTTGCCCTTCCCCTTCCTCCGACTTGACGACGCCTGGCGAGATCGATCCGGGAAAGACATCGGTCGACCCCAAAGCAGACACAATCAGATGAAATTGTTGCAATGTGAGGCCCCCCAGTTATAAGTTGGTTTATAAGCCCCAGTAACTATAGTTATAAGTACCATAAACCATAGTTATTGGAGTTATGTTCACCAACTTAGCTATCTTGGGGGCCTCACATTGTGGGAAATACATGGACATCCTCTCGAAATTCTCGAAAGTGTTTTGAGGTCAAAAAGAGAATTGGGAAATTGATATAAATTGATGAGAAATGATCGTGCCCTAGACACATTTAGATACCCTCGAAAAAGGTGGACCTCGAACACCATCCCCAAACTTCTCAGAAGCTGGAGCTGTAGAGGTGATACATAAAAACCCAAGAAATCATCCCCAGAGACATAAATGTTTTAATGGTTGGTTTTAAAAAAAGTAGGCTGATTATGGAATTGGGTTTACCACATTATTTGCTTTGAATCTCCTAAGAAACAAATTTGCCTCGCGCGGTGCTTCCACGCTGATGTGCCGCATCCTTGGCAAATAGGTGGCTCTGAACATTGAACATGGGAGTATCTATACACAACCACGACGTTACCATACAACCATATGATGGCCATAATTTTAATGAGTATCATGATATAATCATTTGATGCTTGGCAATTGTTCGTTGTGGTTCGGACGGAAAATAACTGTGATTTTTCATGGACAAACATCAAATATCCCATGTGATTTTTGGGGTATCCAAAAATAGACAAACATGGACAAATCCATTGGCAGTGCACGTTGCACGTCGCACTGTGTGTGTTCCCTGCGGATTTGCTGATTCCCTAAAAAATCCCTTCCCATCACATCAGACAGCCCCCCATATTGGGACCCATTTAGGGTATGTTTAATATGGGGGATGGGATTAAAGATCATCTATCTAACCAATTCAAGTACAACCCTATGTACATCTATGCGCAACCACCAGCAACAGGTGTAGCACCGCTCATTTTGACCTCATACTGTGGTCCATACTCATCTATGGCCAATCCAAGATGCCCTGCACAAGGAATCTGGTTAGTATATACAGTATATATATATATCACATATTATATATATAGAGTCAATTGACTATACATAGATATAGATTGACATGTATATGTATGTATGCATATATATATGTGTGATATTTCTATGTATAATATACCACCCTACACATCAATACACATCATACATATATATGTAATTATATATATATACATCCATCCCCTATCCTGAGATTACCGTATTTCACTGGCATCCCCTTTGAGCTGAAGGACGGCGGATCGCGCTTAAAGATGGCGTCCTGGCAAATTTACCGGTAAAGGGGAACAGGTGGAATATCAGAGTGAAGCCCCTATAACGTTAAGCAAACCCTGGTCAAGATAGGAGTTTCCCTAACCAGTGTCTTTTCAATAACACACGAAATATCAAACTGCTGGGGAAAACATCAACACAAAGGCGCTAAGGGGGTGGTTTCCACTGCCCTGGAAAAGCATAAAAGACAGTAGGGATTATCCATGGTCAAATCATTGGGTCCCAAAACGAATGAAATTTGGCACACTCGCTTGACTGGTGATTTTTTAATACACTGCACAATATTCTGTAACGAGTTGACATATTTGACATGACGATCTCCCTGAGTCTTTGACCTGGCTACTGGCTGCAGGATGTGAAAGGCCTTTTTCACCATGTTTCCTCATCGCTGGAGGATTTCTTCCATGGCTGGCGCTGATCCTGGCTCTGGATCTCAACAGCTCCAAGGTCACGCGCTCCACTGCTCCGGGTCTCCCAAGAAGCTTCCTCATCTCAGCGTCGCGAGGCTCTTGCCTTCCAGAAATCATGAAAAAACATCACATCTGCTGGTCGTTGATGAGTTAAGTGCCACTGAGAATTTCTGCCTTCTCTTGCAGTTGCGCAGTCATTTCATCGTAGAAGGTGCGCTTCCAGTCCTTGTCGTTGCGCATGGTCATGACGATGAGGTTCCTAGGAGTCAAGCCACCGGGGATTCTCAACTTTTCTTGGCGAATCTATCCCGCAGATGGTCGTTGTGTTCTACAAATCGTCCCACTTTCGGTGCTTTGCCTTGCTCCCCCACCATCATGGGAGAGCCATCCAGCATCCGATGAGGTGGTTTCTGTGTCAACCTGTAAACCCTGGACCCTGTCTGACTGGTGGCAATTGCTCCCAAAAAGTGGTCATCTGCTTCATGGAACCCACCAACTTAACCAGCCAGCCGTTCATTGATTCAGGCACTAGAAATTATTCGGCAGGGATTTAGTACAGACCACCCTCTGTTAACATTTTGCTGGTTGGTGGATTCATATTCATTTCTGTCATCTTGGGGTAAGTTGTCCCTACTATCATCTACTATCAGCAAGCAGTTGGTTGCAGTCATGTGTCCAGCCCTGGATGTTAGTTGGTCTACCCATATTTGATACTCTGTAGTCCAGGAACCGACCAGATTCCAACTGCAATAAATGAAGATTACCCCCGAAAAACCGGCGAACAGTGGACAGATAATCATGAGAATCGCCATTATATCCGATTATATCCTAGGTTTTTCCCATCGTCATACATCATTAACCATCATTATAATATATATATATACATATTGTACCACCATTTTTCTTTGGAATCCCCATCCCCCTTGGCCGGACTCCCATCGCCATCGTTTGGCAAAAGCATCCACCGGCTTCCAGCTCTCAGTGGCTGCACTGCATGCCATCGGTCGCCCGGATGCAACAGCGCCGTTCCAATGGCATGGTGCTGGTAGGAAACCATGCTGCCCTGCGGCACCAAGGTGGAAGCAAGGTGGAAGCTGTAGTATGGAATAAATGTAGGGAATAAGATGGAATGACGACAAGAATGGGGTGTAATAAATAATGACAATCGTTTGTTCCCCACCTGCCAGGTGAGGGTTGTTAGATTTTATGTCAGTTGCCTCCTCCTCCTCCTCCTGCTCCTCCTCCTCCGCCTCCTCCTGCCTCGTCCTCCTCTCCTCCTCCTCCTCGTCCTCCTTGTCATCCTTGTCGTCCTTGTCGTCCTCGTCGTCCTCGTCGTCCTTGCTCAACTGCGACCCGCGATCCACAGTGTTCTCTGCCGGACCTCAACCACGACCACTCACGCCCAGTGTTCCCTGCCGGACCTCAACCACGACCATCCACGCCCAGTGTTCCCTGCCGGACCTCAACCACGACCATCCGCGCCCAGTGTTCCCTGCCGGACCTCAACCACGACCATCCGCGCCCAGTGTTCCCTGCCGGACCTCAACTGCGAGTATCCACGCCAAGTGTTCCCTGCCGGACCTCATGTAGGAATGAAACTTTTGCAGTCAATTATGGGGCTTGGGATTTTGATTTGGGGACATCAATTTGGATCCTTTGAGCCCCATATTATACCCATACGAAATTATAGCTATGTATAAATATATTTATATATATGTATATAGGTACACGTATATGATTATATAACTATATAATATATATGTGTTTGTGTATTTGTATTTAGATCATGTGATATATATATATATGTCATGTGATATAATACCAACATATACTTCCTTCATACTAAATATAACTGATTAAAATATATTTAAGATAATAGAGAATTACACAGCATTCCCATCTCCGCAGACACACACACACACACCAAGAGGTGGTTCAGGGTGATAGATAGATATAGACAGTTGTATATATATATATGTGTGTGTCGAATTCATATTGAATCCGATGAAATATGTATACTCATAAGTATATATTCACATACATACATATATATATATATGTACGTATGTCAGACCTACAAACATATATATATATATTTACATATACACATATGTCTTTTATGTGTCGGTGTGTACATACCTGGATAGAAACACATATATGTATATATGTATGATATTTATATTATATATATATATATGTGGCAGGGTGATATTTCCCATACAAGATTTAATTCCCAAAAAACTTGAGAATATATGTTAGAGGACCTAGAGTCCATCAATTAAACGGAGCATACTTTGAATTCAGTGTCCTGAAATTCAGGCTCACTCCAATCCTCTTCCATTGCATCCATTGCAGCTGGGTCAGTAACAAGCCAATGAGAGAAAATGCTGCAGGGACGCTCTGTTACTAAACTTATGAACTTCCGCCGAAAATCCATACAAATCAGCAGAACTCAGGCGCACATTTTGTGATGTTGAGTTCCGCCGAAAAAAAAAAATCAGCAGAAATCCTAGGGAAAACCATTAAATCAGCAGAAGTCCACTACACATTTTGTGATGTTGAGTTCCGCCGAACCATAGGTCTGAATACTAAGTTCCGCTGAAAAAAAACTTTTTCAGCAGATGTCAGGTGCATAATTTGTGTAGTGGAGTTCCGCCGAAAAACAAAAAAAACCATAGTCCGTTAAAAAAATTGCAAGCGATCAAGGGGCAGAGGCCTCCAAAAGTTCCGCCGAAAATTTTTTTTTCAGCAGAAGTCAGGTACACAATTTGTGTAGTGGAGTTCCGCCGACGGACAAAGTCCGTAAAAAAACAAATGCAACCGATCAAGGGGCACAGGCCCCCAAAAGTTCCGCCGAAATTTTTTTTTTTCAGCAGATCTCAGGACGTCTCATGCCCCATAATCGTCCGCAACGGAAAAAAGGTCCACAAAGTCTGTAAAATAAGTTGCTGAAAAATTTAAGGTTTAGATCCTAACAAAATTGAACCTTTGACAGATTTGAGTTTTTTGGGGATTGTTACTATCTTGATTTGTTGGCTCTATGCACCTTTACTATAGTTCAAAAGGCATGTGTCTTGGCTATTTTCGGTCGCTGCTGCCTCCATATACCCAGTTAATCCCAATTAGATCCTGAATATGTAAAATGCAATCACTTTAAAGTTGTTTGACCTGGGATCCCATTGAACAGAATTTCGATTTAGGAATGATGTTATTTCGAAATTTGGACTGGACATCCTTTTGCGTCAATAGAATTGGAAAAGGGTTTGAAAGAACATGGTTTCCAATTAGCGGCTAAAGGGCTAAAGGGTCCCAATTGGTTAAATAAGAATTGCGGGCCAATGATCTCATTGGTCGAAGTCGAAGGAATCTTAGTTGTCGGCATGGTCATATCTTAACAATCTTAACTTAGCAGGCTACCTGTATTAACATCAAAACCTTTCAAAGGAAGGGTTGATTTAGGTTGATTTATGTAAAGAAAAAGGTCCATGAAACCACATGTGGAAGACCCATAATCCAGGTCCAGAGCCCCATAATCGATTGCAAAAGTTTAATGTCAGATAGACTGCCAGATAGAATGCTAGATAGAATGTCAGATAGGATGCCAGATAGAATGCCAGATAGAATGCCAGAAAGAATGCCAGAAAGAATGCCAGATAGAATGCCAGATAGAATGTCAGATAGGATGCCAGATAGAATGCCAGATAGAATGCCAGAAAGAATGCCAGAAAGAATGCCAGAATGCCAGATAGACTGCCAGATAGAATGTCAGATAGAATGTCAGAATATATGTCAGATATAATGCCAGATAGAATGCCAACATATATGCCAGAATATATGTCAGATAGAATGCCAAAATATATGTCAGATATAATGCCAGATAGAATGCCAGAATATATGCCAGAATATATGTCAGATAGAATGCCAGAATATATGTCAGAATAAATGACAGGTAGAATGCCAGAATATATGTCAGATGAAATGTCAGAAAATATGTCAGATAGAATGCCAGATAGACTGCCAGATAGAATGCCAGGTGGAATGTCAGGATATATGCCAGATAGAATGCCAGAATATATGCCAGAATATATGTCAGATAGGATGTCAGAATATACTAAATATATGTCCAAATACACGTCCTGACATGTCATGGTGGGGATCACACGAAGTAGAGTAATTTTTTAACAAATAAATAGTATAATAGAAGTACGAACAGTAGCAATAGTAACAATAATTATAATAGTAGTAATAGTACATGATGACAATGGTAATAACAATAATAACACAAATATAGTGATGTAACACAATCAATATGCAGATGGATGTACGGTGTATGAGATTCTGTTCATCCCTTTTCTTGGATTGTACGGTACCAGGCCTTGTAAGTGTCGTCCAGGCGAGGCGTGCCCGTTTGAACATCCTCTGGAGCAGGATCCAGCAGCAGTAGCTCTGAACCCTCGAAGCCAGGGATTCCCAAAAACCTCGGAGCATGAGCCGATTTGATGATTTTGCAACACCATATTGAACATGTTCTGAACTACACGGGAACCTGGCTGAAACGGGATGATTTGACTGTTCAATATTGTTCAATGATCTTTGGGTTCTACTTTGAGATTCTAGAAAATCAGCTCCATGAGCTTTAGTCAGAACTCAGAACACCGGCCTGACACTTTTCATGTCCTGCCGGCCAAGACACACATTCACGGTGAGATCCGAGTCATCCGTATGGGCTTTCAAGGACAAATCCCTGCCCTCCTGTCGTCAGTGGGATGGAACCATCTACAATGATCTACAATCTTCCATCTACAGAAAAACCATCTATAAATGGCGATGGAAAATCCACCATTTATAGATGATGTTCCCATTAAAACCAGGGGGATTTCCCTGGTGGAATTCAGCATATCCAGGTGGTCACTATGGGTCGAGTCATTGCAGACTTGGATATCAGAGATTCCCCAAAGGGGGCTTCAAGTGCAGGGTAAAAACTTAAATCATATATGTATATAACACTCTGGAAAGGGAAATTAATATAGAAGGAGTATGAAGGAGTCCTATCATTGAGGAATCAAACACAAGATAAAACAAGGGTTGTGGATGGCCAACGTATTGACTACGATCGGCACGTCCGTAGTCTCTTCTACTGGTTGGTGGCTGGTTTCAGCGCAGCCAGACCGCAGTCAGCACCTCGTAGTTGATGCAATACGCTTCATGGTATGCGAGATCGGCGCCTCCAATCAAGGCCTGATCGATCCTGCGAAGCACATCCTGGGAAGTTTCTATGGGTCTAGAGTTGGATGGAAAATGGAGGCTTGGATTTTCACTGCCCTTATGATGTAGGATTCAAGTGTCTAGTAAGTGCATCTAAATCTAGCCGCGAATGACTCAGTGTCAGTGCGCAAGCACAAGACAAACAACTAGCCACTTCACCTCGGTGAAAAAAGTGTCCATGCAAGACGAAGAAGAAGAAGTCTAACAAAGACATGGCACTCTTCAAATCCCTTCCCACTAGTTTCGCTAGTACTGTAGTACCCTCTGGTGAACTAACATAGCTATTGAAAATGGCCATAGAAATAGTGGATTTTCCCATTAAAAATGGTGATTTTCCATGGTTATGTTAGTTCACCAGAGGGTAGAAATTTCTGGTAAACACACTGAAACTCTGGCGAGAAAACATCTGATCGTCCCTAAGGATGTTATGGTCGCCCTGGCGAATCGCCTCAAAGCTTGAAATCTGAAAGAAATTGATGGTTTCCCTACCCCAGGAAAGCATTAAAATTAGTCTGTTCTGATCATCATCCAAATTTGGGATTAAAACGATGAAATAATATGTACATATATTAACATATATATATATATATACAGTTGCAATATGCTTTAATGTATTAAAACACATTAAAACATCTTTGAACCACTTGGCTATAAGTATTCTTTTCGTTGGGCCAAGCATCTTGAAGCAGCTGGTTGAATAACGTTCTGAAGCCAGGATTGATCTGGTAGAGATACCATCTGCAGCTTAGGAGGAGCCCTGCAGGGCAATTTGCTTGAGGAACTCAACGCAGCAACAACAAAATATCCAGTTGTGATTCATGGGAAACCGCATCTATAATCATTATAATCATCTAAAATCTGCAGAGCAATGTCGGATTCCATTGTTACCTTAGATTTAGGTGTATCATGGTGTATCCAAAAAAAAAATGAATGCCATAAAAGCATATAAAAGCTATCATCAAGTACATCTCACCACCTTTTCCAGCACACCTTTTCCCAGATCGCCCAACGACTGCCTGGGGAGATCTCCTTGGCCGCTTCCCGCCAGTCACGAAAATGCTTCACCTCTTCCACCAGCTGATGGCAGAACTTTGGGCACAGCAACGGTAACGAAAAGGCGTCCACCAGGTGTCGTTGTGCTAAGCCTCTGGAGGATGAGGGCCGCCGGAAGGGGCAGTGTCATGAAAAGTCGGAAAGTCCGAAAGTGCTTAGATGATTTAGGTGGCATGCCCAATTTGGAGGAACACTGGAACGCCTTAGCCTTGGCCCTGAAGAATCTCGAACCAAATTCGCAGCCTCATGAAATGTTGGATTATACCTCGCCTGGTTGGGCTTGTAGGAAGCCACTGAGGTACCCCACTGCCTCTATCCTCTATCCACAGAAACATATTTGCATCTGTCTAAACACAGAACATCCAGGGTGGAGGATATCATCCCAATCTTCCACTTGCAGTCGAAGTGCTTTGTATTGCCACCTGGGACGTTCCCATCGGCCGTTCAGACCCCCCAGGCTTGTCAGGAAAGGAGATAGTTAAACAGTATTAAATCATATCTTCACCCACTTCAAAAAACCACAGTGAATGATGCGGTAAGCATATTCCAGTAAGTTCTCAATATTGAAACTGGCTAGGGACTATGTTCCCCTCTCTTTCGTATTTTTCTTTGCGTCTAGAGTAATTCCTGTCGACCACTTTTTTTGGGTCATCTAATATCCAATCAGGCGATGTCTGATTGCTTGACCATCATTGATGGCAATTGGCCGGCCAATTGCCTGGGTGCTCGACTTAGCAAGAAGGAGGGGTTACACGGTTACACGCCCAGGTGGATGGAGTGGATGTTTCTGGCTGCGTCCCCTTGCCTGAAGTTTTTGTTGTTTAATCATGTTTAATCCCGATCTCATGGCTAATTCCAGATACCTCCAAGAAAGTGATTCTGGTTGGTGGTATACCTACCCCTCTGAAAAATATGAAAGTCAGTTGGGATGATTATTCCCAATATATGGAAAGTCATAAAATTCATGTTCCGGTCACCACCAACAAGGATTGTTCCATCCCAGTAGAAATATCCTCTCAAAAGCGGGAGACCAAAATTCATTGATCCATTACATTCCTCCAAGTCTTATTGCGGCAATTCATTAAGAACCCTGAAATCGCTGACCTTTCCGACGATGTTCTCCGAATATGCGGCTTTCCCAGGTACCCCAGTCCATGCGCCAACAAAAATGATGTATAGATATAATATATATTATAATATATATGGTAATATTATGCAATTCAATCCCATCATATCTCTTCATTCTTAGACCAACCCACACGGACAAACCCTTGATGTCCAATTTCATCTAAAATAATATCCAGATAATTTCCCGCCACAAAATCCTCCCAAAAAAACAACATCTCCATGGTGTTCTCGCCTTGGGATCCTCCGCCTTCAGTGCTGCACGCAACTCCGGAGCCAGGATCGACCAGAGGGGCTGATATGACAGCTCGGGGTGCCTGGGAGGAGTGAGAAATCCGTTTTCTTGGGGAAGGTCCTAGATGCTGAGGTGAAATTTGATCTTAACTTTGTTTTGTAGATTGAATGTGAATACTATATACATGATACTACAATTTCAAAGTTACCATTTGGAGAGTGGTATAGTATGACATTCGTCAATATTGGTAGGACCGTTGGATTTTTTTTGTATAGTTGCCAGTACCAGTACAAGTGCTATGTGAAAGTTGCAAATATCCACAGGAAACGCTGTGAGTACCCCTAGAATCATATCAGGGTTTACAGGAGCATAGTTCCTATTGAAATGGCCATGCGGCCATACCTACGGGGCATATAAGCCAGGTTTTGGGCAAACCGGGCAAGCCCCTGTTGAAGAGATCCCAAGATGTGCCATATATTCAACATCAGCAAAAAATGATGATATGTTACCCTCTGGTAAACTAACATAACTATGGAAAATAACCATTTTCAATGGGAAAATCCACTATAAATGGCCATTTTCAATAGCTATGTTAAATTACCAGAGGGTACATGAGAAATGAAGCAAGGCCATACATAAATGGGGATGCAACCAGCCATGGGTTCATGAAGCAACAAGACTTGGTTGAGCCACGAGTCAAAGCCATCCCAGAAAGATGAAGATCATCATCCCACGTAGGAATGAAAAGATTGGGAAAGCACAATTCAAAGAAAATAGAAACCAAGTAACCAACTCGTTGACAAACGTCTACACAGAATCTATCCATTTGCATCCAAGTATCAACGCCTCATATGCTGATGAAGCGATTCCCATCTGCATGGGCGACTTTGAAATCGTGCTTTTCCAAAGGCTTGAGCCGCAGTACAACGCGCATTTAGACTTTTGCGAATCTGAGATGCTCTGCATCTAAAAATCTTCAGCTGGTTAGGACGATGATACCTAAAGCCAACCTGAACGCAAGAAACAACACAAGAACACTAAAAAAATCTAAAACAACATGGTTGCGCTGAGATCACCAGAGTTCCCCTGTGTTTTGCAAAAAGGCACCACTTCCAGGGAAAGCTTCGCTGCAACTAAATATAGTCAGTTCTTTAAAAAAAGACACGACTTTGTCTTCTGGCTGTATAACCCAAATTATGATAAAGATTAAAGTGTTGAAGTGCCCATCCAAGATTGACCCAGGTTTGAAGATGAACCTTTCTTGGTTCAGTAGCTGGTTGGCGGGGCTCACTTCTTTTTCGGGCTGCCAGAGGCTGCCACAATTACTAGCTGTTGTGCTTCACATTGAGATCTAGCATACGATTGTGCACGAAAAAAAAAATGGTAAAGAGCAGATCATCAGTCTATGTAATTATGAGATACTTCTCATCATTCCTAGTAACATGTATATAAAACTCTGTAACGACCAATACCAGTTATTACATGATATTTCTGTAGAAGCTCAGGAGTTTTAGAACCATGATCAACGCAAAAAAGCAGTGGCTTTAACACAAGCACCATCAGACCTCCACGCTTAAACTGAGCGCACGGGTGATCCATCACAAACCGGAAATCATTGAAGCAAAACGATCACTATCAGCCGCAGCCAATGTGCCCTGGTGTCGCTGCTGTCACCAGCCTTCATGAAGTCTCGCCAGGTGGGTTCTTTCTTCTCCTCACCCCTGGCGACCAAAGTTCGGATCATTCCTGTACACTATACAGGAAGCAGTCATATACCAGCAAGTCCATGTGTTTCGGTGTTCGGACTCTCCGACCATGTTGATGATTTTTAGGATGTACCCTTAGTGCCAATATCTGAGAAAATACCTCGTCGGTATGCTTCAGTTGTGTGAATGCCATTGACTTTTCGCACAGTTATAAAATATTAGAACATATTCATTGACTCTGGATAGAAACAAAGGACACTCTTTATATCAATAGTCTTGGACTGTTTTCGTTCATCTAGCTGCTCCGTTGCAGTTGCGTCACTGTTCCCACTTTCCCTTGGTTCAAGCGACGTCTTGTCATCAAAAGGACCGAATTTCACCTCACTGTCCATCCCGAAACTGGTTCGTGATGGGATTCCCAGTGGATTATTTCACAATCTCCAAAGAAGCAGCTGGTACAACCCTGAATATCACTGTATAATATTATATATATATATTATATATATATATATACATGTGCATAATTATATACATATATAGTATACAGTGGATCATCACTTCTTCAAACCCTATTTTTGCGCAATGAGTCTCTATTTTCGTTGGCATCCCCACAGCGTGACTTTGGCACCTGGGACGAACTAAGCCCCGTCGCAACCTTTTTTTTAACTAGCCATAAGGGGAAAACAAAGGGCAACCATGATGGTCATGATGGATTATAAATATAAATATAAGATAGATATGTTTTAGCTTTATAGATCTTATAAATATGTATATAAATGACATTAAATGAAATCATCTACCATCAATTTCGTTTCAAAGAAATATCTTTCCGCAACGACTGAACAGAGGTTTGAGCCATTTTGAGCCATTTTGAGCCCTGGAGCCGAACGGATGAAGTGTGACGAAAGGTCTTAGGCTCCGCGCTTTGTGCAGGCTCCATGACAGGATCCTGCCAACAACATCACAAAGAATGTTCAAATGCCATCAAAAAACTCCTCAGATTCCCAAAACAAAGAATTACCTTTGGAGTTGCTCTTCAAACATGGCTTTAAACCTGTGCTTTGTGCAAAGACCAAAGGAACCTCACGGTGTTTTTTTGGTAAGTGTATGTTTGACCCCAGAACATAGCAGACATAGCAACGGGATTTCCATCCCAATTTCTTTGGTTATTTGGGTAGCTGAGGCTGCTGAGGGATCCCATTTGGGGCACGCTTGGCGCACCACCGGCACCGCGGCCTGCCCTCATGATCTGCGCTGAACAAGACTTCTGCAGCCTGGTGGAATCCCGTGGGTGGCTACACAGCTACGGCCCTTGGTACGTCTTGCTACGGCCTTCCCAGAGCCTTGGGGAAACCGTATTTTGGGGCAAAGAGCCATAGGATGTGATAGGTATGAAACAGAAAGTTCGAAATATCACAGCGCTTATCATGTTGACTCTTTCCGGGTCCTGGTGTAGGCCAGCTTGGAAACCCACCAAATATCCCCCCCAAAAAAAAACTAGAAACATAGTTTTCTGCATTATGCAGAGTCACAGTATGTCACAGTATGTCACATCATGTCACAGTCCATGCCACGAACCGACTAATGTCAACCCTGGATTAATAAATCCCTAGCCTGTTTAATTGGGAAGGTACCATTTAAGTATCAAATCATAACTATTGGGGGAGTACCCCCCTAATTAATCAACCATGGTTTATTAATCCGGGGTTGACATTGGCCCAAACAAGATGTCTCATCAATTTGGATTGATTTCCGCGAGCCCAGTCCTCACTCCAGCACAGTACTCGCTGGGCGGTCTTGCTCTGCACACGCCTCACCAGCCTCAGCGATGACTATGACTCAGCCTGGAAATGGTCATAGAAATGTTGCCTTCAGCAGCAAAAATATGGGATTTAATTGAATTGAACCAACAAAGATGAGGATTTGACCAAGATAATTTTCGACAATTTCAACATGTCGTGGCTCACTATACAAAATCGAATGAGCTACTTATTTAACCAAGAGAAACATGTAATTCTACAAGCGCAGATTTGGATTTTACGGGCAAACATCTGCAAAATCATATACAATGATTTAAATGATGATTTAACCAACAAATTATGAAACAATAAAACCATATAAAAACAAACCATGATATGGGACATGATGGAATGTATATTTAACCCAACAATGTGATACCGGTATGTATGTACATATGTATATATATACATAGATTTTATGTATAACTATGATATATGTATATATATATATACTGTATACTATATATATATGTATATAATATATATATATATATAATCACTGACATATATATATGTACTGTATACTGTATACTATATATCTGTATAATATATATATATATATTGATTATAGGTTTATATTATACATATATGATCAGTTTTGGCCCCAGGACTCCAAGCCTTTTCTGAAGCATCCGATGGACTGGGATATTTGCCGAACGCCCCATGCTGGCTGATTGTGGATTCAGTTCAGAAGGGAAAATCCGCAGAAAACCATTCATTTACCACCTGAAAAATGGATAAAAATGGGACATGTGTATAGATTCTCCTCAAAAAGAGGAGAAAGATCCTCATTAGAAACTCATAAATCTCCCCCTTGTTTTTTTATGTTTTGACATTTTGGTTGGCTGTATTCCAGGAGCATCTCTATAAAATGTATGCTTCAAAAAATGAGTCGTCTGAGGTCCCACCATTCACCAGCAACACCAGCCACCAGCTCGGGCTGATTATATGGGATTTCAAGGTCCAAACTTCAAGGAGTTGTCCACGTCAAAGAAGGAGAGATACTTGTCAGAGCCTCCGCGACGATTATACGCGCGGAAAAAAATACCGGGATATAGAAAAAACAAAGTTACGGGATGATCTATGAATAATGGGTTCAACTAAAGGATTATTATAACATGGATTATAGATATTATATGATTATGACATAACATACCACGGATATCCACGGATTATAACATGATATAACCGCTATAACTATGCTTGATTATCCACCTACAACTGGAACTGCACCACCAAGTAGGTGTCTCCTGATCCCATCGACAACGAGTCAGTTTTTTCGACTTCACTCTGAGTTGGCAACAGGAAACTGCTACCCAGTTGTACCTCAGACGTGCTGAATGGGGAAAATGATGAGAATCCAATGGATTATGGAATCCCTCTGGTAAACATACAAAAAACCATGGAAAATCATCATTTTTTATGGGTAAATCCACTATAAAAGGGCCATTTTCAATAGCTTTTTGTATGTTTACCAGAGGGTAGACACAGACACTCCCTGGTGCTTCAATCTGCCTGCAAATTTAGGGTCAGGACCATCGTTAAAGCCTGGTGGACTGGACGCCCCCAAAATGATCTGAATAAGCCATGTTGGGACCTTTATCTGCCAATTCTTAATCTCAGGTGCTTCCCAAATTGACCCACAACCATATGTCCATCACTTAAGCTTCCCAAACAAAGCCGTCCAACCACCAAGCCCTCATTTGTATCTGTCTCTCGAAATAGGTGGAGTCTATCTTGAAAATACCAGTCTTGATCACATTGTGTTCCACTTCAGCTCCCCTACTTCCAAAATCACAGTTCATTTCGAGTCATTTCCCACCCATAGCTAGAGTTTTGCCATCGAAATTTCCATGTTTTGCCACAAATGCCACGTTTTCACCCCATCCTCAACGCACCCGGGTGGCCCTCTCGCCTCGCGCGTCGTTCGTTTTTTCATCTCAGGATCCTCACGGGTCACGGCGGGTCACGCGCCTGGTCCGCCAGCTCGATGAATTTGCCCAGGCGTTTGCGCACAGATCGCAGGGTGGCGACCAGATTCCAAGCCAGGTCCTCAGAGTTGGAAGCGACGGACTGGGAGTTTTCATGGCGTAAAGAAACAAAAACTAAGTGGATATTCAGTGGATGTAAAACAAAACTATAGGATTTCATAGGAACATATAGTAAGATCAAATGAGAATTTAAGTTGTTAAAATATGTTAAAATGCACTCTTTGTGTCCCTTCGATGTTGGTTTTATGAACAGCAAGTGTACGGCAAATCATGATGGGCTGTGTTGTTGGCACAGTGTCTAAGATGACCTTGTCCCAAACACATGCAATTTTTGCTGAGTGGGTCTGGGGCACGATTTTCCTATTGGAAATAACATGAAATATCCCCATAATATCCCTTTCCTTTTTTTGGGGTGCCATGTTTGTTTTCAGGAGGGTATGATCTTCCAAGCGGATTTGTCCCAAAAATCCTGTTTCCCTAAATCCGACGGTTGAAAGCCTCCATTTCTAGCCATTGATTGAAATTTTTGTCACATCATAGAAGTCTACGTTTGCCATATTTGACCATGGACATATTCCCTCATTTTGCACATTTTATCCTCCAGGCAACCTACGGAAATTTTCGGGAACTGATGGATTTTCCAATATGGGTGTCTGAAAAGACTGTATAGGGGTTCCCCAAACTTGATTGTTTATTTGTCATTATTTTGCCTATTGAACTTGTTATATAATATATTGGAGTTATCCCCGATTGTCTGACAAATTCAAATCTCAGAAATATTGTTTTTGTTACAGTTATCATGTTGTATCAATCTCCCCAGTAGACCGCCATTAGATCCCTATTGTTGACGCTTAAAATCCCATGAAATCTACATCCATCCCGCATCATATTCCAAGTATATCTCTATATATCTCTATATATCATCTCTATATCATCTCTATATATATCATCTCTATATATATATATATCTATATATCTCTATATATCTCTATATATATATGATTTCCCATTATATAGATCCCCATGTTTTTTGGTGAAATCCCCCAATGTTCGCATTGCCCGCTCCTGCTCGTCCTTGGCTGCACGTTCTGTCTCACTGACCACCAGCTGGAAGGCCCCACGACTGAAGTCCACGGTGGCCGAGTCAATGGCGGAGTTCAAACCGTTCAACTCTTGACCTTGGTGATGGTAACGTAACGGTGCCCCCTATCATGGTGCCATAACATGCCATAACCCCAGGAAGTTGGGATATAACTTGATATAATCCCCAAACAACTATGGTTAGATACGTGATACAACCATAGTATGTATTATTTTGATGAACTTTGCTTAGAAGGCTTCGGGTTTGTGTTTACCCTTTGGTTATAACTAACAGTTTGCTATGGAACATCACCATGTTTAATAGGCCATTTTCCAGGCTTTTATCATGCATAAATGGACCATGTTGCATAGCTATGTTGAGTTCTAACATGGTAATTTGTGGAAAATTGGGTGAAACATGGTCGGTCAAAACCTGAGGTATCACTAATATCGTCTCTCATACCGACAATGTCTCATATCATATCAATGCATCATGTATATATATATATAATATGTATATGTACACGTATATATATATATATAAGGAATCTATAGACTTGAGATTGTGAAATCAAAACAGTTCACTTCAAGTCATCAAATGCACCATGTCATATCGTATCATCCCATATCACCATATCTTGTTTCAACATGTTTTAACATGTTCTAACCAAGAATGAATCAGCCAGCAAACAGAAAACATCAACAAACTTTTGGTTCTCCTGAACTTCATCATTCTGATCACTTCCAGTGTGGATTATTTGAGGGGGTTCCTGTGTTTTTCTTTCCTAACATGTGCGTGACCTCCTGGTTCAACTGCCACCAGCACCTCAATCTCATTGTTTGCATTTGTTAACTCATGTTACCCTCTGGTTATTTAACATAGCTATCTATGGAAGCCATGGCAAAATTATAGATGACTGATGATCATTTACCTATTAAAGCTTATGGTTGTTCCCACTAAAAAAACATTCAAACCATGTATAGATGACTGATTATGATTTACCTATCTAATCACTTTCAAATCACATTGACCTATCATGAGTTTGAATCCCCTTGTTTCTCTGTCAAAAACCCGATCTTTCCCGCGACCTAGCGACCTAGGAGGACATAGCCTAGCTCGGCCTCCTGAAACTTCTCGTCATCCTCCACAGTGCTTTCTTGTTGGGACAAGAGCTTCAAAACCTGGGCAGCTTGAGATGGAATTACCATATAAAAGGGCTGATTTACATGGTGATACCCCAATCATGGAATGACTCATACTGCAAAAATCATCAAACATCTGTGGTCTAGGTCTTTAATTTTGACCCAATATGGCGATATTATCCATGGATGTGGTGGATATCATCCATGGATGCTTCATGACTTGAAAAAAGATCACCAAAGAGTTGCACCGGTCTAGACATTTCCATGAACTCTAGGAATCTCTAGGATAGATGCACCGGTGTCCTGAATTTGTATAAACCCAAGGCCCAATATGTAGGAACGTACATGTACAGCACTGAAAGAAATCTCTGCATCTCCCCAAAAAAAGGACTCAAATATACAGTACCGACAGTACCTGCACAGGTTGTCCAGCAACAAAACTCGTGTACCTAAGAAATGTCGTTAAAAGAAATGAGACCTATGAGACAATTCGTTGGACTTTTGAGGAAAGCTCTACAGGAAACCTACTTATTTCCATCAAGAAAATGGCTTTCCTGTAAATGTTCCCTGGAAACCAGTCCAATGAAGATTGTTTTTTCCTCTCGAATCTCGTAAGGAGTGCAACACATTTTCACCCAAAACTATCCCAAACTTGGCCAGTCTGCAGAAAGTAGGGACAATCATGTATTGAGGCTGCTGGTTCCAACTATGTTTCAAAAACACCCCGATGCCGAGCCGCGCGTTTGCCACGAATCCTCAAAAGGCTCTCTGAAAAGTTTGCACCCCTGAGAGGAACAGCCGGGACAAGTGGTCTCCATCATCGCCACCACCAACAACAACAGCAACAGCAACAAGAGCGGTACCCTCAAAGTGCATGGTTGGCGATTCAAGAAATCCATAGACCATGATCTTTATTACTTCCATTTACTATGTATACACTGGTCCTGAAGTATATATATATATTATATATATAATAACATATCATATATAATTACATATCATATAACTACCTCCCAGGATTGGTTTAAGGGATAATTCTCAACATCCTGTATCTTCGGTGATGGGCTTTGCAAATTCTCCTTCGATCCCGATGAAAACCATGACATCGAAACCGGCCTCAGCTGTGTCTTGAGATCTTCAAACTTGCCTTCGGACACCAAGGACTCCCAGGGTTGCCTGGTGGCCGGCTGACAGATGTTGTCGGATTGGCCCTAGCTGGTAATGGATGGAGAAAGATCTGAAGGCAGCAACATCTCATGTATCATGAAAGTTTGAAGCCGCAGAAGGGTGAGCAATTCTATGGCACAACCCCCTTGGGAAACCCACAAGACAAAGAAAGAGAGAAATCACAGAGAAAACATCCAAAAACACACTCCGGATCACTCCGGCTGTGTTCCTGAGCCAGTTGCAGTAGTGACTCTGTCTGTCTCAACTCCTCCAAGATCTTGGTGATGTTTGACTCAGAAATCTCAGAAGTCTGGCCCTCGTAAAACTTCCCTGTCTCCCAAAAATAGCCCTTCAACTTCAAAGGGTTGAAGGGCTCTTCAGCGCGTGATTCCTGGGGAAGGAGCCCAGTCATCACCTCGTTGGTGGTGAAACCACTCTCAAAAAAAGAAAGTCAACTTGAATCATCCCAAACAGCCTCTTTAAATATGTATTATAATACATAATAAGGCATAACACACACACACATATATATATATATACCATTGTATATATATATAGTAGAAACATATTTGAAACCATCAACCAGTCACTGAAAGGAGTCCAAGGTGTCGCCTTTGAACACCAAGACTCGAAAAATTCAGGGTCAGATCAACGCCTTGCAGAAGCCATGCAAGACACGCAGCAACTGCTGCTTGATGCTTGGGGCGGCGCCATGCACCCGCGGACATATTGAAACCGATACTTACTTACCCCCAAAACAGTGCGTTGAATACAGATCGTCTGCGGTGTTCTGATCTGCATTGATTTGACAAGCTGAAAAGAGTGAGCTAAGGGTCAGTCATGATGGGGGGCTTCCTGGGAGCCAAAGTCAAATTGCTAAACAGTCAGAAGAACCCATGGACATGATGCCTCACCATGAACATCTGCTGTACTCACTTTCCGTGATCCTGGGTCGGCATCTAAGGATATGTAATCTGTTTTGGCACACACACAAAGATGAGAGGACTTGCAAATGTCTTTGGATGATATAGATTAATACTTTAAGCTATAGGCTATAGGCATCTGCGAAGGCGTGCATCTGATTTACATATGCCTACACTGTTGATTGAGTGTGCAAAAACAGACATCTTTCCATCTGCAACTGCCCTCCTTTCCATCGCAGCCCGCGGATGGCACTTCTCGATGTACTCCGCGCAAAGAGGCGTCTGGGTGAAGTCTCTGATTTCAAAGTAGGGCTTCATATCTGGGCTGCACCTAGTGATGCGCTGAGCCCAGTGTTCACACCCGACATGTGAGGTGAGGATGGTTTTATCAAGTTGTATATGGATGATTCCAAGTAAACCCTCCAGGTCAATGACCCTTCGGACTTGCAGGGAAAGATAAGCTAGTTCTATCCCAAATCACCATCAAATGAATCGATCATGACAGTTTTGGGATGGAAACAGAACACCAAGCGGCAACAAGATTTTGACCCATACCCAATATTTGCCTCGCCATCAACTTTCATCAAACGAAACTGGGGCAGATGCTAAGAATCCCAAAACGAAGATCAGCAGGTGACAAAAGGTCGTCAGAACTTGGTTGATTTTGTGATGTTGGGGCTATTACAAGTCGATTTTTGATGTCTCTGGATTCTCCGGGTATCCCGGCAGTTTCAAGCATCTGCTTCCCTGCTCCACGAAGGCAACTTTGTCATAGCCTTTCAGGTAGATGACCTGTCGCTGATCTCTGAAAGCAAACTGAAAGGAACTTCAGAGCTCGGTCTGAGAGCCGTGAAAGAAAGGTCTAGCATTGCTACAAAAATACAGCAAGGGTTTAACAATTGAGCCTATATGAGCCTACATTATATATATATTATATACATGTTAATATATATATATAATATTATCTATATATATATGTGCAATATATGATACACGTTTTGGTGCCGAGGCCAAGGACGCTTAAAATCCAGGACAACTTTCAACCCAGAACCTCCCGGTCGGAGCACCTTTTCACAGTGGGATTGATGTCCATTGCCGTCCTTCAGGGGCGACCTGGAAGGGTCGGACAGGAGCTGCCAGATCTGCCAGTTGAGGACCATCAGAATTGGTGCGTGCTAAACGTAGGGTGGCTGGATGGGTTATGGATGGGTTGCTGGGACGAACATTCCCTGCGTAAAACGCACCAGTAAGATGAAACACGGGAGAGAACATGTCATGTAAATTTGATCTACGCCACGAGAATTATGTAGCAAATTGATGCAAATTGGAAATCTCGAACCTCAAACATGTTCATGTGGTGCCATGTTGCCCTTTCTGCTCCGATTTTACATGACAAAAGCACTATCGTTTTTCAGCATCTTGGCGAAAACTGGCAAAAGGTCATATAAGTCATATATTTGTTTTATTTCTGTTTTAGGGACTCCCTAAAAAGAACTTCCCGACTGGCCCACGCCATTCATGCGAACGTCCCACACCCAAAAAACTGACGACGAAGGCCCCCCACTGGCTGAAGCGAATGATGTTGTACTGCTGAGGCACATCCTGTCACAGGGGATGTTTGTCGGTGGTTTCAACCGTTGAACCACCTATCCCAACAACATACCCTCGGGTAATCAAACGTGGCTGGCTGGAAAATCCTCTATAAATGGAGGTTGATAGCTGGAAAAATCCTCGAAGTAACTATAATGGTGGAATTCCAATTGATATGTTTGATTAACGGAGGGTATGTCAATGGGACCATCATAGGATTGAACAAGAATACATATAGTTAAACAGACTAGCACAACTCGCCATCTCTTTTTGGTTTGGGAACGTTGGGGTAGATATATAGACTCACCGATGGCCAGGTGAGAAAATCATGTTCCAAACCCCACATCTTGTTGCAGCAAAACCCCATCTCTTATTTGGAAGTTTGGGATAGTCAGCCATATGGCTGACAGTCCAAAACTATGAAAAAATAGCCTATATGTTAGTAATATATTACATATATATATACATATACATATATATTATACATATACCATCGTGTTGTGCCATTTCAATCCGGAAAAATTGATGATCAACCACCAACAATTGGGGGTTCTTCAAAGGTGTCGGGCTGGTAGAAAACCGCAATACACAATGCACTCACACAAGAACTTCTTTTTACGCTAGAGACATCTTCTCTTGCACATACACACATACTTCATGCTACGCTACAGATGCTATTTGTTTCACATACTCACATACTTCCTGCGTCGCTACATACATCTTTTCTTGCACTTACCCACATACTTGATGCTACGCTAGAGACATCTTTTCTTGCACGTACATACATGTTTCATGCTACGCTACAAAGGTTTTTTGTTGCACATACACACATACTTCCTGCTACGCTAGGGACATCTTTGCTTGCACATACACAAGGAGGAAAACATGTCGTGCTTTGAAGAAGCTTTGCCCTGTAAAACCCAATGGAATGTTACAATGGGTCTTCAAAATTCAAGGTGCAATTCTAACATGAAATGATTACGGCGCTGTGGCGCCAAGCAAATTTGATTCCAAAACATGGACAACTGCTGCTAGCGCGAACTTTTACCAGCCCGACGCGTCTGGCAAAATGGGGGGATCAGTTAAAAACCATGAAAAACCATAGGTTTCAATACAAAAATCATGGGTTTCATTACAAAAACCATGGGTTTCATTAAAAAAACCATGGGTTTCAATACAAAAACCATGGGTTTCATTAAAAATGGTCGAAGTTTGGATGATTTGGAGGTCCCATCCATGACTTAACGGTGATTAATCAGAGCGCCTCCGCCATGCCTTGATCCACCAAGAAAGCGGTGAACTCCTGGCAGATGGGATAGCAATTTAAGAAACATCGCCATTTATAGGGGAAATATGGGAAACATATGGGAATTTATGGCAATTTATGGCAATTTATGGCAATTCATGGCAATTTATGGCAATTTCCCATATAGTTATGGCAATTTATAGGGAAACATATGGGAAACACATGGGAAACATATGGGAAAATGGTGATTTTTTCGAAAGGTTTTTTTTTTTAGAGGTACCCCATTTTCAGACACAGAACTCAAATGTGCCGCGGTTGATGGGATGAGATGGCTCAAACCATGGGATGGAATGATGGGGGCCCCTGCCAGCTTTTTGACTCATTAATAGCTATGGCTATGGCTCAAAACCATAGATAACATAGGGTACTACAATAGACTCGGCTAGATTTTGCCATGTCTTTCCAGTATGAACAACTTTATACATGACCAAACATGACTAAACCATCTTCATATATGATGATAAACTCATATTAAACATACCCTCTGGTAATTTAACATAACTATGGAGAATCACCATTTTTAATGGGAAAATCCACTATAAATGGTCATTTTCAATAGCTACGTTAAATTACCAGAGGGTATTTTTTCATATGATACAAAACCATCTTTTTCACGTTCGGGATCTGGCGGTCAACAGATGGCTCAACCCTGGCTCCACCAGGTCGCCTCCCAAGTCATGCTACCATTACAATCCACGTCGATGGCGTCCTCATGGAGACGGGAAGACCGTTATGGACCCATGGTGGATGCAGAAAAAAGAACTAACATAGCTATGGAAAATGGACCATTTATAGATGCTTTACCTATTGACCTATTAGTTTTTAAAATCACAACCATCTGGTTATTTAACATAGCCACATAGCTATGGAAAATGGACCATTTATAGATGGTCTACCTATTAGTTTTTAAAGGCACATCTACCATCTGGTTATTTAACATAGCCACATAGCCATGGAAAATCACCATTTATAGATGGTTTACCTATTAGTTTTTAAAATCACAACCATCTGGTTATTTAACCTAGCTACATAGCCATGGAAAATCACCATTTATAGATGGTTTACCTATTAGTTTTTAAAATCACATCTACTGTACCATCTGGTTATTTAACATAGCCACATAGCCATGGAAAATCACCATTTATAGATGGTTTACCTATTAGTTTTTAAAATCACATCTATCATCTGGTTATTTAACATAGCCACATAGCCATGGAAAATCCCCATTTATAGATGGTTTACCTATTAGTTTTTAAAATCACATCTACCATCTGGTTATTTAACATAGCCACATAGCCATGGAAAATCACCATTTATAGATGGTTTACCTATTAGAAATGGTGATATTCCATGGCTATGTTAAATAACCAGAGGGTAAGTGAATCTAACTAAATCACAAAGCCAACAGAACTCAATCACAATGTACATACTATATCCAAATTATTCCTTATCCTCTAGTAAACTAAGATAAATCAACACAGACATGAGAAATGATCTAGAATTGGTGGTTTTGCCATATCTTTGGCACTGGAGGATATCCAAATATAATCCCCCGACATTCCCCATCATAGGAGCAACCAGGAAACACTAGTGACCCGCCAAAAACAGGGTCATGTGGATTGTGAGTAGCCTACCTATAGGATCAATTGTTGAGTGATTACTCCAACAACCATGGTTGGATCGTGTTAGAACTCAGGTACTTTAGCGAATAGGGGACACCATCGCCCATGACTATCCCTTCAGCCATCGCCAAGACTCGAAAAGATTGATCAGCTGCGAGATGATCTTCCGTTCCTGCGCAAAAAAAATCACAGTTGGGTGCTCCGAAAACAATTTCTCCGAGAATTGCTGTGAAGAAGAATTGTATTTCAGCAAAACTAACCCATTGATCTGTTGTGACTTCTGGATTGTTGTGACAAAATAACGGTATATGTTCAAAAAATGTTATGTTGTGACTTCTGGATTCATTTTTTTTCAGCAAAACTAATCCATTGGTCTCAGATTGTATCCCATTTGCAAAATATCCGCCAGGCTCGTCGGTTTAATCAACCACACTTTTATATAGGTAAATCATGGAAGTAAACGGACCAGTTTCCATAGTTGTGTTAGGTTACCCAAAGGGTAAACACATGCCCCCCTTATTGATTATGTGCGTTATATAAAATAACGTCCATTTAAACATATGTATATTTATAACGTATACATACATATAATTATATATACACAATATACATACATACATCTACATATACATATACATATACATATATACATATACACATACACATACACATACACATACACATACACATACATATACATATACATATACATATATATAAATCTATACGTATATATATATATACATATATATATACGTATGTATATGATTTGCTTATAATGATCCCATGTCTCGTGTTCAGTCTGCCCTCCTCTTCGTAGAGTTCAAAGAGAGCGATGAGCTCAAAGACCTGGCGTCGACCATTTTGTTTGGGGCTAAAATGATGTCTGAAAGTGCTATAACTATCTATAACTGGTAATGTGGGTAATACAATGCCATAAACCACCCATGACTGGGAATGGTTTGCATACCACCTATGATTTATGGTGATGACTTGGGGATGGTTTATGGCATTGTTTTACCCAAATCAGACTTGTAATGGTAAAATGGGTGTGATTTTTTGGTCAACTTGTTTGGAAGTTTCAGATTTCAGACTAGTTTCTCGTACCGAATATGCCAATGGCTGGCAAGCAAGAACAAATTTCTAGGCTAAGAATGTTCGTCCTATGCCTTGATGTGCAAATGTGGACATGATGGGATACAACTGAGACGCAACGGAAATAATGATGAGTGCCTTCGTCGCTATCAACACATCGGATCCATCTGTTGGATCAGGCGCTGATCGCTGGCTCCATGGCGCCTGTTGGAACTGGCCCTTCATGATGACCACAAAGCTCTCCAAGTCGACATTGCCCTGATCCAGTTGCAGTGGATTCTCCCAAATACAGCCATGAAATAGCCATTTCAACAAGCGAATGGGGTATATGAGCTACAAAAACGGGGGTCTCTTTTAGCGCATTATTCTCTTTTTGAAACTTTCAAACTTCTTGAAGCCAGTTAAAGTCTTGCAGAGTCTACGGGAAAAACTGAACTACAGAGACTATAACTCCTCAGAGCACCCCTGAATTGTTCGACGTTGCCTTCTTCTCGAAGATCGCTTGCAAGGGCGTGATCTTTTCCAAGTCTATCACACTCAGAACCTGCGCTCCGCGGGAGCAGCACCGAAAATCTCAAGTGCTTAAAGCAAAGGTGGTACCTCAATAGGGTAAAGGGAAACACGTGGAAACACACTAGAATAGTGCTTGATCAAAAACCATTTATACATTATATTTGTACATGTGTATCTCTCTATAATTCTCTATATATATACATATATATATATGGAATGAAATACTGTACACATATGATATGATGCATAAATATAGGCTCCTGATGACCATCTGATTCTATCTGATTGATTGCCTACCTTCGAATCACAGTGATGATTTCCTGTCGTAGGTCTAGGATGTGTCTGCATCATGCATTCCACCAGCTATTGAATGTCATGGGGCCGTGTTTTAGTTGCCTATATTTCTACACTGACCTCGTGATGTTGTAGGGAGATGTGGGGAGGTAAGGCCGAAAGCTCAAAATGATATGCCAACCAACTCAATTCACACCTCAGTGGAGAGTGCACGTAATGTGTTTCAAGCAGTTTCACAAAATGTGCTACCAAAAAAAACAAAACGCAAATCATCGAAATCATCCGGAATCTATCCCTTCACCATTGATTCGCCATCATTTTTTGGCGTTTGAGTTGGGAAATTTTCAGGGTTTGGCGTGTCTGAAGCTGAAATTTGTCCAACCCGCCGGAAGGATCGGAGTCGGACCTGTGTCAGATTAAAGCCCGCGACCACCTTGCAGCACCGGCGACCATCGGTGGTGAAAGATGTTTCAGTTGGGATGATTTGCCTTAGCAGGAAAAGCAAGTTAAGTTTTCACATCACCTAATAGATCCTAATAAATCCATAATTATATCCTGATAGATCTACTCACGGATTACTGGAGTGATGCGACTCATTGGAAGCTGACTCATCGGCGCCAAGTGGTCACCATCAGAGTATCTGTGGCCATCCCCTGAGTATCTTTTTGCTGAGCATAGCACGTTGGCCACCACGCCCTCTTGCAACAAGAGCTTGGCAAAGACTTCCCAGGACAACAACTGAGGGCCCACGAGGCTTGCGACTAAGCCACCAATCCCCAAGGGCCATCGAGATTCGAAAGCAGGTAAGAAACATATCGAAACACGCATTCATCATCAAAATATATCAAAATATTTTTATTAATATCTCTTATGACCCACTGACCCAGAAATATTGGCAGCCATTTTGAGCACTGCCCTGGGGCACCTTTTGTGTTTCCTCCTCCACCTGGGCTTCCGTCATGAAAGCGGGGTTCATGAGGTCATCCTCCTGCGCCAGTTTTCCAAGGCCGGGCTGAAATAGACCATCGAGTGATAGACCATGGTTGGGAATTTCTATGAATTTCTACAATATCCTCACAATTTCGGACAAGTACAGGTGCTTGGGGCCCAACCTTCACTTCTGCTACCAAGCGCGAGGATGAACTTTGGAGCGACAGGAGCCAGACTCTCAATGGATTTCAAGCTTCAAATTACCCTTGCTGGCTCTCCAAATCATTAAAATAGTTGGTTGACATGTTTGATATACCAAAAGAAAAAGTGATTCATCAGAAGGACTTAGTGCAACCCAGACATTTTGAGTGGACCCCAAAAAGTGAACCCTGGAACTTGGAACATTATTTTTCCACTGGACATGGAAATCTGGTTGATTGTTCCACACCCTTCCAAACCCTTAGTCAGTCAAGCTGGCACCATCATCCCTGTTTGGATCGCAGAAAAAATAGAAGAAGAATTCGGAGATCAGAGAATATCAAGCAGCAAATGTTGAAAACATTGATTGAACATTTCACATAAGTAAACTAATCGCCCCCTAATCAGCAGGTTCCAAAAATGGTGGATTTAAAATATCATTGAGTATATCATTTAGTACGATTTAGGGCATTAAGAAATATGTCTTTAAAAAATCATTAAATCCCATTAAATCCCATTAAATCGCATTAAATCCCATTAAATATCAATATGGGTACATGGAATTAGAATATTCCAATCAATCCCATTAAATCCAATCCCATTAAATCAATAAATCCCAGGGATCCTCTTCGACCTCTTTGACTTCCTTCTCCTCTTCGCCTTTCACACCTGGCCATGACACGACAGTGCTTGGGACATCTTGGGGGCCACCTGGTGGCTTAAAACTTGGGACATCTTTGGATTTTGGGTGAAATCGATAATGAAATCTGCATCATTCTGAATAATTCTGAATATCTCTGGTGAAATATGATGAATTATGGTGAATTATTAATTATTCCCATATGGTGAATTATGGTCCCGATCTGAATTATGGGGAATGGTGAATTATGGTGAAGCACCGGGCTAGCGACTTCCCATTCCCACCTTGTCCGATGGTTTCGTGCACCAGCTGCAAGGCCGCCTCGGTCGGTTCAACATGGTTCAACCGCTCCGTCGCTGGGGATTCTGCCCTGGAAACTCGTGGGGTTCGCATCAGATGTCCACCATATCAGTGACAACATGTGACAACCACATCAGTTCAAACCAACATCATCCAATATCCAGAATTATGCAGGCAAAAGGAAAAAACACATTAATATACTCTCCCATGACAGACAAGTTACATCCCTATCTCACAAACCATCCATTCTGTTTCATCCAGGCGAGTTATATCTGATGATCTATGGGGTCAACGATCCTGGGGTGCCCGGCGACCACCTGTTCCTCCCCGCCCTCCATGCTTCTCACAGTGGGCAGTAACAAATCAACGAAGTCCTCCAGTGGCTGCATACGAGTACCCTGCCAAAGATGGTTGATTAACCAGCAAAACAAATGGGGATAAGATCATCTTAATCTTAAGTTTTGGTTGGTTAGAATATCTCTATCTTATGACAAGAGTGTAAAAAGACTACTGACGCTACTCAACTAAGCTTTGTCCAGAATTGAGGGGGGAAACTTTGCAGGGGGGTACCCGGCCTATGAAGCAGTCAGGGTTTATTGATCTAGGGTCGACCTTATGGATCAAATCCAAAGCCTTGCGAGCCTGGTAATTTCACCAAGCCATGGAAAATCATCCCGTTCAAAGGTATGACATGGTACACCATCTATAAATGGGCCATGACTTCCAGTTCGCAAACTGCTAGTTATTACCAGAGGATATATTAACTGAGAGTTGGATCATGGTTCCCTGGTTCCCGCCTTGCTGGTAAGGGCATTCTCCTTTTCCATAAAGACTTCTTTCACGTGTGTTAGCTTCTCCTGGTCAGCTGACAATTCCCCAACCTCCACCAGCAACAATGCGAAAGCGAGGAGGTGATCGGATGATCTGTAAACATTCTTAAAAACATCTGACTGGTTACCCTCTGGTAATTTAACATAGCTATTGAAAATCACCATTTTTAATGGGAAAACTCACTATAAATGCCCATTTTCAATAGCTATGTTAGTCATTACCAGAGGGTATGACTTGTTGATACGTCTTGATGGCCAGTCAGCCTGGGGGATCTCAATTGGCATTCAAATGATCAACTCAGGCTCGGGATGAACCACATCACTGTACTCATCCCCATCATTGCTGGTATGGTTGTAGGTGAACCACCCTGGTGTTCGCACCGAGGGATCCTAGGGAGAAGACCAGAATGTATGCGAGTAGCTGGATATTAATACACCCATTCCCATATACATAATTACGCATAATGTGTATGTGTAAAGATATGTATGTATGTACGTATGTATGTATGTATGTATGGATGGATGGATGGATGGATGGATGTATGGATGGATGGATGGATGGATGTATGTATGGTATGTATGGTATGTATGGTATGTATGGTATGTATGGTTTGTATGGTTTGTATGGTATGTATGGTATGTATGGTATGTATGGTATGTATGGTATGTACGGTATGTATGGTATGTATGGTATGTATGTTATGTATGTTATGTATGTTATGTATGTTATGTATGTTATGTATGTTATGTATGTTATGTATGTTGTGTATGTTCTGTATGTTCTGTATGTTCTGTATGTTCTGTATGTTCTGTATGTTCTGTATGTTCTGTATGTTCTGTATGTTCTGTATGTTATGTATGTTATGTAAGTTATGTATGTTATGTGTGTTATGTATGTTATGTATGTTATGTATGTTATGTATGTTATGTATGTTATGTATGTTATGTATGTTATGTATGTTATGTTTGTAATGTATGTAATGTATGTAATGTATGTAATGTATGTTATGTATGTTATGTTTGTAATGTATGTATGTATGTATGTAATGTATGTATGTAATGTATGTATGTATGTATGTAATGTATGTATGTAATGTATGTAATGTATGTAATGTATGTAATGTATGTAATGTAATGTAATGTAATGTAATGTAATGTAATGTAATGTATGTATGTTAGTTATGTATGTATGTTAGTTATGTATGTATGTTAGTTATGTATGTATGTTAGTTATGTATGTATTTTAGTTATGTATGTATGTTAGTTATGTATGTATGTTAGTTGTGTATGTATGTTAGTTATGTATGTATGTATGTTAGTTAGATTAGTTATGTATGTATGTACGTACGTACGTACGTACGTACGTATGTATGTATGTATATATTGCATTATGCATATATGCAAATATCATACATAACATCCACGAAGAACCAGTCAGAATCGAAACTGATTCTGGGTCAAGAACCTATCCTTTATCCCAATTGATTGGTCAATATTCCCGCGTTAGTCATACAGTCATACAAATCTATTGAGCACACCAACAAATACGTATGATGTCCATTGTTTCATCATAATAGGGATTTATCATGTTTTATCATCCCCATTACATTTATGTTTGATTAATTGATTATCTAATTATCTATGAAATTATATCAGTATGTCCATAATTAATGTGGAAAATTATAGGAATAAGCGTAATAGATTAAAATTACCCATTCAATGATGGGATATAAAGCATAATAGTCCGCTTATTAATTAATCATCTGGACGTATGTGGATTTATCATCCCCATTATATCTATCTTTGATGATTGTTAAACATCTATCAAACAAATGGATGTATCATTCCCCACATCATATCTATGTTTGAGTTTATCTATACATAATCCATATAAATCCCATCATCATTCCCAAGCTCTATAGATCATATTCTCATCATTATTCCCATCATTATCTATAGATATATCTACATAGGGATGGGTCAAAATCTATGATTACCATATCTAGGGGTAGATTCACATCCAGCTGTACCAGCTATGACTTGGGGTACCGAAAAAAAAGGGTACCAGGGTTTTTGACTCATACAGTAGCCATACCCTCTGGTAATGACTAACATAGCTATTGAAAATGGCCATTTATAGTGAGTTTTCCCATGAAAAATGGTGATTTTCCATAGTTATGTTAGTTTACCAGAGGGTAATAGATTCCCACAGTTGGTCCTATCCCCACCAAGGCCCTCAGACCCCGGAAATCCCACCGTGTCGATCTTATGCAGCACGCGGGAGATGAGGATCTGCTCCCTCGAACCTGGGCCAAAAAATGGGATGAAACGGGTCCATTCTTGGAAGGTAACAAAAACTTATTATTATGTAGGATTATGTATTAAGATTTATTAAGATTTATGATGTAGGCTCTTTCCCAAATCTATCCATGTTTGGGAAAAGGTTTGAGAAATCCTGAAAAAATCCATATCCTCCGACATCCGGAAGCTTGGCCCAGGTCATGTCCGGAGATCTGAAACTCTGAGGAGTGGGCTTGCAGCCATTGACTCTTTGGCCAAGACCAACCTTGAGATCCAGATTTGCGATAGGCTGCGAACCACAATTATATATATATATATGTATGTATATGTATATGTATATGTATGTGTATGTGTATATTATATATATATGTATATATATACACACCTGGCAATCATCACTGATTCTGGATTTGAAAATCACTTGGCATCGCTTGGGGTCAGCCCATTTGCAGGTACCAAGCCGTACCAAACTTGGACCAAACCCATGTGTCAGGCTGGAACTGCACAACCTCTGACTGAGGGGGCTGCTCTGCACCGCCTGAGCCCCAAGAGCTCACCCGGGCCAGGAAGTGGTATCGTCGCTGTCATGTGGGACACCCAAAAATAAATCATCCCCAATCTCACTATAAAATATAGGTGATAACATGTCATAACTGCAGTATCATCCCCAAGTGGCAGGTATATTATTGGGTTTACCACATTAGTGTCAAATGAATGGCAATCTTCATGAATTTGAAGACATGGCAACCACAGAAACAAGCACGAGCAACCCACCCAAAGGGTATCTTCAGGCATCCATCATGATTGCAAATAATTTGGCACCGATACTAGTTTGCATTTTAAACATATTCCATCTAACGAGTATGTCAATTCTTCTGCCTTACACGTACAGGAGGACTCGCCCAGCAACTTACATCAACTTAGAGAGCCCACCGTAAGTAAGACTTACACTTGGGCTCTAGATGTCTAGAGTATAATTCTCCCCATACTTTTGTTGGGTTAATTACATGTTAGATCATGTTCAATCATGTTTAATCCCCAAAAATGCGACAGAATCACAACCATTTCAATTTCGCTGTCCATGGTTAAATCCCTACAACCAGGGGTCCGGTTGGCACCTGCATGTCCATGTCGCTGTTCAGCTCGCCGTGACTGGGATGGGACAGCTGGACTGTCTGGAAATCTTCCTATAGTGAAAAATGGGTTGGGAGGCAAAGAAAAAACATCTTTACACATCATATGTGTTTTGAAAAAATCCTTAGTCTTATTTCAACAGATGCATTGACGAGGTACTCAGTCGTGTTGATACAACTGATATGATATATATATATTATATATATATAATATGTATATGTATGTATGATTATGTATGTATATGCAAATCAAAGGAAGGGTGGCTGTCATGAGGAGGCAGCAAAAAATCGAAAGTCAACGAACCTCCACGGTACTGGGCGACTGACGCGGCTCTGCGGGAAAAGTGGATGTTCCCCATCCTCATCACGCTCTGTGAGCGTGTGACCTGCAATGGCGGTTCAGCCAGGACCAAAACACAACATAGCAACTGTTTTCAAGTCGTGTGAAACGAATGTCTCACAGAATTGCTAGCAACCATTTTCAAGTGTAGTCCTTTTCAAGTTTTGTGCAAAACCACGTCATAGGCAGTCATAGACTGTTTCCATCAGGTGGGAAAATGATGGACAAAAATGGTTGGGTGTGTCTGAAAATAGTGTACCCCTAAACCCAATGGTTAATGATCATTATCCCTATTAAATGGCTATAATTGGGAATATACCCTATTTTCAGACAAACCCGGTTGTCTCTCTTGGATGTCGTGGCTGACACACCAATGGTATCGTCATCTCAGTGCGCGGCTTTGGGTATACCGCTCCAGCAATGCCTCAGCAGTCGTTGGACGTAACAACTGAAGCAGATCGAAGCATCTTGAAGCAGAATCAACTCTTTGAATTACAATGTAGATGTATACATATGTATATTATAATATATATAGAGTATGCAAACATAACATAACATAAATATACATAAATAATATATTAATTACACACACACATAAGATTCAGCCTGTTGAGCCTGTTGACCGCAACATCGCATCGCTCAGGTGCTTCTGAAGCAGCTATTTTCCCCAAGAAAGCAGCCATGCACCAAGTGGCTGCGCCCCTTCTTAGCCAAGGATGACTTCTTCTATGTCGAGGAAACATGGAGAACCAATTCTGGGTAGACAGCTGCAGGGTCATAGACAATGTATTCATCATGAAGCTGAACTTCTCCTGGAGACTTCTCAGTGTAGCCTTTTTTGGCATGGGTAGAATCAAAGCCGTGGCTTGGGCTAAACCGTCTCTCACAATCACGTTCAAGTACTTCAATCTCGCCCAAGACGACACGGCAAAGAATGATGCATCCGTACGGCTCAGCATACTGAAAAGCCTTGCAACTTGATGTGGTGAAGTACAAGCCTTTTCCATATCTACCATTACTCTCCAGAGAAAATCGTGTCTGCAAGCCATCTCGACGAATGCTGTCAAGGTTGTCCACATCAGTGCCATGGAGTAGATACACTGTGTTGGCTACCTTGGACAAGTCATTCTTTTCAGCCAAACGATCAAGCCATTCATGAATTAAGGGCTGTCCCCCACTCGGGCCGTGGGGGTGGTACTGGTCTGCAATGAAGGTCTCATATGCCTTGAAACGCCTAAAGATCTCTTTGTTTTCAATGCGCTGCATCTGGTGCACAACAAAGCGAGCATCCTTGTCCAGCCTACAATCGCAAGGGAGATCCTCAAGTTCATTCCAGCCTCGAGACTCAGCAAGCATGGTATCTGCCTTTCCGTGATTGTACCCACCCTGGCGATAGGCATTTACAAGCATTGGCAAATCTGTCGATGGTGAAGAAAAGTAGGATGGAATGTCAACAACCACCAGAGGTCCTTGTTCATCACCAACAGAAATCAAGTAGTCTCTTTCTGACATAAGACCGCATCTGCGCATGTGTTTTGCTAGGTTCTCCCTTGCCTGCGGCTTGACGTAGCCGCAAGCAGCAATTGACTGCAACGAGGCAGTCACACCTCCATCATTCAAGCCATAGATCTCTCCGCCACAGGCACGTGCTTCGATGCTCATGCCACGGGCAGCATAAGATCCCCTCTGAATGCCTCCAGCCGAGTAGCCGAAATGATCAGCAAGCTCAACTCCCCGGTGGATCAGTTGACTGCTTGAAATTCTGTTCAAGCTCAAGCCTTTAGCATGGAGTACAAGCACTCCATCCATGACTGGAAGAAAGAAGTCGTATCGTCACCTTGAGCCCTTTTGAAACTGCGGTTGCAGTGTCTGAAGGAAAGGATGCTTTCGCTGCTGTCAAATGATATCAGCATGTGTTTTCAGGGCCTACTATATAACAAAAAGGTAAAATCACTAGGACATCCAGAAAAAAAAAGGCCTGCAGCACCAAAATAACGCGTCTTTTGTTCCAAAAATTGGCAACCGGTAGTCTTTGTGCTGCTCCCCAGTGCCCCGCCTTGCCCTCAGTTTCGGACCCGCATGGTTGGGTTGTGCGGCGCTGGGGCCGAAGTGCCACTGGCCTCAGTTACATGGCTGTGGGACGAGGATATCTCACCGGCTTGACTTAACTATAATATCATAATATCATTTATCATTATATAATCTGGTTCATGGGTCATTAAATGTCACCACTGAACATCACCCAACCATGAGCTATCTCATCTATAATTGCCATTCAAAGGTGATGTCCAATAGCCCCAAAATGGGACATTTACCAATCCCTGTGGTTGGTGGTTTCAACTCCTCTGAAAAATATGAAAGTCAATGGGAAGGATTATCCCATATATTATGGAAAATGAAAACATGTTCCAGTTCCAAACCACCAACCAGAGAATGATTTGTGAAAATCAAGCCGCTTGTACCGTATATAGATGATTTGTGGAAACCATACATTTAACATGATTTAAGCATCATGGTCCATGGCTCATGATTTGCAATGATTTTTAGCGGCTACAGTAATTTATGATGGTTGATGAAGATAAACGTGCGGGGAAACATGGATTTAACCATCCAATACAGGGGCGTCCTTCAAGTTTGCAGTTTGAACCGAGTCTTTGAGACTTTTGGATCCTTTTATAACGTGCTATCCATCAACCATCAACTGGTGGTTTGGGCAACAGGGGCTTCCCATTTCATAATATTTATCCATATCTCCTTTCACGATGTAAAATTGGTTTCCAGTTTCCTGCTATTCCAAACTACCACCATCGGCTGAAATCAAGTTGTTGGTCGTTGATGGAAATGTTTCTCAAAAAGCCTCGGTATTATTAATCAAACTCAGATCATGGCAGGTCATAACCACATAGTCTATTGCTCATGTCTGAGGCTACGCTGGACTGCGGCTCACCCCACAATGCTAGCGGCCCAGCCATGTTTTCCCGGCGCTGGGAGAAAACTTCTCCGCTTGGGTGAAACATCGACAGCTGCCACATCCACAGCAACCACTGCAAAGGGCTCTGCCACCAACCATCCATGTCCAGTGATTGCAACAATTCTCTGTAATTTCCCAGCTTCTGTTGCACTTTTCTTTCCAACTGTACCAAAAATCCATATGTAACCAAAAATGTCTCAACGAAAGCCGAATTCCAAGGAGAAAAATACCACCAGAGTTCAGGTTCAGATTGGCAGAAGCTGCCCTAGGCCTCTAGCGATTGGAGCTCTAATAGGCCAACCTTCAGGCCAGTCCGAGCACCCACTGTGGCGCCAGAGAGGATATCGGCCACGTCCTTGCAAGCGGTGCCGTTGGGAGATGGACGTAGATAGGGTCGGTATATTCTATATAAGAGATTTCAACCATACATCTGGAGCATGGCCTGCAGCCTTTCATGAGCCCCCTTCAAGTGGAAGCGGGCACGCAACATGAAATGTATAATATACATATATATATATATACACCAATACTGAGGGAGCATCCATATCAAATTCCTGTTCTCAATTTTATATGCGATGAGTTTCTCAAACACAGGATTGTCAAATTATACATTTACGACTTGAGCATGGGTGTGAGTACGTGCGCACCAATCTACCATCACAACAGGTCCCAAATCTAGATGTTACATGGGGGCGCAGCTGGGGTTATCTATGGCCATAACTATGCTAAAAACCTCCATAAGTATCCATCAGTTGGGATATGGGGCGCCTACAACAGTCCTGGAGAAATCTGACCCACAAAAATTCTCGTGGAACTGCAGCCATCAGTCCATCAGTCCCCCAGGAACTGTGTTCCAGTCCTGCAACTGCAAGATCTGTTTCCGTCGCTCTTTGGCCACCTTTTCATAGTCTGTCATCAGCTTGGTGCAATCTTTGCCTCGCAGCCACTGGGATCCCTTCATGTCTCTTCCGTGCGTAGCCCCGAGTTGGATGGGTTGAAACTTAAAACATGGGGACCTGAATACTTGACCCACAACAACTTGACAAATCTCATGGAAAAAGTGTGGTTCAAACAAAAATTCTTCCCCACGTGTTCTATTAAAACTATTGGTGGTGACATGATTCCCATGGTTGCGGATGATATCGCCACTGTTTCCTATCCAATCGTAGTCAGTTGGGATCATCATAGCTAGGAAAACAACACATGATTGAAACCACAAACCAGGGACTAACCGGTGTCCAAGTTCATCCAGTTTTCTGGGTAAAAACACCTACCCTCTGGTTATTTAACATAGCCATGGAAAATGGCCCATTTATAGATGGTTTACCTATTAAAAATGGTGATTTTCCATGGCTATGTTAAATAACCAGATGATATATAATCCTATGTACAGCATTTGTATTCACAGCTCAAGCCCCACTTGTCCAACATGTTTCCTCCACAACCTCCATTCTTTAGACCCAGCAAAATCTCATTTTTTGTTCCCAGAAAAAACAAAAACTTCCACATGTTCCAGCAAAACCCTCCATGGTTCCCATTTCTCCTAGGAAAAACATCTCTAACCCATCCACCTTTCACTACTTCCCCTGGCGGCCCAGTCACCCAGTTTCACCAGAGCATCTTCGGTGGCCGTCAATGAGGTGGTTTTCAGCTCGGCATCGGCCTGGTGAATTCCCAGTCACCGGGTTCAACACTCAAATAAGTTTCCATGGATGATTTGGGGTACCCGGTACACCCACTTTAGGAAACCTCCATATCTGCGTATTCCTGATTTCACCTATAAAAAGACGGTTGATTCCTGGTACATCAAGATGATTCTTGATTTTGAATGCGTTTTTTTTCTTACCTAGGGGTGGAAACTGTTGCGAAAGGCTTCAATTTCAACGGTGGTGAAGTTCAATGACTTCAACCATTAACTCAAGTTTAGTGTTGATTGGTATTGTTTGGTTGTGTATTTCGGCCAAAATTTGATGGGTATTTAACAATCAAGAATGGAGACATTATATATTGATTATTGATATGCTGGCTGTTGATTTTGGCCACCAAGAAAAGCTAGTGGATTTAGGGGGTTCGGTTTCACCCATGAGTGTGTTGGGCGTTTTTCACCGGAGAACATATGGGAATTGACCAACTAATTGGGATATGATGAGCCAGACTGCAGATACCCTCTGGTAATTTAACATAGCTATTGAAAATGGCTATTTATAGTGGATTTTCCCATTAATAATGGTGATTTTCCATAGTTATGTTAGTTTACCAGAGGGTATAAGATTACTTGGGGATGAGTTAACACCACACTTGGAGTGAAATCCGATTCTTCAAGTTATTTTGATATATTTTTACATACAAAGGATGGTACCAGCCTTGGACCCAGAACGTATTAGCCATGGGAACGATATCCACTATGATCATGTCCTGATTGGGCATTCGGCATCCACAGCATTCCAAACCGGTTGGTGATCAAGGCATAAAAAACACGTGTTCGCCTTGACTTGTGTCAGCTCTTCTGCATCTCTGGCTTTCTCCTGCACAGCAATTTATCATCTGAGACGCCTTGATTTCTATTGTGTAACCAGATGTAATCAGATTGGGGATCTGCTTCGACACGGATCAGGAAATCCCAGGATTTGAGGAACCATGAGGAACCACCAAGCCAGCTGCTGACATGTCCTGCAGAAGTTTGGAGACATGCTCCAACTTCTTGTCGAAAAGGGATTTGGTCTCGCTTCGAACCTGAGTGAAGTGAGGTGTTTTTGTCGAAACGACCCCGCACTCTGCACTCCTCACTGGTAGACACAGAAAGGTTGGTCAGTTTACTATATCCATCACCAAGTATCGATTTATGAATCATCCCATTTTGGTGCAAAGCTGTGTGTAGTCAACTTTATCATGGGTTTTGCCAGATCCCAAATGAGCTTCAGCACAGCCAACAGGTCTGCATCGGCCCAAAAAAAAGATGCCGCTGCTGTTGCTCTTTTTGACCCAGTTTGTCGATTTCATTCATCATCTGACAAAAAAAAATGGGCTATCTTTTTCCAAGTTGTTCCATGTGTTTCCCACCACTTCCGAAAGGGTCTTCGTTGGAGTCATCATACCTTTTTGGCCACACATCAAGCGCCACAGCTCAGGCACGCACCTTGGCCAGTTCCTCCTCTGCCTTCTCCTCCGCTGCGTCCGCATCCTTCTGCTCCTTCTGGAAATCCTCCACGATCGTGTCCAACATGGCGATGACACTGGAGCCCAGGTTGCCATTTCTGGAACTGCCCAACTTCCAAGTCACCTTGGGAGGACTCGCATCTTCCTGGCTGAAAGCTGTCAGATCCTTGGATTTGTAGAAGCCTTCCACAATGGACTTGGCTTTCTTCACCACTTTCAGGGTGAGGCCGCGGTCGCGACTGGAGGCCTTGTAGGAGTCTTGCTCTTTGGATCGAACCTGCAGAACTTCGCAAGGAAAGGAGGGAAGCGTAGGGCATGCTTGGCACTGATCCCCATAGCAATGATTTATCCAAACAGGAAATGGCTACAGCAGCTACCCCCAAGATCAACATCCTTAAGCCCCAATCCCATCTTTAATGAACGTTTGGACTGATTTCCAATATTTAATCACCACCCAAAAAATATAGACAAGTAAGATCCTACCAAAATGAGTGGCAAATTGAACCTTTGCTACATCATGGCTACATCCTTATCCTTTTGACATACTAATGGTCACCACTTTGACGCCCTCCAAAATCCCAAGTCCCAGCCCATCCCAAGTCATCCCTTGGCGCCTCCTCCAGTTGACTGAGGCGATCCGTGAACTTCGCCGCGTCCTTCTTCAGTCCGTCCACCTCCGAGGTCAGACTCGTCACCTCCGAGCTCAGGTACGCCTGTCGCGCCTGGCATGGGGAAGCTATGAGGAAGTTGGGCATACCATTGCCCTGCCCAAAATCCAAGGTTTTATGGCAAAAGTCTTATTCTGCAGTTCATCAACGGTAGTTTGGTTCGTGTTGGTACTCCTCATGATTGCTGCACTATATATATATATATTATATTATATATTCTTAATATATCCTCTAATTTGAACAGATTGTATTTGCACAAACCCTGCTAAACTGCATAGATAGAAAAACCACTGCAAACAGAGTCTTGGCAGCTGCTTTGTGACCAAACTTGGATGTATGCAGGGTGATCTGCAGTTCAGGTATGTGTGAAGCTTCGCAAGACGGTTTCAGCAATCCATTGGGTTCACATCCAGCAGATCCGCCATTTTTGCCCTTCTGCCGGAGCATCAGTAGTTGCCAATGAGACGGAGGTTTCCCCCCAAATCCCAGATCAAACATCCTGGTAACAAGCCGCTGCAACAAGATTTGCAGGTGATTTTCAAGTGGTGTCTTTGCACCAATCGGTAGTGAGCCTCAAGATCTCTTAAATCTTCAATGTCCAGCTGATCAATCAGCTCATCATTCCTGCGGTACAAGGCCTGCATATCGCTGCCCCACAACTCTTCAGTGAGTTCCGGATCACCCTCTCGGCAGAGCCGATCGATGTCATAGGAATCAAACCTGGGCTGGTCAGGTCTGATGGGGTGGAAAAAGAAAGCTGGGGCGATGAATGGGAAAAAGTTGGGGAAAATGGATCCAAAATGATCCAAATGGATCCAAATCACAACCAGCCCGTTGCAGATTATCAATACCAGCCCAAGCTGCTGGGCTGGTGTCCTGATGTTCTATGGTGTTCTCCTTTCCCGAAGGTTCCAACTGAAGTGCTCTTCCAAAATTTAGATTCCCAACAAATCCAATGTCCATTCAGAAACTTATCGGCCACATTTTCTTGATTGGGAGGCGGTTCAACTACAAATTTGAAACCGGGGTACGCACACAAATCACCAACAACTATAAGGTACCAGAACAAAAAAGACGCTTATAGGAACCCCCGCACAAGTGTCCGGCACTCCAATGAAAACTGCTGACTAAGAACATGGCCGCCACTACAATAACATGTTTAAAACGTCTTAAAGGTGTCAAAACAGCTACTCCTGGATGTTCCACGAAATTGCGAATATGTTTACTATCTGTGTCTGCACATGTTAAAAAGCTGAAAACGTCTGGTCAAAACATCACCATCATTACATACAGTTATATATATACACACATTGTAATGATAATAATAATAATAAATAGCAATAAATAACAATATAATGATGCTATAATAAAATAATAATCATATTTATAGTAACAATAATAATATACAAATTACTCCATACATTCTTCAACCAAAAACCCAAAACCATCTAAAACACTCTCTGATATAACCACATACTTCTATATAACCTCACATCGCTAGACATCGACCATTTAAAAATTTTAAAAAAAGACTCGAAATCTGAAAAATCACCCAGCAACTGTCGCACCTTTTGCTTCAATTCCTGGCGAATTCGCTTCCCCTCGTCCCGCACCGCTGTGAGCTCCAGCTGCCCCACACCGGCGCCGGAGCGGGCGTCGAGGTCCGACAGCTGCTGCCGGTCGTCCACTTCGCGGTCGCCGCAGATTAACGACATCTCCTGGGGTGAACGACTATATGGTTGTAACATGTTATAATACAGAAAATGGTGATATAACTTATCATTGCTTATCATATATAATATACATATAATTAATTATATATATACACATCTACAGTATTCTTAGGGGGTCAACTTGTTGGCTATAAACAATGCTCCTCCTTCCAACTAACATAGACCCTGCCAAATAGGATGCCTCTCTTCTTGGGATGAGTTGTTTTCAGAGTCTATGATAGTTCCATGTTAGGTGAGGGGATGCCAATTTCCCGCCTCATGAGCAGTGTTATTCCCCCCACATGAGCAGTGTTCGAAACCCTATGTTGTTCCACTGTATTGGCTGGTTATTAGAGATTCCCAGTTCATGGAATATGATAATCCCCGATATATTTGGATACTATTACCCCCTATAAGTACCAATCAGGGTTTTGGTCACTGCTCACCCCGTCTTCGCTTTCCAATCCCTCTCCCCTAACATTACTAAACTCTATTGGCTAGTGTTCGCAAAATCTCCCTCAGTCTTGATGGTGAAACGCCCATTTTGGGATGGGATTCAACTCATCATGCCCAATAAAAACCCACTAAAAACCCATGAAATCCCACCAAAACCTCCAAATTTCTAGGGGATTTCCCGTTTTCCAAGTGACGTGTTCGAAGTCCGGCGACGCCAAGGCCAGCTGCGCCCGCAGATCCGAGACCCGCATCGTTTCGGGCACCGCCACCGCCACGGTGCGCCCGGCCAGGCCCAGCTGCACCGTGACCTCCACGGTGGCGGAGTCGGCCCAACGGGGGCGCTTGGCCGCAGAGGTGGCGTCCATGGCTTTGTGTTCAGCAGATTTGTCAGATTTTTTTGGGGGGATAAACAAGCAATTTTGTTTTAAACAAATAGGGGATTTGTCTTAAAAAGTCGTGGAATCAAAGAATCCACTGTTGGGTGTTGGATTGCTTTTCAGCAGTTTTCGGTGGCAAAAAAAAGGCATCTCGCACTTAGGGTAGTATGAGATGGACCGCTGTTTGGGAGATTGGATGATAGGCGTTTGCACTTGGGATGCTGGGAGATGTGTGCCAAGTCTGTCTATATTATATAGTGAATTGAAAAACTTCTTGACTGATTGGCTGATAAAACTGTCCATGCAAGATCAAGCATGGTGTGTAGTAGGTGGCACTAGAACAATGGGATGGAAGGGGACGACGGGGACTACCTGGAAGTGGGTCAAAAAATTGGTCAAAGACTGTTATACTTTGCAATGCTTCCTTCTGTTGCGTCTTGATACATATTGTGGATGATATGGGTATTGAATCGCTTGAGCCGAGACACACCACAGCAGCGCATGTGCAAGATTCATGTACCGGGAAAGGACTCGGCTCAAGATAACTTTGTTGCAACTCGAGTGGAGCGTTGGATCATTAAACATGAAACATGTTAAACATGTTGCCAACATAATCCAAAATGTGTATTAGAAGTGGTAAGAACAAAATATATAGGCAGGTGAAGAAACAACCTTGGTACAACAGCCATTTGTATGCAATGTGGTTTTCAAATATGTGTGTGTGCCTCGCCACATATCGCTGGTGGGACCACAAAATTCTTGGCCCAGCAAGATGACCCCATTTCAACCCAGGGTTTAAGGCGTGACTCCACATGGCCATGAATTGCGGGTCAATCCACCATTCTTAGGGCGCCCCCGGCCTTCAACCGGGCCACTTCGCCTTGCAACTTGGCTTTGGTGTCCTGGTTGAGGAGCGAAGGGGGGGTAGCAGGATCGCAATGGACCACAAAAACTGCATGTTAGATACGTTTTGCAGTAAAGTTGATCCAATTCTGCGGCTAAATAACTTTGAGCCGTACCCATCTGAGTGCTGATATACATTCATGGCATGAGCAGTCAGATTGCTGGGAGGATGGCCCAGCATGTGATGATGTTCAACCAAGCCCCGAAAACAGTGGTTTTCCGCCCCCAAAAAAATGGAGTATCGCTCAGAATGGGATGTCCAGACGGACCACACATGTTGTAATTTGAGATGTGGTAATTCAGTTCCATGAGTAGCACGGATGTGTCACTTTGACAGTTGGCACGTAGATCATTGCGGGAAATGGTTTTGGGCCATGCCAGGTTCATCAAGTCAAGACATGGCTGGAGACCACAAGAGAATGCAACTGGACGAGATCACAATTAGCTGAAGTTGCTGAAGCCTTGCTCAGCGCCAATGGAAAAATATGAAAAATCCCATTGTGAATCGGTGAATCATGACACATGGGTATGGGTCAAAATTAGGTACCCCAATAATTGGATGGTTAATACTAAACTATATAGACTAACATCTGTGGTCCCCTAGGTCTTCCATTTTGACCCACATCCACATCACCATCACCACCCGGCCACAGCCTGACTTCCATCGAGTTGGAACTCGCAGAATTGCTTCCTGCCAGGCGAGAGGATCACCATGGACCACCGGTCAGCAGCGTCGCAGCGTCTGCACGCAACATGTCATGTATCGTAGCCTTGAAGAACAAGTCGTGTATGGACCATATGGATATGATTGGATATGTATGGATTATGCAAACATGTCCAACAATATGCATCATGGTCTCCAACAACAGTCCAACCCATGTCTTGGATTCTCTTATATTCTCTTGGAACTGTTCTCTTCCCTTCAACCAACAAAAACTCAAACTTTCAAAAAAAAAACAACAACAATTATTTTACTTAACAACAAGAATAGTAACAACAATAACTAATTGGTCGTTTCAACCCCCCCGAAAAATATTCGTCGGATTGTATCATCATCCCAACCTAATAGGGGAAAATAAAATTCATGTTCCAGTCACCACCAACCAGATAATAAACAACATGGGGATGGGTCAATACCTATCATTACCACATGACTAGGGGAATAACCATCCATTAACCAGCTATTTTAGAATATTTTAGGGTACCCAGGTTCCCAGGGTTTTGATTCATAGCCACATCCAATCCATCTCCATCACCATCTTCCAGGCCATCCCATGCCGCCTCTTTGTGTCTTCGGCCTGGTGGCTCCGAATCGCCTCCACCAGTTGCAGCACCGCCTCCGCCGCCTTTCCCATGCCCTGGGCTTTCTCGGCCGTCTGCTGCTGCATCAGCGCCACCTGGGAGGATCTGAGAAGGAGAACGCCCAAAAAAGAGGGAGGTGGTCCTAAAGTCATAGAATTCATCAGAAAACATCAGAAAACCAGTTCTATGACTTTCTGTATGTTTGGAGGTATATAATTAAAAATCACACCGAAAATTGTGGGATAAAATTTAAAAGAAAACAATGAAAACAAATCCGAATCCTTTAGCAAAACGGATTGGTTCTGCGGCCGACACTGGCCAGAAATTGGCGGCCGATCCCTGCATGTTTGGACAATCCCATCCGAATCACTGTGAAGATATAAGCCACTATCTTATTCAGTCCCCCCAAGTTTCTGCGGTGATATGATTGTGTAGTGACCATGCCTACCTCCCAGTTGCTCAGTGGGATGATGATTGCTGAGCACAGTACTACCATCACCAGTTTCCAGTGGATGTCCACCTCTAACTAATGGCTTGACAATCCAGAAATATTCTCAGTGGCTCTCTTGATTCATTTGTAGCCACAGAAATATCATGACAGCAATTTCGCGAAAGAAAGTCATCAACCACAGGTCGTTGCAATCCAAGGTGCAGCATCCCTGATGGAATCCTTCCTGTCTTCTGACATTCGATGCTTGGAGGACATCTGGCCGTGATGCAATACTGGTGGCTTGGGGCTTGGTCGGGATTGAGCGCTCTGATCAAGGACAAGTCGGGTTTCTTGACAACTCTTTGCTGGTCGTATCCCCATAAATCCTTGAACAAATGACATGGGGTTGTTGGTTTGGAGAGTTATGACGGTGTCTGTTGTATCATTCTATCATTCTATTCCTATTTTTTCTCCAACTTGGAACTTCGATTCTAAAATAGCCCCAGTCGATTCCCCATATTTCTGGTGGATCAATGGGCTTGGCGCAAATCCAAGTATCAATTTGCATATCATATGTAGTGGGTCTGTCAATAAGAGGATCCAAGTATCCAAGTATCAATAGTATCAATACTGGTTGGTGGTTTGAACCCCTCTGAAAAATATGAAAGTCAATGGGAAGGATTATCCCATATATTATGGAAAATAAAAAATGATAAAAAATGTTTGAAACCACCAACCAGAATAGGTATAATATTGAATCAACTGCATCTTCCCTGCACCTGGAGGAAGAAGGTGGCGCCGGCGGCATTTTCTCCACCTGCCTCCTGGCCGGGGCAGGTAAGGGAAAGGCAAATGGCTAGGATTTTACCAGCAAAAATGATGGTTTTAATAGTTATATATATAATATGTTTTTATGTTTTAATGATGGCTTAAACAGCTTAGTTTTATATAATATCTTTTCGTGATGGCTTAAACAGCTCCAAATTGGGACAAAATAGGAGTTTTACCAGGTACTGGCGGTTTAGCAAGCTCAAAGGAGATTTCACCAGAAAAAGGTGGCGCAACGCCAGCTGAGATTTTTTTGTGCGGCGCCTGAAGAATCAGGTACAAATGAACCATCTCAAAATGGTGCTAATGTTGAGCCATTCATCCAAATGGAATATCATTGATATAGCGGGATAGAAGCAACAATCAAACATTTGGGTTCATCTCGTACTGGTGGAGACCCAATCTATGGCCACTTCAGTTTTTTTTTTCAACCATGCGATGTGGTTTCCAACATGTTGAGACAACCCCATGTGCGAAGGAAAATGATCACATGAAACTGGGGAGTTCCGGCCATCACCACCGGGTGCCGGCCAACCACATCGGATGCTCGCCTCCTGCTTCAACAGGGAGACTGCCTCCACAATGGCTTCGCGCTCCTTCTTCTTGTCATCTTGACGAAGCTTGTACTCGCCATCCTACCAGGGCTGGTAAACAGCTGGATCCAAACAATGAATGGAATGGTCTATGTTGGGATGTGCATAATGACTTGTAACAAATCATAGCAATGGGAAAACTACATACTTTCAACATCTTTCAACCATGTACAGCAAATGAGTCTTCAAGAACATCGCCATCACCGCACCTTGGCATCACATTTTTCGTTGGTCTCGGCTTGCATGCGAATCATTTCTTTGCCGGACTCCTGGCCAAGGCAACCCCAAAATCGACAGAGCTGGACCCGGGGAAATTATGAGGCACATACTATCTGGGTAAATTGTAATATTTCACTATCCTGAATTAAGGCCATTTGGGGATGATTCCTCTTATTAACCATGATTCCCAGTGAGGTCGCAGTGAGGTCGTTATAATTTACCCAGATACTATCCCAATATTCATGTATACTGTATATCTTTTTAAAAATGTCGGTTTTCTCTGTTTTTCCTTCCATACGGTGTGTTTGCACGAGTTTTGAAAACTGGAAAAAAAATGAAAAAAACAGTGACTTGATCCATGCGCCTGTTCCTCGTCGTGGATGCGTTGAGCCTGTGCAGGTGTTGGTTCTCTCAGATTGTGAGTCTCAGTCCCCGTCGCTGGTAACTAAAATTTAAATCATTCATTTGTTAAGATTAGATCATGTTTTGTTGGTTTAAACTGATTTAAAAAAAAATGTTGTGCTATTTATCTTCCAAGAAAAATCGTCCCTGCAATTTTTTGGTGCTTGGAAAATGTTGGAAAACGACTTCCCGATCTCGGCTGGTCGATTTTCTCAGGATCTAACACCTCCAACTACGAATCCGGTAGCCAAGGAATCTCATCGGAATAATATCCATTATTTAAGTATTTAATATCCCTGGTTGATGACAATAACCTAATACTGATTTGTAATTGTAATTCCTGTGATGATTTCCATATCTTAATACTCCCCTAATCATTCCTGTTTCAGTCACGTAGTCATAAACCCTATTAATATCTAATTATATGGGTTTGTCTGAAAATAGGGTATATTCCCAATTATAGCCATAAAAAATAGGGATAATGATCATTAACCATTGGGTTTAGGGGTACACTATTAATATCTATATAGGTTTCTGCTGTTTCTGCTGTAACGCCACGAATATTTCCACATCCCCAGCCGTCTTTGCCTCGACCAGCTGCACCTTGGCCTGCTGAAGCAGCCGTGTTTTCTCCAGAACCTGGGCTCCAGTCACTAGCTGGCTACCATGGCTACCAGCTCGAAATGACCCATGGAAATGTATATGGAAATGTCAATGGAAAACATTTCTGGACAAACAAACAAAAAATCTGTGCTTCATGTTGTGCTTTAAGGATCTTTAAGGATGTTCAAATGTTGAAAATCATGTTGGATCCCTGTGGTTTTCTAGTCTTTTCCGATCCACCAGGCCTCGGCCTGCAAGAGAGACAATTGCTCCTGGTGCCACGCTTCCAATGGCTATTGATGGCTATAAAGATTTCTATAGCATCCTGGTCATTCATATCCTTTGAAGCTATAAGAACCATGGTAGAAATACTATGAAATACTCATCAGATATCATCAGATATCATCACTAATATATCACTCATATCCTATATGAATTCCTATGATCTCCTGATTTTTAGAGTGATGGCATGGTGGCATCCTCCCGCATCCAACAGGTGTCCCCCAAGGTTTAGCCCCACGGTCACCGTCCTTCTTGGCCTTGAAGAGGCTGCTGTGGGTCTTTCGCTTCGCCTCTTCCGTCAGGTCCAACTCGGAGCGCGTCTGGTTCAACTTCTCCTGGGGAAAAATGGACCAGCCGTGGCCTTGGACCTGAAAATGAGGAACAAATCCCATGATGGCCATGATGGCCATGTGACACGGATGATGATCAACAGTGGTTTCTGGGATCGACGGTCCTTGATCCCTCGCAGCAGGCCCATCACGTATCCACTGTCGGGCTCCAAGCTTTGCCTGGAACAAGGGATTAAACACCTCACAAAGGACGAGCAAAAGATGGGTGTGGCAAAAACCAATAGTCGATGTTTGGTTGGTCTGTTGGCCTTCAAGTCTTCATGTACTGAGCAATATAACCACAAATGTGCATAGTACCATCTGGTCATTTAACATAGCCATGGAAAATCCCCATTTTTAATAGGTAAACATAGGTAAACCATCTATAACATCTATAAATGGACCATTTTCCATGGCAAACTGTTAGTCATAACCAGAGGGTAACATGTTAAAATTGCGCGTTGAACATCGCGCCGAGGCGTCCATGTTCTTCAGAAGGATGACATGGGGTTGGCCTCCATGATTCCCCCATGAACTTGACCATCAGCTGGTCACCAGGAAAAGCGCATCTTTCCAAATAGTTAATAGTTGAGATAGACACATGAAACATAGGTTCTGGGTAAATTATAATAATTCACCAACCTGAATTAAGGCCATTTGGGGATGATTCCCCTTATTAACCATGATTCCAGTGAGGTCGCAGTGAGGTTGTTATAATTTACCCAGATAGGTTGTGTACCCTCTGGTTATGACTAGCAGTTTGCCATGGTATAGATGGCCTAGTTATAGATGGTTTACCGTTCTTAATAGCATGGTGATGTTCCATGGTTATGTTAAATAACCAGATGGTAAGTTAGATAAAACTATATGATACTATATGTGCCATAGACAAGGAACATAGTATTTGGTTTACGGTCATCCATCCCATTGTGGGAATCCTTATGCTGGCTATAATATAAAGATCAGTAAACAAATCCCTATTGATGGATTCATGACTATACCCGACTATACCCCCGGCAGATATAAAGATATCTCAAACATGAAACACACACATATATATATATAAATATCGAAGAATCACAGCAGGATCACAGCAGTTTGTCCCCGCCTCTGCAGGAAGGAGCTTTTGGCACCAATCTTGGACAAGGCTTTGTCCACCTCGAGGTCGGTCAAGTCTGGTATTTCAAGTTGTGGTGGAACTAATTGTGGAACCAATTTCAACTTTTTCAAGTTGTGGGTTCTAGCCTGCAGTTGAAAATTGGATCTGGCATTTCAAGTTCCCATTTTCAACCTTAGGGTAGAACTGCTATGAACTAACGTCAGATATTGCTATACATGCTATACTGACATAATCTGACAAATTATATCTGGTAGTAGGGTAAATTGTGGCCAGATATTGTCATTTGATATCAACTCTGCTTCTATCGACCCTTGGGACGGCTTAGATGCATCATGTCATTTCTTGTGCTAGCCCATGACATTGGCAGCATTGCGTACCTTCATTTGCCATTTCTTCCCTACTAGGTATATGTCCATAAGATATTGCAACCAGTTGTACAACTATTTTGACTGCTAATATCAGGTGCATCCTATCTTTACTCGACCCCTAAAAAAATTCATTCGTTTGACCCGTAGCATTTGCTTGTGGATCACACCCATGTACTCTTGATTTTGGAGGAGTTTGGATTATACCCGTAGTGGGGCTTCGTTGTGGGTCCTCACCACCTAGGTGCCCTGGCCGTGCGCGCAGACTCGGCATTGAGGTCCACCTTTTTGCATGACATCTCTAACCAGTAGTGCTCAGTGATGGGGGGGGGTCCTGTAAATGGTCACTTCATAACAATTCTGGGAGGATACAGAGAAGGAAAAGAATTGCTAAAACGGAAAGATTTGAAAACCCGTGCAAAATTGCTGTAATCGGAGTGTAGCCAGCATTGCTGCAAGTAGTTTACAAAACCATCAAACGAAAAAAACAGCTCACAACAACATGGGTACAGAAGCAGTACGACCAATATCCAACCAACCCTGCACTACATGCGGTGGATATACCGGATATACCTAAAAATCTAAAAATAATTCCGGCCAACGATGGGATAGCAGGGGTTCTTCATCCATAATTCAAACATATTCAAATGGTACTCGTGATGTTCCAGCTGTCCCTGCACGTCTTAGTCTCAGTTGCTAGACCAAATGCCACATGGTTCTTCAAATCAGGTGCATCAAGTGCAGAAGCAATAGTTCAAGCATGCCATAGCATGCCTTACCCAAAAACAGACCATGAATTTCCATTAATTTCCATTCATTTTCATTCATTTCCATGAATTTCCCATGAATTTCCCATGATTTCCCTATTGAATCCTATTGATTTCCCTTGATTTCGCAAGCCGCCTCCTCGTTGTACTTGGAGGCTTCCTCCTCCCGGATGCTGGACATCTGGTCCTGCGTGTCCTCAAGGAACTCAGGTTTCAAACGTGGAACCCGTGGAACCATGATGAACCATGGGGGTTTTACATCCAAAAACTGTTGACCCAAAAAAAAACCTGGATCCATTCAAATTTAAAACTCTAACTTTGGGATTCTGGGAGTTGAAGTTCTGATGGTGCAGACGTTGATTTTGTTGGCTCCCAGGGAACCGAACCACTGAATCCTTCCGGATCAACACTCCAGTTGCCAGAACCATACCCACATGAGCACGGGTCAAAGGTCAAAGTTCCGGGTACTCTTCATGGCGATTTTTTGGGGCCTCGGCAGTTTACCCGTAGCCAACTTGTGAGGTTGCTTGTAGTTGGACCACGGCTTATCGACAGCTGTGTTTTTCTCCGTTTTCCAAGGTTTTGGGGTGGGGTGGGAGGGGTACGGAGCGGTCATCGATTCACACTACAGCTGTATTACATTGCATACATATTCATGGTTCAACATTGTCAGTTCCCCAAATTAAAACTGGATGCTTTCAGCTGTTTCCATGGCAAAAAGAGAACATGTTCATTCCCTTTGCGCTCAACAGCTGTGAATCTGTCTCCACACTGCTATGGGTCAAACTGTCAAACTAAACATTTCATACCGAAAACCATCCAGATCCGTAGCTTTTAGAGCCTTAATTTTTGGCCCATTCCCCCGCCCCACACCAAGTCGGAATCCTGGCGCGTTGAGATGTCTCATCATACTCACATGAATATTTATGGCTCTGGGTATGGGGCTACTCCAAACATGGATGATCAAGACACTCAAATGAAGAAAATATCATGTCTATCCACAGTTTAATTGGTTACAAACCCTTATATTATACAGTATGTACTATAGCTAATATAGATATACATATATATATATAACTACATAATATATATAGTATACAATATATAATCTACAATATACTATTGTATAATATAATGATATAATATGATATTATATTATATTATATCATATTATTATATAACACTATATTATATATATATATATAGATTATTATAGGTTTAAATATGTTTAAATATGTTTAAATATGTTTAAATATGTTTAAATATGTTTAAATATGTTTAAATATGTTTAAATATGTTTAAATATGTTTAAATATGTTTAAATATGTTTAAATATGTTTAAATATGTTTAAATATGGTTAAATATATTTAATAACGTTTACTACAGATTATAGATGGTTGGATCTTGATCTCAGTTAAATCCTCAAGCGTCCCGAAATCTTCCCGGTCTCCTGCAGTTCCTTGACATCGCCTTCCAGGGAGGCGATGCCCGTCTCCAAGGCCGAGATCGAGGCGGTGAGTTCCCGCAGCTGGACGAAGGCCTGGCCGATGCCAAGCGATGCCAAGCGATGCCATGGGGGAAGCTGTTCCAGATTTTTCGGCTGGAGACTGGAGACTGGAGGTGTGGTGCTGGTGAAGTTTTTTACCCAGTTTAGTCTGAAAAAGAATGAAGTTTAGCCAATGTTTAGCCTGAAAAAGAATTGAGGATCTCTATATATGTCTATTCTGTCAGCCATTTTATGCATGATTTCACAGGCAAGAATTGGGATTTAAGCAACAACGATGCTGATTTAACCAGGGAGAGAATTCAGACTTGATGCAACTGAGACGTCCCATCAAAGATGGGAAGGCTTTATTGAATAGATCAAACATTCGACTAAAGCTTCAAAGATTCAAACATTGACGGTTTAACTACCCATTTCCTTGGAATCGTTTCCAGTGAGATGGGTATCTAGTTCTCTACTAACCAGCAAAAAAATGGAGATTTCATTAAATTACCAATTAAAAAGTGGGGCATTTCTCTTGATCAAAACACATCGTACAAGCTAGTAGCCAGAACATGCTTAATACCGGGTTCTTGCCACATTGTAGTTATCCCATACAGAACTGGTTTGTAACCCCATTTACTCACAGGTACCAAGTGGAGTGGGGGGTCCTCCAGGCAAGAGTACATTGTGGGCAGATGTGCATGATCTTCTTTCTCCATGGCCAATCCCAACCATACCCTGAAAACTCTAGCGTTCACATCCAAAAGAAGGGTAAGAACCTACTCAAAATGCTTGGTTAGAATTAGAATTCTCCTTGCATTTCTACATCGGTTTGTCCAAAAATAGGGGTAAATGTCCTGTTTAATGCCCCGCCCCGGGACCTTCTCTGAGTTCTCCTTGGCCTTGACGGAACCAGAGGAAAGACCTTCGATCCTGAGTGTGAAATGGCCTATGCGTCCAGTGGCCTTGGATTGTCACTCTTTACCCAAGGCTCAGGTGTTTTTATCAATCGAAGGATGGATATTTTAACGGCAAAGATGCTGAGGTTTTCAAAAAAAAACTGCGGATCCCATAAGATCCATGTATGCTATAGCATATATACCATACATGGATCCTATGCGGATGGAAGTGTCGTCAATGTAGCCGCCAAGCATTTTTTGGTCGCCGAGATGCTCCGCAGAACACCAGGCCTTGCCGCGGCAACTGTGTGCTTCTTGGGATGATCGCCATGGCTGTGATCTTATGGGATAACAACAGAGGAGACCTGCCAACCATGAAATACTATGAATATATATATATATAATATATATAATATATTATATATATATAATATATTATATATATATACTGTATAATATATATATATATTATATATATACACAGTGTATATATATATATACGTATATACAATCTGTATATTTCATATTATATTATATCTCACTCTATGTTTCCTGATAAGCATCCAGGTGCATAATACTGCATAATTAGCCAATTCTGGGAATCAATAGCCCCAGTCTTTGGACATCACCCGTAAACGGCTTCATACCTCCGAAGAATTGGGCTCAGAACTTCTACAGCTTGGCGCCCGTGTTTTCCAATTTGGATTACCATCGAAGCGTAGAAAAAAAAACTTCGAGATTGACACGAACATCCAACCTGGCCTGTACAGAATCCCAACAAGGCAATCCCTCAAGATTGAAAATGGTTCGTAAGCCCTTTCTGATCCTAGATGTCACTTGGATATCTTTGGATGTAGAGGATACTGCAGTGATGTTAGCCATACCCTCCGGTAAACTCACAGATCGCTATGGAAAATCGCGATTTTGAAAAACGGTATGTAAAATATAAATCAACAAACTCAATGTCCATGGAATCAATAGCAAACTATCAAATTACCAAAAAAGTACAGTAATCCAAGATAATCCAAGTGCAAATCTGGCCATCTGTTCAAACCGCCTTGAACTGTGTGAAGGCAGCGGTTTCTCTCTTGGATTCGCTGTCGATGTTCTTGACGATCTCCTCCACCGCTTGGCTAACAAGCCACAGCCGCAACTTCCCGGGGACCATTTGGGAAATGCTAAACCAAACTAACAACAGTCATTTGTTCAAAGTGGTTTAAAGAAAGGTGTCGTCAAACCGTCAAACCATATGGGACATGCCGACTGCATCATTTCTTCCAGTGAGAAAAACAATGCACCAGTAAAACTACGTAAGTTTCATCCCCCAGTAGCCTCTGGCAATCGAACATGGCTGGAAAAGCCTCAGGAGCCAGGCAAAGTCTGAAGCGTGCAGTCCTCAAGGGTGCTGATGACCTTAGTGTCAGTCGCATGACATCACGACAGTCCTAGCATATGGGATATCCAATGGGGATATAGTGGGGATAGAATGGGAATATGAGAAAATCATCTATAAGTCTGGATACCCTCTCCGAATCTAACAGTTTGCTACGGAAACCACCATTTGGAATAGGTAAATCACAAAGGAGGGGTCCAATAGCTGCCTTGGATTACCACTGCAGAGGGTATGAAGTTTATGAACTTGTTTGTTGTCTAGGGTTATCCCACTGTATCCCCATCTCTTTCAAATCACATTGTGGCTGGCAAAAAGTTGCCGATTGACTTCAGCAGTGAACGGAAGGGCTCAAGAGCCCACAGTTGCTCGTTTCAAGCAAACAATCCCCTTCCCCCTTCATATTAAACAGAAAACATGATTTACTAGAGGATTTGCACATATTCGGTACCGTTATGTGTAATACTGTGTTAGGAGGATGGGATTCATCTTCCAACGCCATTCTTTGTGCCTCCACGCTATAGCTTTCCTGGGTGGAGCCCAAGATATATCACTTCGGCCATCCCATAAAGGTTAGGTTACAAGAATCATCACACCTTGGGATACATCTAATATGTCATCTATTATATATATATATATATGTATGTATATACAGAGTAGGGTACTTATTCGCCACTGGCTAACCTTCACTGCACTCTGGTAATTATAGACATGGAAATTGAAGAGCACCCGTCTATACATATATATGATATATGTACATGATTGTATATATATATGAGTTGTGCCATATTATGCCATATTACTGTATCCAGCTAGAAATGATTTTTTCTGTTGCCAGGTTGAAAAACCGTCCCTGAACTCCACTGGTTCATCATCATATTTTGCTGTTCAAAAATATCTCTTGTTGGGTAGGTAATAAGTCCAGAATTGTCAGACAAACCCACGTCATATTGTTACCTAAAAACATCCTGTTATATCAACACTATATACCCGTATCCGGGTTAGTTTTATATTACCATATCTCTGTTGGTAAGACATCTCCATTAAACGAGCTACGTAATGCTATGTATAGATTATTTTCTGGATTCAAGGCAAATCCACATTATTATGGAGGAAAAAAAACGTCATGTGGTAAACCCAATGCCATCAACCATCCCCAAGTCATCACCATGTGATTTTGGTGGTGTGTTTACCATCCCTTTAAAGGGTAGTTGTTTACTCTCCTTAAACGGTGGGTTTAAATTATGGTTTATCATTGGGTTTAGCATATTAATACTACATTAATATACATTAACATACATTAATGTACTACATTAATGTACATTAATCTGGGTAAATTATAATATTTCACTAACCTGAATTAAGGCCATTTGGGGATGATTCCCCTTACTAACCATGATTCCAGTGAGGTCGCAGTGAGGTCGTTATAATTTACCCAGATTAATGTACATTAATGTACATTTCTTGGCCATTCTCAAAAAGGCAGACCCAGCAACCACCCGATTTGAGGATCCCACAAGGCCGAAACGGCTCTCTGGCTCCTGTGCCTGCGTCCATGCCAAACAGCTGTACCTGGGCATTGAACCCTTGGAGCTTGGCTCTCCCTACCGATTTGTCCTATGAATCTCACGCAAATATGTATGTATTCAACTGACTATGTATATATATATAATTATATATCAACAATCTTGGTATAATAGTTCAACACGTAAATATGGCAAGCGAGAGAGAGAGAGAGAACGAGGAAAAAACAACTATTGGTGTTAAGTTATATGCAGAACTATAGTCGTGCTTCCAGCTTGCCACGTTTGATGACACCGGAATAATGTGGCCAACTCGATAGTAAACCATCCCCCGATTTTACGAACCATTTTATCGGTGGTCAACAGCCATTTGCAAGTGCTTCCGTTCGTAGTCTCGAAGTACGCCACCAACTTGAAACCCTTAAGAGACTTAACATATTATCATATCAAGAAAAGTGCTTAAAATATCTGACGTCTAATCAGTCTGGATCAGGATGAATATCTGGATGGATTCGGCCAACTCTCCAACTTGAAATCATGTCCTTCCTTTGGTCTTCCCCCCATCTGCCAACGCCGGGTGGCAGCAGCAGCGCGCTGCCCAACTTCATTTGCCCTAGAAAAAAGGCAGTCATGGTGGAGGCAGTGCTGGAATAGTCCCGTCCGAATGTTACGCACAGACCCCGTGGTTTGCCCGGTAACATTGAGGATGCCTTGTTGTAGAACATGAGAGATTGAAGAAAATACTGCGTATACGCAATGTTTTCTGTTTTAGGATTCAGAGTCCTTCAGGGTTTTCAGGGTTTAGGGTTTTAGGGTCTAGGGTTTAGGACTTTAGGGTTTGAGGGTTTGGGTTTTTTGGGTTGAGAATTTAGGGTTTAGGGTTCGTCTCTGGGAAATACCAAAACGCTGGCCCTACGCAGGTATTTGAGCATGTCGAAGGATCATGATTGAACACCGTGCTAACCTTGCGGGCAAACCATGGGGTCATGCTAGTAAAGCAATGTCATAAACCACCCACATGGATTGATGGTTTGCACAACCCATAGCATTAATGTCCCTAAATAGGTCCCAATATGTGTAAGTCCGCTACTAAGGTGAGGTCAAACATAATAATAATATATAATAATAATAATAATCATCATCATCATCCCGAGAAGATGACGAAATGTAAATTATATAAATTCTTACTGATGTTTGATGATGGTTATACCGGCATATAAACTGTTATATAATATATATATATGTGTGTATCTTTTTGGTGGTACTTAGAAATACATAGAAATACTGATTCCGCTATTCCTGCTTACATGTACTTATAGAATATCAAGCGACAAAAACATAAGTATAGTACTGGCATAGTGGTAACCCAAAAGCAAGGCCTCTGACCAGTAACAAATGGGGAGAAAACCATAGAAAACCCGCCAACAAAATTGATGATTCTAGTAACTGTGCTTCATGGCAATCCAATGACTGGTCCACGGGTCATGTGTGCTAAACCCATCCAGATCAGGAATATCCATAGCTTCGAAGCAAATATCCCATATGTGTACGTGTCAGGTCTTTGGATACCCTCAAAAATGGATTTTGCATGGCCAGTTCATCGTGAGACATGAGACATACCCATATCAAACATGATCAAACTGGATAATTTCAATAACTCCCAAACCTAAATTGAATAAAAATGGTTCCCTAATATTGACCATCGTTTCTGTGGGTTGCTTGGCGATGGGTTGCCTTAGAATCATCCAGAGATCAGACAACAAAGCTGGTATACCTCCATCAAGGTCACTGGTCACATGGGCATTCCCAACCATTGACCATCCCATCATCAAATTTTTAGGGGTACCAATCACATCCCATTGGTCAACACGAGCAATGCCTGGGACTAGCGCGGGCGTTCGCGCGACCCCAGTTCTGAACCGACGGCGACAGGAATCGACGATGTTTTCGGCTGGTGCAAAGTGAATGGCGACGTTTTGATCCACCAATGCTTCACCAAAAATATAGATTTGACCAACGAAATAGACGTGTGTGTCAGTGTGGAATTGTGCCATACAATTTATGGCTACGTATAGTAACGCCAAGAAAAATAGGTCTTGTGCGCGACCTATCTGAGACAGCTGGTGATAGCCGGTGTGGTTCATCGACCTACTATAGCGGGTACTGACCCCTGACTCGGACCATCGTCCATGAATTGAAAGGATCGAACAAGTACTTCGCAGAAGTATGCAGTATCTCCGCTTATCACATCCCTACTATTTTCGTATATTTCCAGTAATGATATAGTTTCCAATATCTTACTACATCTACCTATGTCAACAGATAGTTTCAGAAATATTCAAGAAGTACTATCCTTTTTTCACAACGAAAAATCCTTGTTTTGGACAGGGTCCATACCTGGGCTGCCAACAGCAGTGATGTTTATGGCAGGAGAAACGGTGACGACGACAACATTGGCCTATCTTTGAGATTAAAGCTACTTAATGACTTAGTGGTTCTTGTATTAATCATTAGTAATTAGTAGTATTCTACAAATTACATAATTTCAACCATTGACCATTGACCATCAGTCTCCATTATCTTAATTTCAGCTAGACTATTGACCATTAAAACCCTAATTATACTCAACGCGTGTCGGTCAAATATTGCATCGTGGAAGACCAAAAAAATGTAGAATCTGAGGTTCTGTGGACCTTTGCTTTTTGACCCATACCCATATAAGGTATCTCTTTGATACCTGCTTGCTCAAAGTTCAAAGCAATGCAGTGTTTCGGCTCTGAGGAGTGAACATCGGCTCCAGCTTTCTGTATCCTGATTCAGTCCAAAGGTTCCCACAATGGTCTGCATATCACAGCAACATGTTCAGTCGTTGTGTGTATACATGTATACATATGGAAATGTGCATCTATATAGTCAGTAGATTGAAAAAATAGTCAAGCATATATATATAATATACATGTTTGTATGTATATAATATATTATCGCCTATTTGTCTACATATCTACACACATAGGATCACAGAGATTTACCCCATGGCCGAGGTTTTGAAGTGAACTCTGTTTCGCGATTTGGACCCATATCAAGATAATTTTTGCATGTAATTTGTCCATATTTTCCCCCTACAAAAAAACCTCCACGTGATGCCACCATAAATCAAGTGGGCCGTGGTTTTCCTCCAATCTTTTCTCAGTGCTACTCCCTTGTCAAACCATGTCAAACCATTTGGGTGTGATCCGTAAAAACGGCCAACTATTAAGGGGGATATCGTTTTGTGTCCCCCAGAAATGAAGCCCTCAACTAACGATAGCCAGCATGCCTCGACCTGGGAAAAATGACCGGTTCGGTTTGGTCGTGTTGCTATCGTTAGTTGAAGACATCCCCACCTTTGAACGAAACATGAGTTTTTGTGAGATATGATTCTCTAAGCAGCTTGAATGGTGGGCTCTGGAACTCCGCATGTTGCAGGACTCTATTCATCCTTGGTTCCAACTAAGTTGTGTGTGGCTCCTGTCGCGTGAGCTGAGTGAGCTCTCTATGTTCTACTCCGCCAAGGCGCGTCTCGTGCATCCGCAACATGATGGCCTCGCCCGCATCTTTGGACCTGGAAAGTCAAGATGGGCGATGTACCCATTGGAACAGAAACATGGGATAAACATGAGATACTTCAGGTTTACCGCATGCTATGGCATGTATATGCCTGTATGACAGTTGTATGAATGTAATCATATATATATATTATACACATCATGTATACAGTATACAGTATACAGAATGTATGAATAAAGAATTGGGATCTCGCCGAGAAACGTTGCAAAATACTATTCTCCAAATGGGGATATGCAACGAAGCTCGTGTAATTTCTTCGAAAATGGGGCAAATCAACCCTTTGGGATATACGAAAATGGGATATGATATAACCATATATAACCATGTATTACATGCATACTCAAATTGTCTGTGTTGAATGGTAAAACACGATGAGAATATACATTGCAAGTGTTGGTATACCGTATACCCCATTTTTGGACAACTCCATCTAGGGGTTGCAACAATTAGATGCATGGCACCATCTTACCTATGCCATCGGGTGGCATTTAGCATACAGCATTCTCACTTCTGGCGCATGCGCAAGGAGTTGTCCAATCAAAAAATAGATTTTGGAAAACACTGTTCCACACTTGGAAGTCACCATTTTTGGAGGGTTCAATCTGGGTGTGCCTTAAGAGAGAGAATTCACTTCAACTATCTTCAACTTGTGTCCATTTCAAGGCGGAAAATAACTTTCCAAACAGTTTCCCACCATTTTCACCATTTTTCCCATGTTTTCCCATGTTTTCCCATGTTTTCCCATTTGCCCAAGATGTTCCCAACAGTTTTGCCACCATTTTCGCTCCACATCACCGGAACATCGGGATCCGGGACAGATCTGTCGTCGAGAGCGACATCGCCTGCGTCCCAAGAAGAGACGGACCCAACTTCTCAGCAGATGGCTACGTTATGTGCTGAGTTATGTGCTGATTCTGAGGCTACCGGCTACCAGATACATGCGAATACATTAATATGTATATATATATTATATGTGTATATATAATATTTATATGTACATGAAATATCGAAAATAGAAAAAAAAAAACATCATATGACAGGAGAAGGAAGGGGCCTTGTCAATCGAATTCTTGTTAGACATCTACACAATCAATCAGATGGATAGTCATGTTGACACAATTCGCTCGAATCTCGTGGATGAATCAAGAAAGAATGATGAGATCCAATCCACAAGACTATCTGTCTGTCTGATCCACAATTGTGGGTCTACAAAAGCAACAAACGGGGCAGTACCTTCAAGTCTTTTCCCCGAATGCTTTGCAGAAATCATGGTCCGGGTCCCCGAATTGACACGGCTTCAATTGTCAAAGGCATCAATTTCAGTCTATCCCAAGAGCTGGCAAAATGGCGCTGAATCTTCTCAGAAAACGACCACCTAAGATTAAGGCACTTTCATTTCTGCTATGAGTTCTAGACCAAAATGTAATGCCAGATCCACCTGGATAGCCTGTAGTCAATCCTGAACCTGATTGTTGGGGCATTGCAACCAATACTTTCCCATCAGTTGATTGCTGCAACTCATCAAAAATCCGTGCCCCCAGCCCTACCGCCTTTGATTTGGAAAGCCACACATTGACCTCAGCACTGGCGGAGCATGGGGAAGCGAAACTAAACACCTATAAACACCTGGAGTTGCTCAATCATGGCTACCATCATGGCTACCATCATTGCTACCCTTCATCATGGCTACCATCATAGCTACCATGCAAAATGGGGGTTGTCCCAACATTTTCAGATCAACTCATCTTTGAGAGCTCCAGCTCTCAACGGCTAAGACATCGGCGGGGTCGAGGCACCTCTGGTGAAAACGGTCCGCGGGCCCGGCCGCGAAGCAAAGCTGGATGTTCTGCCTGAAATATACGTGACATTACATGACCATGTTTTCGTTAAGAAAGGATGTGTAGCATTTGTGCCAAAATGTTGGAAAAACATGGAAAAACCTAGTGATTCCTCATTTTCAACGAGCATGTTGGGGTGCACCCCGATGTCTACACAAACCCATTTGGCATAGCCCTGCACTATGCAGTTGTGATCACAAGGAGTGTGACTTTTGAGAACGGATTTCCTGCTTATCACTGGTCTGCACTACCAACTGGTAGATTCAGTTTTCCAGGACATCCAGGGTCCGAGAGGAATTCAGAAATCAGTTGTATATAGCTGAACTATCGGCGACGGATGATGAAACAGATGAAAGGAATCTACTCAAAAATGGTCAACTAAAGTTGACTATTGGTCAAGATCTCTGAGTCTCACGTGCAATTTTGACCCTTAATGGCATGCGCTTACTTTGTAAGTTTGAAAATGGCTGCGGACCAAGGCCCAACTTTCAAGCCACAGAAATCATCGTCTGAGAAACCATCCCATTTCTGGGGACCCAATCATCCCAATCTAAGGCTTGAAGTACCTATACCTATTAAGCAATTCAATCTTTTTTAGCATTGAAAAAAACTAACATCGTCCATCAACATTGAAAAAAACCCACCATTCACCAAGATTTCACCAAGGTCCTCTGGGAAAAAACGTCTCCACGAATGCTGAAACCCCAAATAACTGTTTCCTGTTTCCCGTTGTTCTTTTAACTTTATAGCAACCTGGCAACCTCAAAAAAATGAAGGGAAAGTAAAATCATACTAAAATAGTATCTTAATGTATCTTACTGATTTCTGTCGAATCTTTTTGGGGTTACTGTAATTGAACAAGGAACGTGCAACACAACGCGTGGAGTGTACTTTTCCACGCGTGGATTTCGGCCTCTCCCATCAACGTCCGCTCGTTTAGAGCTGGCATACAACAAGCTGCCACCGGCTTGTTCAGCATGGCATTTCCACATCTCCCAAAACACAAATCTTTGCAGCCTGATTTGGTGGTCACGGTTTTGGATCTATCTCAATGGCAGATGTGCCTTGCAGGGCTGCTCGGCTTGAGTTGCCCTGGGGCTACACCTGCAAGTGCTTACAGCTTGGTGACTTCCAATTTCAAGTGATTTCATTTTGTCTTTCTAATTTACATGACCTTGTTAGCCAAGTTTTGTGTTGAATGTACTTCAATATTTTCTCAAGATCAACCTCAATTTTCTTCATCTGTTCCCACTTTCCAAAGCATCGGGGGGTCCCTAGCAACCACCCGGTAGCCAATCAACAGACCGCCCTGCCGGCGGCGCCGTCAAAATGCCGTCAGAGCAAGAGTTCCAGCTCCGTTCGACGGTAGCAGTGCTCCGAATCGTCTTCCAACTTCGGATAGGAGGGGATGAGCGCATCCTGAGCAATGAAAAACTTGAGCAAAGTTACAGTTATACCTTGTTATACCAATATCTCATTCCATCTTTTAAATTTTGCTGGTTGGTGAAGAAATATCCCTCGGTATCAAATGGATGATTTTTTGATCACCAATATATCACCAATAAACCAACAGAAGATCTTGGTGATTCCTGGCGCACCTGAGATCCGATGTAGAGGTTGTTGTACAAACGCCAGTACACCGCCTTGTTGAGCCAAAGATTGTCACAAGATTGGGACGTCTACCCTCTGGTAATTTAACATAGCTATTGAAAATGCCCATTTATAGTGGATTTTCCCATGAAAAATGGTGATTTTCCATAGCTATGTTAGTTTACTAGAGGGTACATCAGAGAGATGTGCTTTTGAGAGACTTAAAACTACTACAGTTTTAAAAATTCTGAGACAGGTCCATTCTTGAGAAGAACACTTCCCTAAACATGGGTGAAATGCAAGTTAATCAACCCGAATAGGAGTGGAAATGCATAAGCAACTATTCTGTGCCACCAAGCAGTAACAGGGTTTGAAAGGGGGCCTTAAACGCTCAGCCACAAAGTAACCATGTTGTGGTTGTTTTGTCTCGGACCAAATGCATTTGGCCAACTGATTCACAAGACGTGGAATCTGGGGCGCCCAGAAAGCATAGGGCAAATCCATGTGGATGATTCATCAGCACGCAACCCAATCCATATCACACATGTTTGGTTGCTGTTGCTCATCTCCCATTATTTCACAGGTTTGCCACATAAAAAAACCCATAATTTGGTTGGTTTTATACCGCCATAACTTTGTTGGATATCCCGCCCTTGAAATGACTATGAATTTCCCACTGAAAATCCACCATCGTCCTGGTGCTCAATTCTTGTTGGTTGAATTGCCCTCTGGTCATTTGACGTAGCTGTGGGTTTTTTCATCATGTTTAATAGGTAAATCATCATAAATCATCTACAAATGGTCAATTTTCCATGGCTATGTTAGTCATAACCAGAGGGTACCATTTCTGTTGGTTAAATCCATCAAACTCGACCAACCAACTCAACTCACAGCCAGCTGAGTAAGACTCACCCGCACACGTCTGGCAGGATGCCACAAGCCTGCGATCCATTGGTTGGAACATTGTTTCCGTGTTGCAGGATATAGGCATTATAGGCATATAGTAATGTATAGTGGTATTTAGTTACTATATATATATATACATGAAGTGGTGTTGAGATGGAATATATGATGTTGTAATGTATGATGTGATCTAAGGGATTTACTGTAACCAACTTCAATGGGCTCTAGGATCAACCATAAGGGGTTTCTTATGGTGATATAATGAGGATAGACTGGGGTGTGATGGTGTGTATATATATATAAGAGAGACAATATGATATGTGGGCATGTCTGAAACTGAAAATTGTGCATCACCTAATATATATATATATATTTGCCATGTTTCTAGGGAAAATCCCCGTAAACCATCATGGATTGTTAATGCTATGCCGCATGCCCTATGTTCAGACACACCCAATGTAATTGTTTGATATTGTCTGGAAGTTGCAAGTACACGGTTACCAACAAAATCCAACAAATATAACATGGATTATATAGATTAAAGGTATGATAGTGAGTGGTTCCATCTATGAAGGGGGTTTTAATATTATATATATATATACGTATATATATATAGTCAATCAACATGTGTGCGGGATCATGATAAATCTGGGATCATGATACCTCCACTGCCTCCTGAGTGACATATTTCCCAACCCAGCCTTGCAGCAAATACTGCAAGACCTTGGTCGGCCCTAGTGACACTCTGAAGCCATCGATGGCATCGAAAACCGCCTGAGAGTGGCGACGGGACGTGGAGGTGGCAATGGGAACAACAAGACGTTGTGTTTCCTCAAAATCCTTGGAACTTGGAACCTTCAAATTCTATCATGTTCAAATTCGTGGGTCCCAATTTTTGGGCCGTTCCCCACATTTGGGCGGTTCGCGGGGGGGCCATAAAAGCCCAGGATCCCAGTGCCTGTCTTCCACTAGTCCAGAAACATGGCGTCCCATGAAGTTCATAGCTGGTACAGCAACTGGAGTGCTACTCAAATCTACTCAATAGACCCAATCTATCTCACTTCGGAGTTCTTTTGGTCCCGGCTTGCCCTGCATCCAGCCGGGCGGCCATGATCAAGTGAGGCGAGTTCTCGAAAACGTTGGGCCACACATAGTTCATGAGGTGCTGTAAGGCTTCCTGGCCATGACCCAAGGGGACCCAAAAGGCCAGGTCCAGAATGACCTGTCTTCTGGTTGGGACATCTCCGATTTTGTCGATGGAAGTGTGTCTGAACATGGGTGAAACACCTCACAAATTCCTCGTTTAGTATCTTTGAGTGGAAAACATTATGATAAACCACTGATTTTTGCGGGTTTTCCCCGGCATTATCAGACAAACACATGTATCATAGTGGTGCCAGTAAATCCTTATTGTATCCCAATTATATCCCTGTCGTGGTACCGGCATTTCCAGCCAAACCCATCACTAACCATTGGATTTTTGGGGAGTGTCCCCTACAGTTTTCATCAGATCACCATGAAATCACCATGAAATCCCGGTTTTTGATGGTTGAAGCCTCCACTGAACTTTAGAGGCATCATATTTCTTCCACCAAAAAAAACATGAAATTCACATTGTATTCCCATCAAACTCATATGATATTCCCATGAAATCCCAGATAAACATAGATAAACTACATTATCATATTATATGATGCTGACGTATTCATAATTTTCATAACATTGCCATGAAATATGATAATTATAGTCTTTCCAAAAAATCAAAACCCTGTGTTTCATGGTTTTTCCCCATGGATCTTCCCATAGATTTCATCGTTGACCCATCGCTGCACCTCACATCCGAGGCCATGAACTCCCAGCGCCAGATGCTTACACGTCCACGCAGCCGTTTGCCTACGGGCAGGAAAAAGCAGCTTTTGGAATATGAAAATGAGGCTCTAATTAATGTTTAATGGGATTTAATATGTTTATATAATGTTTATATAATGTTTACATAATGTTTATATAATGTTTATATAATGTTTATAGAATGATTATATAATAATTATATAATGATTATATAATGGGATTTGATGGTAGATGTTTTGACCCAACTAATTTAAACATCCAGAAAACGAGATTTTGCGCAAGTGTCTTATAGAAAAAAAAACTGGGTTTTTTGGTAGATATCTAAAGATATCATGAGATACGAGTATCTATATATATATATATATATAGTGAATGGATGTTCATGGGGTTTACAAACCAACTCGTAGTCATCGAACATGGCTGGCTGGAAAATCCCAAAACTAAACGGAGATTTATAGCTGGAAAATTCCACGACCATTTTGCCACACACCAGGTTTGATTACTGGACGGAAACAGGAATTTAGCCGAAAAAAATCTGATCTTTTGAACTGGTGGTACTCAGAAATCAAACATGGCAGAGGGAAAAAAAATCAACGCATGGATATCTGTGGTGCGCAGCTGTGCAAAAAAAGAAAGAACTGGGAGTTATCGCACATCGCAGTTGCGAAAACCACCATGCATCATGGTAAACTTTGGTAAACCCCATAGTAACATATACAGCAATAACCCAATTTTTTAAGGATCTTAATATGTCCAAATCGATCCAAATGGCGTGCCCATCAATCGTCAATCCGAGGGTCACATACCAGGTTTTTTTCTGGGGGGTACCAATTTCAAAGGTAATTTCGTCTAATCTTCTCACTGTTTTTGGGAGTAAGCTTCCAATGAATAGTCACCGTGGCGCAGCAATTTTCGCCGTCATCTCAATGGTGTTTATCCTGCCCTCCACTCGAATTGTTTGGTGGATTCAACCCCCAAAAAAATGGGTATCATTCCTCATCCACAATGATTCTGTAAATAAAGTATGATGATCTTCTTATGATTTTCTTAGATAATATGGTTAGAAGTATTGTTCAAATATAACATATTAAACCATATTAAACCATATTATAACATATTATAACATCATGTCAATTTGATCATTGAAACATGTTGAAAAAACGCGTCGCAGATCCCCTTGATCCCATCCGGCCTGTGTACCAAATCTCTGTCCATCAGGGCATCTTCCAGGATGGGAGTCACCGCATAGATGTAGTCCTGGCGAAGCATGGCCTCCTGGGGGAATTTTAATGAATTTTAAGCACTATACTATCTTGGCCATGGGACCACTATTTCTGCTCAACGGAAGATTATGGTCATACTATCTTCCATGGAACCAATCTTGGACCACGATTTCTGCTCAACTCGGCATGGTGTTTGGAATCACTTGCGAGGCGAATGTCCCATTGTTTGGGGATAATGCCCTTGGCGAGGCATCATCTTGAGCTCTGCAAGACCCACAAGTTCATCACTAAACCAAGGTCTGCAGCCGCTCAAGGTTCCGCTGGAAAATCTACCGCTACAGTTCCTAGTCAGCTGAGTGCTATAAGAGGAGCATTGAGGCACTATCCTCCACTGATGTTTCTTGTGGTCACGCAAAAAGAACCGAACCCAATTGACAACAGCCAACAAACTACCGGATTGACTACCTTGGACGAGGGGTGGATGCCACCGCATTCTAACCCAAAAAAGGTAGCCCAGCTTTAACCACTATTTAATAGCACCAACAAGTGGTGTCGATCCAAACAAAATTATCTAATTATCATAAGGATTCATAAGGACCCCTGACAGTAGAGGATCGAAACAAAAAGAAACGGAAGATCTGCCACAATTCCATGTAGCGCCCGGTGGTCCTTGGCCATCTCGCCGATATATTCGAACATGAAGCTGAGACTCTTTAGCACTCCGTTCCTTGCGAAGGATTCACCGGGATTGGATGCGTGTTCTCTTGGTTTCTGAGAGCATGGTCCTATTTATCCTAGTTCTTGGTGAAAAGATGTGGGTGACTGGGGAGTTCCAGGATCTTTCGAAGTGCTCACATTGCACGGCTGTGAATCATCCAGGTATGGCTGGATACGGAGCATCTAGAACCCGGGCGATGTGCCGACGATACAAAAGAGCCTCATGCACTGACTACTTTTAGACCCAAAGAAGTGAATACGTTTAGCTGAGAGTCTAGTTTTATTCATTTTATTCCCTCATACCAGATTCTGATCAGTTTCCCCATTGAAATTGCAAATTTTGGGTACCGGTACCCTCCACTTTAAGACACGTCCATATTAGTTAGCAGCTATCTAATCCATGAACCTACAACCCACCCTCTACTGCCACAGCGCCAAGATATCCAAGATTCTGCACGTTGAGCTCGGGTACTCGATACTCGTTCATCAACGCAGGCCTTTTTTTGGGGACGCTACTGGCCAGGTCAAGCACTGTCCATGAAGATTACAGTGATATGTCAGAAGAAAACTTGCATTGATCTGTGAAATTAGCTCAAATTATGGCACATGCTGATCAACTGGATCATAAATCTTCTTGCTTAACATCTTCAAACCAGGATATGATATTATATAATTGCACACAAGCTACTTATGTAAGTTGGCGCATGTTTCTGTTGCACTTTTTTTTATATATACTGCTTCCCCTGAATTCTACATGAAACCCAAACGTTCTAAATCATCAGGCTCCATGAATATCATTTTTCTTGGGGCCTCAAAATGCATCATGTCGGAAGGTGACCCTCCCTTTTCGACCGTTTCGAGAATTGCCCAAATAGTTCGATGATGGCCATGTTGGGGGTACATGTTCCATAGCAAACTGACATGGCAGTGTGTCAAAACCCTGGCACCTAGTGAACCCCGAAATTGCTGGGATTTATGGATGTTCATCCCACTAAAAATGGTACTTATAGGTATTGATCCATAGCCACATAGCAAACTGACAGTTTCGTTGTTTTAATGCGGTGATGTTCGGTAGCATTTTGTCCAATTACTAACCAGAGGGTAACCAGGGGCCACACAGCACCGTGAAGGGCCCACAGGTCTCAGCTGTGATGGCAATCGCCACCTCACCAAGAACAGTGGTGTGAGTGGATCCGATGTCGATCTTTGCCACCTCATTACCTATGGTACTAACCCCAAAAAAGATAGATAGGGTTCAATATGTTCAATTTATCACTATTTTGGTCAGATTCTGCGAATTTCTATCTCTTGGGGGGGTGCTACCAACATCTACCAACTATAATCTACTCCAATTTCATCTACTCTTATCAATCTCTATACATATGTCATACAATTATGTACACTTGTACACGTATACTGTATACTCATCTATAGACAAATCAGCCGCAACTTTTATATGTAAACACATCATATCATATACACAATTGACATCAATTGAGCCCTTTTTTGGATAAGAAACTCCACCTTCACCAACCTCACCTCTCCCAGCCGCTGAGTTCTGGGACCGTGGTGCAGATACGCAGCTGACGCTCCTGCACCTTGAGGTTGTTCAGCAAGGTGCTAAGCACCTCAGGTGCTGCTGGCGACCGGGACACCCTGAAAGATGTCGAATCCACAGAAAATAGGGGGAAGACAGGTGAAGATAGGAGGAGGTCCCCCAAAATCATACGTTGGCAGTTCACATCTCACCATGTCGTCTAGTCAGCTCACGTTCGTGGGACGTGAGAGAGCACCAGAGACCCATATTCTCCCGCTTTCACGCCATCATTAGTATCGATCGATGGTTGGTACCATGTTATTAATTCATCGACATTGACTATGAAATTTACAACATGATTGACTTTCTCGACAAAAACCGTGCCGCAACAGTGGAAAAAATTCGAAGGGGCTCCGCACATCATGTGGGCCAATCGCCTTGGCGATGTAACCAAATGTGTTCACCTCAGATGACCAAGATCTCAAACTGGGTGATTTAACATATTCAACCAACATCGCCCAGCGTGGCGGAAACGCGCGCCAAGAGACGTCTGGCAAGCAGGAATGGTCTCTGCCAAGGTCAAACATGTCAGCTGGGTGGAGTCCCAGCTGGTTTTTCCAGGAGCCGCGGCAAATTTATGGACTTGAGAGTTCTTAGGGCTCATTCGACCCAACATATTCGTGCGTTGAAGCTGCCCCTTCACTCGGGAAATCTCACATTCTGCTGAATTGTCGCCTGAAATGATAAATGTGGTTTTCCCTTGTTCAAGGCAACACCTTCAGAGTCTTGTGTTGCTCCTGTGTGGGTTCACTTTCTTTATTTCGACGGTTCGTGACATCTCATCGATGCAATGGCGGGCAGGCGGGACGTTATTAACTCACCCCTCCCCAAGCCACTCTAACGTCGCATCACGTGAGTGTGCAAGTGCCAAGGAACGTCACTAGCCACCCGGACCCCCCACCCCACCCCATCCTGGCCCCACCCGACCCCACCCCCCATCCCAAACACTGACGTACGCGGAGAAATATCAAACACTCAAAAACTATCTGTGCCTATGGGGGTTGCGTCAGTAAAACCGCGCATTTACAGGACGACCGCGCCACCAACAAAGCATGGAGTATACTTGAGATATACTTGGGATATCATGGCACATATCAACAAGGCAGCTGATTGGAAAGATGATGATGATGATGATGATGATGATGATGATGGCGTGATTACTTTTTTTTGGAAAATCACATCGTTCATCGGGAGACATGTATAATGTATATATAGATGGAGATATGTATGTCATATGTCGTGTATATATATATCATATATATATATATATATATCATATATATATATATATCATATATATATATATATCATATATATATATATATCATATATATATATATCACATATGATCACTGTATCTTATGTTATATTTGGAGGTACACACCAGTTGCTCACCCTACGTCAAGGGAGTCGTCCAATCTTTAGTGCCTCGGTCCCCACACTGATGCACGACGGATCGCCTTCTTGTGAGCCTCCAAAGTGGAATGGATCTATTATTATCAGTAATATGTAATTATCCTATCAGAATCAAAAATATTATGGTTGATAATAAATGAAAATTATATGGTTGATAATAAATTAATTATATGGTTGATAATAAATGATAATAATATGTAATAATTGATTTATTATCAACCAATATCAACCATATATGATTGAAATATTCCATCATTCTATCAGAATCAGTGTAATTTTGTAGTGGTGTTTTATTTCCAAAATGGGTTGAGAACTTAACTTTATGAAGGGATGACCATTGTTGGTATGTATTATTGTTATTCTAATCACTATCACATAGATACCCTCTGGTAATTTAACATAGCTATGGAAAATCACTATTTTTAATGGGTAAATCCACTATAAATGGCCATTTTCAATAGCTATGTTAAATTACCAGAGGGTAAATGACTGTTTTTACGAACGTATCCATACTAATCCAGGATACATGCGGGGGACAGTTCTTGGGAGAAATCATTTTTTGATGGATTTTTTGATGGTTTGATCAATAGCAATCCCGAAAATACTAGGGCATCCTTTACCCTCTGGTAAACAAACATAGCTATTGAAAATGGCTATTTATAGTGGATTTACCCATTAAAAATGGTGATTTTCCATAGCTATGTTAGTTTACCAGAGGGTAATCAAACCGAAACACCTTGGATTTGATGTGTTCAAACAGCTTAGACAATAATCTATGGGTTTCCCAAAGTCGTGGTGATGATCTGTGAGCTATTTGAAATGGGAAGAAACGTATAATATGATATTATCCCAAATTGGTATCATTTGATCTATTATCATTATTCTCTGTGCTATTGCTATTTCAATCTTCGAAATGATAGAAAATGTGAGCTGGTCCGAAAATGTCCTGACTATCTTTATGATCTAAGCAGATCCAAGAATTTCTTGGTTCAACATGGGGACGCCTCTTTTCCCCACAGCTCAAGTCCAACATGGTGTTCAAATCACCAAGTTTGAGGAAGTCTCAATCCCCATGGTTTTTGGGCAAACTGCTATATAGATGTATATTTTTATGTATCTGTTTTTTTATCCAGCCATATTTCCCAAACTCCAAATGCCGTGAGGTCGTCCAAAAAAATAACGCCCAGAATGCTGCGTTAATGAAGAAAGACCTGGGGAAAAAAATGACCCAGAATTGTTCATCCCCATTGTTAGAATCGCTCAAGTCTGTAATTCATGGAGGTTATCATGAGTTATCATGGTTTCACTGGGAAATTCATGGGGATTTCACCCCAAATGGGCCCTTTTTTTGCACCGATAAAAAGATCATACCCTCTGGTAATTTAACATAGCTATTGAAAATCACCATTTTATAGTGGATTTTCCCATTAACAATGGTGATTTTCCATAGTTATGTTAGTTTACCAGAGGGTAAACATCGCACCTTCAAGAGCTCCAGCAGATCGAAACAGATGCGATTCCACTCGCGTGGCGGCGCCAGCTCGGCACCACGATCTGCAATCCTCGCCATCCAAAAAGGTGGCTTGGGCGCCAGCCGGAGAAAAATATTGAACATCTAAAGACCATGCATGTATACATATATATATATTATATATATAATATAGATATAAGTATATAATATATATAAGTATATATATATATGAGTATTTATAGGTATTTATAAATATGTAAAACTAGAGTGGCAATTCAGCAGGTGTCCTTCTACTGAGGAAAGATGCGGAAAATGAAACGCCATTCGAAGACACTCAGCGGATGGTGTCCCATCCCCAAATGTCCTGCCAACCAGATCGATGCAGTTCTCCTGGTGAGGCGCCAACAGGGCCAGGCACAAGTTATGTGATTGGGTGTGTATATATATATATATACGCATACATACATTATGTATGTAGGTTTGTATGTATGTATGTCTCTCTGTAAGTCTGTATGTATGTAATGTAATGTAATGTAATGTAATGTAATGTAATGTAATGTAATGTAAATGTAATGTAATGTAAATGTAATGTAATGTATTGTATGTATGTATGCATGTATGTATGTAGGTAGGTAGGTATGTAGGTAGGTAGGGTTATATATGTATGTATGATTATGTATGATTATGTATGTACGATTGTATATGTATGATTATGTATGTGTGATTATGTATGTATGATTCTGTATGTATGATTATGTATGTATGATTATGTATGAATATGTATGTATGATTATATATGTATGATTATGTATGTATGACTATGTATGATTACGTAACTATGTATGACAATGTACATTTATAGACGGAAACATAATAATAACTATACAATACATTATAAATTATAATACTCAGCGAAGTGTTTCCTCCCAGTGCAAAAAACTCACCTCAAGACTGGCCCCACCTGAACCTTCTCGTGTCTGTTCTTCAGGATAGGCGTCAGTCGTGGCAACAGGTCCTGCCACGCTCGCTTTGATGGCTAGGGTTCAACCACAAGTCACCCATGGGGAACAACTGAATGGGAAAGCGATCTGGGTTTTTGACCACAAATATCTTGGGGAGGCTCCTGTGAAGTTCTTCCAAATTATTCCAAGGGGAACATGGGATCTATTCTGTTCTATCATGCTCTGTCTTGACCACAGATCATGGCTGGTCAGCACTCATGCATCAAATCCGTCTAGTCTTTGCGGTTGTTGCTTGACCGATACCCACCTGTTCAGGATGACACAAACTTTCAGTCCAGTTCAGGCTCGATGTTTGGTCAAGAAAACTGACCAACCATCCGTTCCTTGATGGGCGGTGTCATCTTGGTCATGCCAATCACATTCACAATGGCCTTTAAGGCCCCCAAGATCGAACCTCAGAATCCGTATCTGACATGACATATGCATAACCAAGATCCGGCTCCTTCAGGTGCTGGAATAATCTGATTGGCGGTTTCAATCTATGCCAAAAATATAGATCTGAAATTCTGATGGAATATCTGATTGGAATATCAATGGTTGATGGTGTTTCAATCTGATATTCTCACCATCATCCTGTGCTTTGAATTTCTTAAATACGCTGAAGACGTCAATGTCGTTTGGAGATCTGAGCACACGACCCAGCACCTCGGGATACTCTTCACCCAGGTACTCATACAAGAAGAGACCCAAGTGCCTCACCAAGGTGGTAAGGGAAAGCCCAGCAGTCTATCAGTTGAATCCTGAAGTTGTCGAAAATGTCTCACCAACGACGATGTTGCAAGGTGACATCGAGATGGCAAAATACTGGTATCTTGCAAATTCTTATGGTAACTACGTCTAAATATACCGATGTTTAAATATACAAACTGGTATTTTAGACTACCTCCGGGAAGGTTTTCCTTGGCCTGCCCAGCCATTTAAACATATGGAATCCAATTTAGTTAAACATACATTCAAATATACGGATGGAACTGATGTTTCATACTTCATCCAGGGTCTTGTGGTCTGGCCCGCCCTCCACATATTTATATAAATGCCGTTACCATACATCTGAGAGGGAGGGAAGGAGTCTGCCTGGTGGTTTCACACCCCAAAGGACTAGTTCAGCGGACACCATCCTGTAATATGATTTGAAATCTCTGGCAGAATTTGAGTACTTGACTCAGCTGAAATAAGATGGCCATTACCAAGCATCATTCACCATCCATGTATTCACCCAGACATATTCAATCGTATTCATATGGTTGAAAATAACCAATACATTCCAATACCGTATCCGTATCTCAAAAAATAACATATGACGAGCAGAACTTAGATCCCAGCCCCATCATCTGCTCTTCACCGCACTGCTTCATGACCACGGCGATACGTGCAATGAGATCTGCGGCCTGTTGACCTTGATGCAGCACGTTTGGCTTGGACACGTGCCGATTTGTTCATCGGAATGTTGGGAAATGCATGTAGAAAACGAAAAGCATTAATTACCATATTCTGAAATCTTGGGCGTCTACATCTGTCATGTACACCCTCACCATATCTTAGATATACCGTACAGTACACATGTCTCCATTGGGTAATATCAAATAGAAATTGTACTATCATATATTACCATTATAAAATCTTATAACACATTATATACGTACCATGTTTCTGACACACTTCAAATCCAGCTGCGACAGTCATGTTAAAATGTTAAAGCGCAGTTCGCACTCTCAGGCTCTTGCGAACACGCGCAGAAGGTGTGTTCAAGCGCCACCTGCCAACATCCAACATCCAACAGGTGAGTTGATCACGATGCTTTGTGGTGGAAACCAGGTACTATAATGTACTGTATTGGGGATATAACGCGATGTATGGCAAGTTTAACCATGGTATTTGGGGGTATCCTCTTGTCGGGAAAAAAAAACATGTGGATTGGAAATTGTGGATGCTGTTTTTCAAAGCTCACATTGAGATCGAAATACTGTCAATGAACAACAGGAAAATAATCTTCCACAACAGTTTGTTCCTCTTGGGTTGGGTGAGTATTCGACCACATTCTACAATCTACCAATATCTACCACACTCCACCGGATTGGCCATCCCACTCAACATCCCTCTCCCAATTGGCCATCAGGGCCTGATGATACCAGCAATCTGTGGCAAGTAGGGCTTCACACGAGGTCCCAAGGAATTCACCACAGTACCAAAGCCATTCAGCATCACCGTGGTGTCATCCGAAGTCTGCTCCTGATTTCTGAAAAGGCTGGAAGGCATCCAACAGATGCTATGCTCGCTGTTCTTTTGCCAAAGCTGGGCTTCATTTGCCGGTTGGGGCTTGGGCATCTCAAACAATCGCAGGAAATGGCCTGTTTGAGATGCTCATGAGATGAGAGTTTAGCTATGTCGAGCAATTCTCATTGCGTTGCCGCTTTGTGGTGTCGTGGCGACTCTGAACAACTCAACTTGTCAATTCCACCTTAACAAATAATATTGCCCATCCCTGTACTGTACAATGCGTCATCTCGCCATCGAAGTTCAAGTGAAATGGACTAGCCACTATCAATCATCTTGAACACCGGTTCGAAGACCGAGACCGTTTCCCTTACTATGGTGAAATCGTGGTGAGGTCATGATAGTTGGCCCAAAATCATAAAACACATGTCTTGCAGTCCAGGCTACACTGACTGCATCCAGGCTTCAACCAAGACACTTCTGGCCAAACCCCTTCTCTGCTCCCAGACGCCCCAAGTGGATTTGTCTGAAAATATAGAGTTCGATACTCAAATACAATTTTGGGGGTATATACGGTATATATCGGTATACCATGGTATACCCCATCTTCAGACCCCCTACCACTCTTTTTGTCACGGCTGTGGCGGTAAATGTAAGGTCTCTGGGGCCACTCCGCCCACGCGGGGCGAACCTTGTGTGCCTTAAAATTGCTCAACCATCGACGATCACAATTCGTCCCATTCAGTTGCAGCAAAATTGGCAGAAATCAGATCCTTCGCATAGGTCGAATTGGGAGTTCGAGATTCTGCAAGCTTATGGGTCCATTCCTGCAGGGTCATTCATTTTGGATTGACGAAGCATGCAGGTTCAATGTCATGTTTGTGATATTTAAAAAAATGGTCAGACTCTCTGAGATTGTTTTGCTTACAAGCTTTTGAAAATTGGACTGATGGCACATTGCATTTGCTTGCAGCTAAACCAAATAAACTGACATAAACTGCCGAATTCAAACATCCAACCTCAACTTTGGGATTTCCAATTTATCCTATGTTCCAAAATTACAATATAAAGAACCTCTAATAAACATGACTATATAAAATACTATAAACTATATTATAAACTACTGTTTGGATGGGTTTTCCATATGGTTCCCCTCTTAAACTCCATCCTTTATGGCCAGGTCCCGTTTCCGGTCCTTGAAGCGTTCTTGCATGTTGCCTTCGATCAACGCCTCGGCAATCTGTTCAGCTCCGAAGTCCAGGTGCTTCACCAGGCCCTGCCACACAGCCAGCACTTCTGTGGCCCTGGCCTTGTAATCGCAGCCCACACCAAACAGATGTAAATCGCCCATTTCTGGAAAGGTATCTTCAAAGAGGCACTCATGAAATCGCTTGGAAATCTGTAGAGCTTCCTGCCTTTCCAAGTCCCGTCGTCGTTCCTCCGTTTGCTTCGTTCCCTGGTGCCGTTTCGCGTGTGACTCCTCTTTTGGCTCCTGCAACAAGCGCAGGCGCTCAGGGCGCAGAGCCATCACTGGAGCCTCGCTGCTCCATTGGATCCCCACCCGGTCGCGGCTGTACTGCGTCACGGTGCCTTGCTTTCCATTGAGCTCGGGGCGATTGGTCAAGCCCTGAGCCTCTACCAAGCTGTGCTTGGGAAACTGCAAGGAGAGGAAACCCAGGGGAAAGTCCTCCTGTTCCCGCACGAAGCGTTGGAAGGCCTTGGGTTCCAAGATTTTGTTGGTGGCTTCAGTGAAGTGGTCTTCATCTTCACGGGCCTCTTCCATCCAATGGTCCATGTACCTAAGATGAACTAAGATGCTTAACTAAGATTACTCAAGGTGCTTAAACCCTCTTAAAAATCTGCAATACCTGGCAGCTCTCAGCATCATCACCATCTTTATGGTCAACCCGGCCAAGAAAAGAAGGCGCTGAACAAGTTCCAGGCTGCTCCAAGATCAGGTCAAAGTCGTGCTTTGAGAATGGCACCTAACTTTGCAAATTCCAGTGTGGATTGGTTCCGTTGGTGCAGGACCATGACTCCATGACCATCCCTCTTAGAAGAAGCCAGCAAAACTCAAACAATGAGATTTACTTTCTGGTCAAGATCCATATTTGCATATATTTGCTGGGTTATTCCCACAAATTTGGCACAAAAGCATACTGAAGCCCTACATTTTGTGGTTTCAATCATCATCAATCATCCCCATCTCTTGTCAATTTCATCTCTGTTGTCACCGATGAAATCCCTATTTTCGTCATTTGCATACCCACCGTTCCGTACTGTTACCAGGTAAATCAGAAATTCTTAGGCTCTGGTTTCAACATGTTTCAACCCCCCATTACCTTGGCATCTTGGCGTTGCCCACCTGATCCTTTCTGGCCAGCACCACTGGGGGTGCTGGGCCCTGCCGCCCCCCGTACTGCCATTCTGCCGGCGCCAAACCATCCGAGGTGTCGGCCATGAAGCGGACGATGACGTTGGAGCGGATGTCGGAGTCGTCGCCTCTCCGCGACTGGTCGTTTTCGGATGAAGGGATGGGATTTTTAGAAACTTTTGGACATGAGTGATTTGAAATGACTTGAAATGATTTGGACCCACCTAAAACTGGAGTGAAATTGAAATGGAACAATGAAAACGGAGGATTTGACGTCCAAGAACATGGGAGATTGGGGTTCACCGACGAAAATGCCTGATTTGACCATCCGAAGAGGGAATTGACAGTGAGGGATGTAAGCACAAACAAATGAGTTATTTGAAAACCACAGCCAACAAAGTCTGAGGAATATATATGCTTATATATATATATATATCCCAAAAACAGTGGGGGATCTGCGCATTGAAAATGTGGAGTTAACAGCTAAAACAAGGGGAATCATTAAACCCTGCTGACAAGATGTGACTATATAATATATATATATATAAAGAATCTGATTTTAACTCTGCGAATCCCAACAACGGAGCCGGGCGGCGAAGCAAATTGCAGTGTTTTGAGATTCGCTTGAGAAGTACAACAAAATGAAAGATCGAGTGTGTTCCATGTGTTCCTATTGGCATCTGATGCATCTCAATTTTCAGATCGCAGATGATCGCAGCGCCTCCGGTACCGGACTGCGTCTTGTAGAGCACTGGGATCCCCAGCTTCTCCGGCACGGGGACGGATCGAAAGGTCTCATCCAGTTTCACCTCTACATCCACCACGTCTGGGCCATGAACGCGGACACCCAGCACCATGGCCGGGAGGTGAGTCCTTTGCCTTGAAATTCCTTGAAAGGTAGCTGTTCTATGGCAGTGGTCAGTTCGGAATGTGCTGGTTGATTCGGTTGCTTGACCTAGAGTTTCGACCTGGGTTTGGAGATGATTCACTTATTGTAACTATCTATATATATATATATACATATATATATATATATATATGTATGTACATATACCAAATCGTCATGTTCCTTAATGAAATGGCCATTTTCCACCCATTGTTGGACAAACCCAAACATTTGTGCTGCAGATTCCATGTTTCACCATCGTTGACTTGAGCCTCGAACCCGGCGGTATGCGGTGATCATGGGCCCCCAAGACATGGGCCAAAACATCAACAATGCCAAGTGATGTTTACTAAAAAAAATAGTATAGCCCAAAAATGGACATATGTATACCATCATGATGCCAAGTGATACATCAACACTGGCGGTATACCACAGTGTACCCAAAAAAAATAGGACTTTCATGGACTTTACTTTCAAGATCTGTGGAAGACCAGTGCCCTCCTGGAAGGCGTAGACAATGCCGTCAATGATTTGCTCCTGGTGTGATGAACGATTCGTCTTTTTGGGCACAGGGAAAGTGATGGGGATGTTCTAATGCTTGAGCTCTATAATACTTACAACATTCTATCTATTTATATATGGCAATGAATGTCAACTCCGATTTCATTCACCGCGGGCTGGTTTCTTAGGGAAACACAAAAAGTTCTGTAGTAAGCAGGATAGTAACATCGTACCCCCGAATCAATCTGTGAGTGGTTACCGGTGGATCCGGTGGATAGTAGTGGCAACCATCCACGTGTTTCAAACCACCCTTCCAGTCCTTGGTGGTGTGTTGAGAAGGTTGTCAGCCCCAGGCTAGCTTCAAGGTAAAGATAGTCGTTAGGCAGATTAAACAGCCTACCCTTTAGCAATCAAACATGGTACTGTAGTATATACTGAAAAAAATCCCCTATACATGGAGATGTTAAATGTTAATGGGAATATCATCTAGAGATGGGGGGAACATTCATTGCCATGTTTGATTGCCGGAGAATATTCCCAAAAAAGACCATAATGTGTTGATAATCATCAAGTAATAAAACCCAGCAGTTTTTGAAGCTTTCCCTGAAAGGGTCAGGGTACAGCAGCTCCAAAACATCCATATCATCCATGTGACCCCAATAGAAGTCAGTTAGTGGAGAGCCAACCCCTCATGTTTCCAAAAAACTCGGAGAACCCGAACCTACAAAAACACAAATCCGACAAAAAAGGAAACAACAAGTATTGAGTAATGCGGATAAAACAATAATTTACCATCCGCCAAATCACCATATATAATTAAATAGGTGGTATACACCATTCCCAAATGGGTGGTTTATGGCATTGTTTTACCCACATTATTCGATTCTATTCAGCCAGGTATAGGCCGAAGAAAACCTGACTGTCAATCAAAACACCCGAGGCTCCTCCAGCCGGGAGTCGATATCCGCCACACCCAAGTTGCCAATGACCTTGGCGACTGCGTCTCAGAGGAAACATCGCTACATGGAAGGAAAATGACATAGAGATGTAAGGTCTACCAGAAAAATTGTCATGTTCAGGAAAACCACATGTTTTTCATATCCTATCATCCTATCTAAATATCTTTAACCAAGGCTGCTTTAACCTTCTTTTGTGGGCATTAAAAATGCCACGGAGATCCACGGAGGATCTCCGGAAATGCCGGGGGATCCTCCAAAAGTAACCCGCGCCTTGTCGATGGTTTCCATCACCATCTTTCTATAGGGCTCAGAGGCATCTTTTAAATCCTGGCTGAGGCATCTTCCACTGAGACCGGGCAAATCTGGGGATTCTGCCTGATCTGGCGATTTTGCATAAACCATCTCTGTGTTGAGACCATCACACTTTCCATGTCTCCGCATTTCTGTAGTTTGGCCCTTAGGGTCGTTTAACCTTGGCTACTAGTCGCATTTGTCTCCTGTACCCAAAACTGCGAATTCTGCCCACTAAAAAATGGACTCTAGGCCCTAGTCTTATATCAACCACGTATACCATCATTTTGCCTTGTTCTAGAAGAACTATTCTACCAAGTCTGGTTCGCCGATTCAAACCCAGGTGGGTTCCATATTGGTTCCATGAATTCAACCACATTCAACCCAACCCCAAGATGTTTTGGGCGGTGGGGTTCCATCCCCTCGCCTCAACGATTCGTCCAATGATATCAGCTCCGCCCACCTGAATCGAAGATCTTTTTGCCAAGCAACATTGGCAAATATGATGTCACCCCCGACAGTTGAGGTTTAACCAACCACGAAAATTGGAATTACCAACAGTTGAGGTTAAACTATGAAGATTGGGATTAGACAACAAAGGTAAGATTTCACCAACCATGAAAATTCGGATTAAACTCACGACTTTTGATGGAGATTATGAAAATTAATTACAGTAAGGTATGGATGGATTTAAGAGATGATTTACATATGGAACCCCCCCAAACAGAAATACATGCTTGTTTCAGTTTGGTTGTGAAGATTCCCTAGTAGTATATAAAACATGTCTTGGAAAACCCATATGTCTGGTTGTTTGGGGTTCTAGGCCGAAAACCTTACGAAACTTGCTCATCTTTAGCAATGGATTGGCTTGAAGGAAGTTTGACGAAACCCAAATGCTGGCTTTGATGATAAAAAGATATAAAAAGTGACAAGCACGGCTTCCTTTGAATTTTCACAGCAATCCATTGGCTTCAGTATCCCTAAAACCGCTCAAGTATGAAATCTGTGTGGTTTGATTGATTTTTGGGAATCCCCCCAGCTTGATGTACACACGCTTCAAGAGAAAACAGCGGAATTTTGAGCCAAATTGAGACAGGCCAGAATAGATCATACCCGTAGTCAAACGTGGCTGAAAAATCCCTTGTTTTCTGGGTGTTTCAATGGGAAATTGATGTATAAATGGTGAATTGATGTGGATTGTCCAGCACGCCATGTTTCACTACCGGAGGGTAACCAATCCGGTAGTGGTCTCTGCAGGCACTGCGGGCATCAGGGGATTTCCCCCAGTTTTTGCGGTTTTTGTTGGTGAGAATCTCAATTCTGTTGATCATATCCGCCATTGATGTTCTGAAGCCCAAATTTAGTGCTGATATTCCGGTGTTTTTGGGATAAAATGCCTGGTTATTGGGGTTAAACCGCCTACACCCCATGTCTCTTGTGGGTTTCAGTTCCCATTTTCTGTGGGCTTTCGGTCAAAATCTCCACCTTTTGCGGTTCAAAAAGTCCAAAATTGATCAAGTGTGGGCTGAAAAGCTGCAATCAAACTAATCAACCAAACAAACTTTGGCGCTGGGAAATCCCCTCTAAATGGGGGTTTACCCTCTGGTGAACTAACAGTTTGCAATGGAAAATGGCCCAGTCGAAATAGTGGATTTTCCCATGAATAGCATGGTGGATCTTTCCATCGTTTTTTGTTAGTTCACCAGAGGGTAAACCCAATTGTTATGTTAGTTATAAACCCACTTAGCTATCATAAATCAACTATGAATTCCCATCAAGTTCTTGCTTCAATCCCCATGTTTGTAGTGGTTTCTAGTGGTTTGTAGCTGGCAATTCATCTCCAGATGGCGTGGACCTTGTTGGCAATTTCCACAGTGGTGTCCACAAGCTGCCGATAGTTGCGACGGTCCAGCGCCATCCTAACCTGGAGGAACTGGGTTTCAGCCACTTATGGTGGGAGCTTTCCATGGGGGAACCATAAAATGGATGGTTTATATATCATGGAATCATGGAAAATCCTATGAAAATTTCATGGAATCATGGAAAATCCTATGAAAATCTGAAAATTGTGAGGATTTAGGGATATTTAGGGGTACCCCCATTTCAGGAAACCTCCGTTTTTGAGAGATCACCCCGGGAAAATCCGGGAAATGGGGATTGATAACTTATAACCAGGGTCATTAAGCAGTTGCGATGCATGGGATGATTCTCCATGAGGATATGATGAGCCCAAGACTGGGATGGCGTGCTTATCAAATATCAAACTCGTCCACACAGAATGCCAGATTTTGGGGGGTCCTGTCGCTACGTTTCTTAGTCCATCGGGGCGTTGGTCTTCAACCTTGACCCTTACCTAAATGTTCTTCATAGCTAAAGTTGGCAGGTTCCATGCATCATGAGATGTCAGTGCAATAGATGTTGGCGCCCCAAACGACCACAACATTGGACTTTTTCGGGGCCAACAAAAATCCAGCAAATGTGGAGATGAGTTAAAACAAAAATCCAACCAGTTCAAATATCACTTGGCCAGCCATCCCAGAGATAGGACTTCACCAAAATACAAATTCCAACTAACATCACTTGGCCCCTGCGCCAATGTTCCGTGATGTCACCGTACCTTTTCATCTCTTTTCTTTCCATCGTTGGCTGAACCAGCTCTCAGTGGCGCTGACAGAGCAGTTCCCGTAACACCGTTTGGACCCCAGGGGGATTTCGTTTGTTCCGATGTTTCTCGTTTTACCGACATATAATGCCATATATATATATATAAATGCGTATATAATAGAAAGGAACTGAATAGAATAGAATAAAATAACGTAATTTACCAAAATCATAACACACAAGAACATACAAAATGATATTATACAATAATTTGGTGTGCGCAACTGTGTGCATATGTGCAACATATGTATAGATATATGGCATAATATATCATGTGACATAGTATGATCATATATACACTTAGAACCGCATGTACAGTAGTACAAATCGACCACTGCGTTGCAATTCGAGTTCCTCTGGTCAACTCGGACTTATTTCAGACTATAACACATATCAGACATCTCTTTGTTTTAACCCACCAAGATCACGAGTTTGATTTCATCAATAAAAAAGTGATATTTCATCTCGGGGATTTGAGGGTGAACAACTTTGACCCTGAGTAACCAATGCATATTAGAGTCACTGGTAATTTAACAATAGCTATGGAAAATCGCCATTTTTGATAGGTAAATCCTCAAACTAAACGGACCATGTTCATCCATTTTGCCTGAGTGTTAGCAGTTTCTCTTTTTCAGTGGTTACGGGCAACCCTTGTTTCGGGGGACGAAGACAGGAAGACTTTGCATCTCGAGCGACTTAATGACAAATATTTTGAACACCATAAACTAGCGACAGTTAGTGACAGATATCATGAAGACACGTTCTTGATAAATTTTGATATTTTCATCACGGACTGTTGTTGCGCGCCAAAAAAGCTGTAGTGGCCTTCGTGGACCAGATCCCCCTCTTGGCATTCCTTCTACGGCTCTCAACCTATTCACCAATGGATATCCCTCAGCTGATATGGACGAGTAAATCTGCGTAGCCAATAACCCGTCATCTTGGTTGTTCCTCATCTGGCTACCTTGGCCATGAATTGGGAACTGTTGCTGTAACTGCTGCTGCCGCCGTGACAGTCAGAACGGCGACTGTTGAAGCAGCACAATGCAGCACAGCTGTGTGGTTGTCACAGCAGCCGTTGTCCAACATAAAATTGGCATCTTGATTGGCGAGACTGCTTGGCCCCGGCGTTCCACATGGTGTGGTCCAAATGCTGGGTTGGAACTCCAAAGGTCACAAGCAGTGGTGGATAACCTGGAATTCGAAGCAGCCAAGCTGCCATGTGTGTGTGTATATATATAGACATGTCACACATGGCGTGATCACCATCTACAAATGGGTGATCATTGCGCATAAGTGGGATGATCACTACAGTACAATTATATGGCAAGGTCACCATTGTACAGGGTCCCAAGTTCCTAACATCCCCTCGATACATGTCAACTTGTGGGGGGAGGCAACTAATTACTCTTTGATCAACAAAAATCCGCCCGCGCGGAAGGTGCCGAGGCGTGATAATTTAGGAACCGATGAGACGAATGGGCCGATCTGTCAGTCTGGTACAGCTTCAGCGGGGGTACTGTGGTAATTTGCACATTTTGCAGATTGGCCCATCATCGGCCAAATGCGCCGTTTTGATCCAACATGGCAGCAACGTCGGCTCCACTTGGGGTCAACTTTGGCCAAGATGCGACCCAACTTGGACCCACTTGGCTCAAACTTGCCCCCAACATGCCGCAACTTAGCCCTAAGTCGCAACTTACGCCCAATCTCACCCAGCGGCTCCAACTTGGGCTCCAGCTGGGTCCGAGATAGCACAACGTGGGCCCAAGTTGGGACCCATTTTGCGGGCTCAATGCAACATGCTTGAAACCTGCATTTTACCGCTACTTCCAACGTTTCTTTAACGGGTTCGTGCAAGGCCATGCACATTGGGCCTGCCTTGGGCCCAACTTGGTCGCCAGATGCCCCCACACACGGGACCAAGTTGCGCATGTTGAGCCCAACTTGCGTCCAAACGTGCCCAGGTTGCGCCATGTTGGACCCCAGTTGGGCTCAACTTGGGGCCAACTGGCCCGAGTTCGGCGCAAGTTAGGCCCAAGTTGGGCTCCTGTTCAACCCAACTTAAGGCCAAGGACGGCCAAGTTTGACCCCGGTCGGCTTTTGGTTGGGCCAAGTAGGCTCGCTTCTTTCCTGTTCCCTAAGTGTGCGCGAAGCGACTCGAATCAAGGTTTATCCCTGAAAAATATTAGGACCCTTTTGTGCCAACACCGTATTGGGAAATATTGCAAACACTAGAAAAAGTATGTTAACATCGTGAATGATTGGGGAAAAATACCTAACAATATAAAAACACAATTTTCCAATTGTTAGTTTCCGTTGCACCAATTGTCAGGGATTGGACTCACCATGGAAAAACCGGGCCGCAACAGCACGGGTGGTGAGGTATCAGCACCCCCACCTATTTCATTTGGCTTCCAAGTTTACCTTGATGCCCTGTGGGAGATATCGTCTGCTCACACAATCTCACACATATGTTTTAAAATCAATATGAACCTAGAATTTCACCAGCGTTCTATACGCAATTATATGTGTATGTATATATATATATAAATATATATACAGTGTAGTCGTATGAATACAATTAAATACATCGTGATCATCGCATGTATTATATAAATATTGTCTGGCAACGAAGGAAACTCTAGACAAACTAAAAGGTTGGAATTCTGCATGAAAACTGGCAATGGCATTGGATTTGCTATATAGGGGAAATCAGATTCCGGAGCAAGCGTAGTCTTCCTGCAATTTCTGCTAAAATAGGAGCACATTTGACCTCTGATTTGAAGCCCGAAAATATCCTACCAAAATATTCGAATTTCACAAGATTGTCATAGCAGAATGCCCGCGCGCGCGCCATTTTGGAGGCTTGGAAGATTAACGTTGCAAAATAATGATGACAAAGGAACGTCCAAAAGAGTTGTCTTTCTTGACGTTTGGACTGGTCCAAGCATTGAGATACTGGTTTGCTCAGGACTTTCCTACACGCAACACATGAAAGCAAAATGAAAATACCACAAGCATGCTATCACATTCACAAATGATCCTGCACAAGTATTCACCTTGCGGTGTGGGGCTGCACAGCTACCGGAAAGGATTTGCTGATTTCTGCGTCGTGCCAAAGGGCACAACTTCCATTCGCGCCCAGCACACGGCAGGTTTACTTTGAATGTCAAGGCACTTGAAGAGAGAAACCTTGAAGACCCATCAGAAGAAATGGGTGAATGATCAAAACGTAGCGAAAATGTGGTAGTATTTTAATTATATGGTCTACCGAGTCTACCTTCTAAATTGCCATTCAAACGGGAAAAGGTTGATGAATCATCAAATTTGGATCCCTATGACAAACCGATATGGTTCATATGCAATATCATGTGGATCCCATCAAGATGACTGTCTCTGTGTTCATGATAATCCTGGTACCAGCAATGTGGATCCCCAAGAGATGCATCAAACTTCCTGGGGGATCCATCAATCATCATCAATCCATACCCAGAAGTGCCAAAATCCAGTTGTGAAGCAGAAGTGCATCACCAGAGGCGTCACTTTCCACTTCCAACAGCCAAGTGCTGGGAGGCTTTGAGCTCCACCCCTCCGCCCTTTCGCAAGAGCCAGGAACTGTTGGGACTGGGAATTGCTACCAAAAGCAATAGAGCGTCACAGATTCTGTGCACCACCCCCTGGTTCACAGAAGGTCTTTGGGATTTCCGTTTGGTCCTGTTCACAACTGGGCGCCATGGCCAAAGGTTTGTCCCAAACCCTTTGCAAATCATGGGTTTAGCCCTCGTTGCTGGCACCATGAACCAGGAGTGGACGGTCCACATCGGACATCCGTGAGCACGCGACATAAGTGGGTGCTGGATGCGGACATGGCACACATCGGAGCATCAGGTTGCAAGCAAAATCCTTAGATGATCCCAAAAATATGTATACATATTGTATACATATTGTATACATATTGTATGCACATTGTATACATATTGTATACATACTGTATACATATTGTATACATATTGTATACATATTGTATACATATGATACATATTATACATATGTATGTATGTATGCACGTATGGATATGGATATATTATATATATATATATGCATACATACACATATATATATATACGATATATATATATATATCACCCAAATGGGCTGTTTAATGGGAAAATGATGCTAAAAGCCAGTGGATCTAGAGATGTTCCCCTAATTTATCAGGCAAACCCTACACCAGTGTTCGAAAGGACGACTCAGTGCTCCAAGTTTCGTTGTTGTTGGTGACTATCCTCAGATTTGCTACATAATTATATGATATTATATGTACACTTAAGCCTAAATTCCAATGGAAACGCAACTTCACCCAAAAACCACAGCTCATCTTCCCTTGTAGAGCTTGAAATCAACAATCAACTCGTACCTTTTCTGACATGGTCCCATTCAAATCTAGTACATCTATAATATATACAGTACTAGTACATATATTATTCACAAATAGATAGATGGGCCCGATCCAGATGCCATGACGACAGCACCCAGTTCAGCTGTATGCAGTCCACTGTGCTGTCTCGATCCGCTCTCGGGATGTTCACCAACAACAATGGGTTGATATGGGTTTATGGAGTTTATCACTGATGGTTGGTGAAAGTGGTTGTGCGCAAAACCCTACAACACACCATACAGATTCAGGGCTCACACCGTTTAACTTAACCAAGCCATATGCCTTTCGAGATGGCAAAGGGCCATGCAATGACTGTAGTTGATGCTGAGTTAGGTATGGATCAGAAGTTTTTATTCGATTCCTTTGGAATTTGGATTCCCAGAAGAAAAATGGCAGTATCCAACTTGGAACAATAATTTGGTAGGTCTGAAAGCGTCGGGGCTGCTGAAATCCCATTGCTATGCTGATAGCCCAGGTGATATTCCCCATTGACACCCTCCCAGTCGACCTCAAACTTCCCAAGAGCGTAACACTTCAAAGACATATTGCTCAGAGAAACGATCTGACTTCCATTGAAACGGCCCATTTCAGCTGCACAATTTTCACGGCTGGCGGGGCACCGCTTCAAGCGAATAGCTCAGCGAATGGGCAGCCGCGTATGGGCCGCTTTGTTCATTAGAAGCACGCCAACTTTGGCCTTGGTCATTGGTCATTGGGCGTTGGTCATGGCCAAGGAATCTGATGAAAGATTGCCATTCCAGGATGACTATCGGCCGTGGTTGGGAAACTCAATTAACGTAGCTCCAACTGGTTGGCTCCCCATTCAATAGGACTATAGTGACTATAGATACCCATAGTTCAGCTCAACGCCTCCTACTGGATTGATGATTCCCTGATCCAAACTGGCAGAAGAGGTCCTGGGCTTCGGTCGATCAGTGAGGTCGCGATGCCAAATTGTCCCCCAAAATCCCACGGTTGATCATCTTCCACATTCAATTTGCCTTAATTTCAGGGGAGGTCCTCCACTTTAGGACAAAAAACATATATCAAATGGTTGCTTATATATACCAATTATGCCCCAATAAGTTTCCATGATGTCCATATATCATGGATAGTTAATACACATTAATACATCATAAATACCATGCTGGTCACATTTGACATACTGTACAGTAGTTGTCGAAAAATCACCGTTTTGAAGTATAGATCACAGAACTTTCCATAGGCAAATTATGAGTGGGCATGGTTAGAAAAATCAAATAATACTCATGAATATCCATTGTGTCCATTATTAATCTCGAATTTCCATACATTCCATTTCATATCCCAACAAAAAGTCTTGGATTTCCTGGTGTCCCAAAAAAATACCCTCTGGTAAATTAACATAGACCCTGGCAGTTGTCGGGGTTGGAAGACTAGTGTCCATTAACAATTGGTTATTTTCAGGGTCCAACTGTTTATTTACCACCATTTTATGGACGTTCCATTGGGATCCACCCGTTCCTGAGATCCACACCAGGCCAGGTCCTAGCAGGGAAAATCATGTCCGAAATTCGTCCAAGCTCTTCCCAGGGGAATGTCAGCCACAAACAACACTAATAGTGATCATATGTGATAATAATAATAATAATGATGATCATGATCATGATCATCATGATGATGATCATGTCATCATCATGATGATGATGATGATGATCGTCCAATACTGTAACAAAGACAATATAAAACTGTTATAACAATAACATTAACAATTCAGAGATCATAATAATGATAGTCATAGATCATGATAGTAAGAGGGATAAAACCAAAAAAACAGCTCATGAAACACCCTGGAAGTGTTCGTTATCCACATGCGCCTGGGTCAAGACCAAAGTGAGAACCCTAAGTTGACTGGGTAATCAGGCCAGAGTTTACCTGCTGAAACTGACATAAATGGGGGTATACACCATTTTCAGACAAACCAAAAATTCCTTTTGGTTACATAATATGTATATATATATATACACATACACATATATACATATATATATCATATTTATGTAGAGAGAGAGAGAGAGAGATTTCCCAGCTTACTCCCACAATACCATTTTTTGGTGGTTAAATCCACCATTTCCATGTATCAGACCTAATTTTTGCTGCTGATCTTCTCATGTTTTCCCTCCGTCTCTGCAGCCCGCCTCCTCTCCGAGCAGAAGACATGCTGGAGCCGGAACAAGTCAAGTAAGCTGCCTGGGTCCAGTTGTTTGGACCCTTGTGGATTAGACACCCCAGTCATGTTCAGCCCAGTTGCAAGTTACTAACCCCAACCTGACCATTTCTGGAGGAAAACCCATCTTCCGAAGCTTATTTCGTGGGGTTCAAGGTTGGTTCTCAGGGCCATACCCTAAAAGTGGATGAACATCTGCGCTTTCCTGAACCTCACATGTTGGTTACTTAAGAATGGAGATGTCAAGTGGTATATTTGTTCCCATACAATGGTTTGGAAAGGTATACTAGAGAACTCATGCAAATAATTGTAAACTCATTCCTACACCGTCAGTGTGTATCCGCCAACCCCAGCGGCAGGGGGAGCGCGTCAACATAGCTACGGAAGCCATGGCCCATTAATGGATGATTCCCCTCACAGTTGGGTCAAACAATCATCATTTACATAAATAGATCCATATTTGGATGTGAAATAATCCCAAATGTAAAAGGTGCTTCAAAGCTCAACCCAGTTACTAACCCGTCATCTGTGTCACTTGGAAAGAAAAAAACTCGGTGATTTTGCTGGAAAAAAATGTTGGCCAGAATCCCCAGTTGTTGGTGACAATCCTAAATTTGCGTTCTTACACTATATATCTTAAACGATCATATCGTTGGGAAACGTAGCTCCTTAGCTCCTTAGCTCCCTCCTAACCTCTGGGCATCCCAAGCTTGGCCAAATCCTCATCATCGTTGGTCTAATCAAGCAATGAACCAATTTTTTTCTGGCCAGAACGAAAACACCGTTGTGAAAAAGTAAAACATCAGATCCCATAGATCCCATTATGCCGCGATGTCATTGTAGATCCTAAACCCAAACAATCACACACCAAAAATCGGGCAAAAAAAAAGGGGAAAAAAAAAACAGCTAAAATCACAAGTTCTTACCAATTTTGGTGTCTTAACTTAGCAGACTTAGCACTTTGTAGTTCCTCATTTCTAAGGGAACAACGGATGCCCCAAGATACAGCCGCCGCCAGGGCGTGCCAGGCCGAATGGAGCAGCGAATAGGCGACCTCCGCGAGTTGCCCGGTGGGCCTTGGCTGCCGTAACTGTTACTATAGTTTAGGGTGAATTGATGGGACATATATATATATATATAGTGGATATATGGGGAATATGACTCATTGTGGTTCATTTGATATTAATTTGATGGTGTATTACTGGAATAGATGTGGAGAATATAACTAATTATGGTGAATTTATGGTTTGTTAATGGGGAATATAACTAATTTATGGTGAATTGATGGGGAATATAACAATTACGAATGGGGAATAGAACTAATTTATGGGAAATTATAGTTGACTGAAAATGGTGAATTGATGGGGAATATACAGTGAATATATGGGGAATATATATAACTAATTGTGGTTAATTTGATGTCAATTTGATGGTTTGTTAATGGTGAATACAACTAATATAGTGAATTTATGGGGGAAAAACTAATTATAGTGAACTGATGGGGAATTATAGTTAATTGGGAATGGGGAACTATAGTGAATTGATGGGGAATCTATAGTGAATATGTGGGAAATATAACTAATTGCGGTTAATTTGATGTTAAAGTGGTGGTTTGGAAATGGGGAGTGTAACTAATTTGTGGGGAATTGATGGGAATATAACTAATTATAGTGAATGTTAATGGGGAGTATAACAAGTGTGGAGAATATAACAACTTATTAATGGGAGATATAACTAATTTATGGGCAATATGTGATGTTAATTGATGTTAATTTGATGGCTTCTTACTTCAGAAAATGATGATGTGGTAAATTATGGAATTTGACAACTTGTTAGTTTGATGACTGTTTTTTCAGAAAATGATGGCGATGGCGATGGCGATGCCCAAAAGGTTTGCTAAGTTCGTGGGCTTCAAAAAGGCGAGTCACGGGAGGCTGAAGTCCCTGGGTCGGTCCCCGGGTCGGCTGTGTATTTTTGATTGGGGTCAGTTGTTTTCACCTTGCCAGGAAAAGATTGAAAAGAAAAGATCTCTGGCAAAGGCATGCTGAAACCACTAGCTGGTTGGTGGTTTAGTTTCAACCCCTCTGAAAAATATGACTTCGTCAGTTGGGATTCGGATCATTATTCCCAATATATGGAAAGTCATAAAATTCCATGGTTCCAGTCACCACCAACCAGCTGTCGAAGTTGGAATATTTCACTCTGTGGTCGAGCCAGCTGTCTCCCGGAGTTTCGGTGTCAATTGGGCCTCCGGCCTCATCCGAGGGATTTGTTTTACATGCTGTAACCAACAACCAGGAATTGCCGATATGGCCATATATTTAGCGAAACTCCCATTTTTAGTTGTCAACAAATATGTCAGACCCTGTTCCCAAACTTCAAATCAGAAACCTCATGAATCTCACAGCTCCAAAAACACACCGAGGTGCAACAGGGATGGAACCACGAAGCACAGCAATGCAATAGCTGCAACAGGAGCTGCCTTCTTGCGTCCTTTGTAGCCTCAAGTCATGGGAGATACCCAGATGTTTTGTGGGCTGTGAAGTGCCGTAGAATGTGATGCAAAGCAGATCTATTTCACCAACCACATGAGCTGGGTTTGCTATTTGAATACGAATGATGAGAAACCATTCAAGTCATGATTTAGGGGGTACCTTGTCTGTCTACAAACCCACTTTTTAGAGGCTAAAATATGCAAATGATTTGCTGTACCCATAGGTTCTCTTGGTGTACCACCAACGCACCTAGGGAGACCGAAGTGTCAGAGACGTCGCCGGTCTGAACCGAGCAACGATAGGCCAAGTAGAGCCCAAAAGACACCGAGAGCAGTACATCTCCAGCCTTAGAAGAGCCCACGCGGCAGCAGGTTGGTCTCCAATTGACCCAGCGTTGAAGACGTTAATCTACCGCGTTGCAATAGATTTAAGAGCTCGGCCAAACCAACCTTCGCAGAGTCCTGCATTGGTCTTCCAAGGCCCCAGCTTTTGTCTTTGAACAAATGGATCCACATATTTCCACATTGAGCTGGATAATCGTTGTAGGACGTATGATGACAGTGGGTATTGAATTGGACCCCCTGAGGTAAGTATCAGTTGTGTTCCTTGGACAATCACAGGAGTTGGCAAATGGTTGTTAGATGTGTTAAAACTGTATATGCATGTATATACGTATATATGACATTAAATATTCCTTGTGACCAGTACCATTTGCAATCCGTTGCGCCCGGATACTGTGCATTTGCAACTGACACTCATCATTATATTCATTATATAGTCATTATATATATATAGTCATATTATATTCCTTATTCTTCATGACCCTTCCAACCACAACTGCAAGTACTCAGCTCGGATTGTAATTTCCATATGACATTCCAGTCACGTCTCAGTGAGGACATTGTAATTCACCCACTTAGATGTTTAGAGTAATTCCCTTCCCTGAATACTGAATACTCCCCAAACAAAACTTTGGTTTACGGCTCAACGCCCATTTTGGATGAGATTAGACCAATACTTACTGCGTAAATCCCAGTAGTCCCATAAAAATGCTGGCTATATCACCCTTGTCCCAACTATCACCATTCATGGGACATCACAGTTGCGCCCCAGCCATGTGACACACGCGCATCGCGTGGTGTGGTTCAACGGACCGTGGACGGGATGCAGCTGGAAGCCGTGGTAAATGGTGGAGGCCATCGTCACCATGGCCTCGGCACGCCATGACCGAAGGCTGTCTCTGACCGATTTACCGACAAAGAAATAGATGTGTGTGTGTGTGTGTACATGCACATGGATAATTACATGTATATGCAATATCATAGGATCTCAGGATCCGTATGTTGTATACATATACTGTATATGTATCTATATATATATATAGATAGATAGATAGAGAGAGAGAGAGAGTTGTGCATAGGTAGATAGGTAACGGAGGTAGTGTATATCATTGTACATCCATATATCTATTCACAATCACTCAAAGTAGCGACATTCAGCAAAGAACAAGCTTTACCTCGCTGAACCCTTCCATTTGTAAGAGAGGTGATTGTGCACATGTACCAAATCTCTTGACCACCACCCGACACCAGGTCCAAAACCGATCTTTTTGCACGCAGCTGGCGTTCTTGAGTCTGGCGACTGGCCATGGTGATGAGAATCATTTTTCACAGGGGCGCTCCACCCAATGGATTTGAAACTGCACTTCTTTGCCTCTTGATGTTGCAGACTGGTTCCACCACTCAAGCATTCCCATTCCGCAGGAACTACACATCGGTCCCGGAGACGCCGTTGTTTTCAGTGTCAAGTAGCTTTTGAAAAAACCGCCAGCAAAGAGAGGACACCCAGCAAGCACAGCCCAATGATAAGTGTGGGATCCATTGCAGGAATCCTGCTACTTTGAACAGTTCCGTGGCTGAACTTGTTGGAAAAGCCCAAAGCTGCAGAGATTCTTCAAGGTCTAGTATGAGTTCGAACTTGGGCAAGTAAACCCACGAAAAGGTGGTTCACTTTAGTGGAGCTTTAAAATTGAACGGAATTAGAAATGACCGTAGTTTCCAGGGACCCATTGTAGTGGGTCCGTCCTCCATCAAAGGCTACTGCATTGTTTCCAATATCTCAAACCATCTATCGTGGGGTTGTGATCATTTTGACCCATACCCAAATATCCCCCCAATGCTGAAAATTGGGTCTGTCTGAAAATAGTGTACCCCTAAATCTATTCGATTAGAATCATTTTCCCTATTAAAATCGCCATTTAGAGCGATACCCATTTTCAGACAAATCCATATCTAGACTCTATCCAGACTACCCAGTGCTGGTTGGCTCAAAAAAAAAGATTTTCTGCATCCACAACCGTGGCCTCACGGACCCGTTTGAAATTCCGGCATCAGATGATATAATTCCAAGATACATATCATATAACACATATGTATATGTGTATTTATATATATATGATGTATGCGACAGATATGTATGTGTATATATATACATACACGTATAATTATATGTGTACATGTGTGTGTAACAGATATGTATATACATGTGCATATCACTTTTTTCCCGCAATATCTGGACCAATTCTTCGTCCCCCGCTTCTTGTCCAGGCTACAATCCACACTACCTCCAGGGTTTTCCTCTGGATCCAGAAGAAGGGCACCAAAGCCGCGAAGAAGACGTTGGAGAAGAGGCAGAGGCTTCCAAACCTGGTGAGGTTTAACAAGGGATAAAAAAGGGAGATCGTATTCAAGATGGATAACTGTGATTAGTTTGTTACATAATTGTAGTATAATGATGTATAATAACCGTATCCAAAATATGGGTAATTTGCTATATGATTGTAGTATAATGATCTTATACAATCTGGAGAATTTGTTACATACTATGACTTTAGTATAATGATGATATTATCCAATCTGGATGATTTTATGGTTTATTTTAGTATAATGATCTTATCCCATCTGGATAATTTTAGTATAATCTTATTGCAGGGCTACTGATAGTGATACAGTAACAGTAATGACTCACTTTTTCGGATTAGAATGATAAGACAAAAATAGTAACAAAAGTCATAATAATATATGATGATACTAGTTTGGTAATGTTAATGATAATGATGATAGGGATTACAGTAATCAAAAATAGAATAGCAATCAAGGAATCATGAACAATAAAATATCCGCACATGATTCGTTGGGCATACCCTCTAGCAAACAAACATGGCTGGGAGTTTCCACCAGTTCGATTTACCTATTGAATCCTGCTGGTTCATTCGAAGTTTTGAAGCATGCCTTGATGCCTTGCTTCGTGGGGAGGCCAAGGTATTCTTTAAAAATCATGGAGTGTAAGGTATGTGCAAATATATCTTATACATATATAACATATATATATATATGCATACATACATGTGCGAATCCCTGTCAATCCACAACTTGAGAGACACACCGTAAATTGGACTGCCATAAGATAGGACAGAATCGGGATGTATTCACCACTAAGTACAGCAATTGGCATAAAAAAAATGCGGTTTTTGTCGGGGAAACAGCAAAGATGGTACATATATATATAGTCGGGTTTTACTATATTTTACTGTTCTATCTTTTGGGTACTATATGTTCAATCTATCTTTTACTCCCAACCAAACTCCAATTCCTCAACCAAACCAGTGGTCCTATCCCCGCCAGGTCGCAGGGCGTCAGGTCGCCCTGGTTCAGAGATGAATTGCAACACACTGTGCAGACCACAACCGCAATGGCCACAGAGAGTATGGTGATGCCAATGTCCTGTGGAGCCGGGCGCGCCGCGGACAATTTTCAAGCCTCGCTAAGCAGTGGAAATTTTGGAATGGTGGCCATGGGGAAAAGAAAAAGAAACAAACTATCCCGACAAGAGACCCCAAACAGTGTGTAGTTAGGATTCTAAAGTGAAAGGTGGAAAGGACAGAAAATCATCAGTGGCTAGCAGGACCAGAACGACCCTAGTAGTGAAAAGAAGAGATAGCAGGTCAGATTCCGCAAGTTCTTTTCGTGAAGATCTCTGTAGAAGATCGTGCGCAAGATCTCCTCGAGATTCTCTGTAGAAGCTGCTGTGCAAGATCCCTGTGTAAGGCTATCTGTACAAGGTGTCTATAGGAGATCTTCACAGAAGATCTTCGTAAGGGATCTCAAATTAAGATCTCTGTTCAAGCTATCTATAAATGATCTCTGAGGAAGACCTCTACTCTCTTCACCAGGTCTCTGTACAAGATCTCCATAAGAGGTCTCCTGGCAAGATCTGTGTACAAGAGCTCTATAAGAGCTCTCTCTGCACAGATCTCTTTAAGAGGTCTCTTGGCAAGGCCTCTGGACAAGATGTCTCTAAGAGGTCTCCTGGCAAGATCTCTTGACAAGCTCCCTCTTGGCAAGATTTCTGTATGAGATGTCTCGTTTTGTGCGAGCCTGCGCAGTGGAAATGCACATGGACATTTCACAAGAGAGATTTTGTCAGCAAAAATGGCCGGGGACACCTCTGCGGACACCGTTTTGTGCGAGCTGCCCAGTCGAAATGCACATGGATATTTTGCAAGAGCCATTTTGCGCAGAAATTTACCGGGAAAATGCCGTACGCGACGACAGGGGACATCGATACCACCTCGAATGAACACCCGGCCTTAACCCTGACCGTAAGAACCCCTTCAGTGTGGCCACACTGTTTGGGGAAAAAATCAAGATTTTGGTCGATTTTGTAAAAAAAAAAACAGGTGGTGTTACAAATATGGGAGTGAATCCGTCTCAAATGGAAACTCCACCACCCAAAACATTGCTCTAAGGAACAAAGACGTAGTGCAGAAGGGTTCATAACTCGTAACTATAACCACAGTTTGCAAATCTCGATCATCGCTCTTGCAAAGCAGGACTTGTTTTGGCACTTCCTGGAATCATCACCGATTGACTTTATCTTTTCTTAGAGGAAACCCATGTTTTCAAAAACCAAACTTTTTTGAGATGTTTTTGGCTGAATTTGTTCGGGTTCCTACAAATTTTCCCGCGAAATCAAGTCTGGGACTCCCAGGTTCATGGTGGGATCCCACCTCCAGCCCCCATCGCAGCGCGCGCCACATGTAGAATGGCCTACGGGCGATCAGTGCAGAACAGTTGGACCCTGTAGGCCATTGGGGCTAATGACCCCAAGACCAAAAGAAAGAAGCGTTGTCGTTTTTAGGCGCGAACTATCTAACTTTGGGAGGTTGAACATGTGGCTATTCTGTCTCTGCTTCTGTGTCATGTCTGGCTGGTTGCCCTACGCATCTTGCCGATGTTCCCAATTCTGAGGGTACCAAAGCTCTGGACACATTTCTGGTCCATTTCTGCTTGTGAGATGCCCATGACCTTCCATCAACATCCATCAACATTGGAACTTCACTCCATGGCCCAACCAGGCCCAAACCTCAAACCTCCCCAAAGCTCCAATGTCAATAGCACCCCCAGTGCAGCCAACAGCACGGTGCATAGAACGATGGAAAGCCCCAGCAGCCAGAGGCGTGGATCGCCCATGCTCGACACTCCAGGCGCGGCTGGACTGACAAAGTGTGTGGCCTTGGCTGACAAAAACTACCAGTGAAGGTTTCCTGACGGGGGGGGTACCCGTTTACCCTCTGGTAAACCAACATAGCTATTGAAAATGGCCATTGAAATAGTGGATTTACCCATTAAAAATGGTGATTTTCCATAGTTTTTTGTATGTTTACCAGAGGGTAACATCCAAGTCATGGATGACCATGTTGGTCTTACAACCCAACGACTGGGGATCCACTTAAGAAACGCCCTTTTGGCGTTCGTGGCCAGGGTGCAGTTTGTCTGGCTCTCGTCCCAAAAGGTGCCCAAGCGCCAACATCAGGCCTCAGACTGCCCATGGCTATGAAATCCCCGAAGTCAATGGGCGAAATGAAAAAATATTGACAAATCATGGAACTAAGTGGATCTAACTGAGGGATTTTCCATGATTTTCCATGGAAGTGATTGCCAGGGTATCGTTTTGGGTTGAATCAATCTTTATCCCAACCCGTGGAGCATCTGGGATGTACCATGGCCCTCAATGGCCTGCTGGACAACATCCCACGGAGATGTTTTTTTCCGTTGAACATTGGGATCGTTCAATGGATTACAGTAGAAGAAACAACATCATATATATATATATTAGATATATATGTACATAAATATATTCATTGTTTGTTGGATGTGTATATATATATAGTACATATATGGTTGAGGATCAAAACTGTGAATCTGGAAATCGACCGAAAATGTAGTAGACTTGCGAAACTTTGCTGAACCCAAGTTCATCTTTTGCGGGACCCATTTGGGGCAACCCAAAATCTCTTGTGAAGACAGGGCTCATGCAGGTCGCATCACAGAATCCCCTATCACGACAGGTTGTTGCTTGTTTGCTGGCGTACATGTGCAAGGCTTACTGGGACATCCGCGTAAAAAAAAAAAGCGGGTGAACTCTCACGGGAAAAAAAAAACGTATAGGTTCCTTTAGATTACATATATACATATGTATGTATATATGTATGTATGTATATATATATATACATGCATTTACATGACATCACGTTACGTTACATATATATATATACACACATGCATTTACATGAAATTACGTTACGTTACATTACATATATGTGTATATATATATATATTGGCCCAGGCCAGCAACGCCCCCTCCACGTCATGGTCATGTTCTGTATGTCGGCTCTATTTAGGATATAGTTTACACACCCCGCCCCCCTTTGGGATGGGTGGGGTGTTATAGAGGTATCATGTAGACAGTATAGGTAGTACAAGGCTAGCACGTATGTATAGCATAGGAGATCTTGACAGTTGCTAGTATATTGCTACTATAAAGGTACCTTATGGGCAGTAGCAAATTGTAAATAGATTGTATGGGCATACTGGTAGTAACCCTGCAGGTATCATGTAGGTAGTCCACACGTAGTACGTGGCTGGCACGGATGTATAGCATATGAGATCTTGACAGTTGCTGGTACAGTATAATATGGTTGCTGTAAAGGTTCTGTATGGGCAGTAATAGGTTGTAAAATGTAAATAGATTGATGCAGGGTGTAGCTTGCCCCCACGCTCCCTCTGTGGGATGGGTGGGGTGTTATAGAGGTATCATGGAGATAGTGTATGCAGTAGGTAGTACGTGGCTAGCACGTATGTATAGCATATTAGATTTTGATAGTAGCTAGTACATGGCTGCTAGAAAGGTACTCTATGGACAGTTCACATAAGCAGTGAACCCTGCATGAAGGTATCATGTGGCTAGTGTATAGGTGGCAGGAGGCCAGCATGTAAGTATGGCATATGAGATTTTGACGGTTGTTCGATGATGGTCGTACATGGGCAGCATGGTCAGGTATGGGGGGATACCATGGGGGGGCTGCCGGCCGCCAGCCGGGACCATATATATATATATCCTAATACATATGTGTAAAATCTAGCTTTCGCAAATCCTTTTCGAATAAAACCGGCACTTGAGCGAGCTCGGAAGAACTTTCACGAGGAATAAGAGCTATCATGGCGGAACGCAATCGGAACTCCTCACATCGACCTTTAGATGATAATCCTATACATATGGGCATTTCCTGAAATAAATAGGGATACTGTACCTCAAATCATGCAAAATTAGACCATTTTAGTATTGAAACCCATGGTTTGGGGGTACCATCATTCTAGCATAGAGATATTCTCATGATAGAAATTGATCGTCACCATTTTTGAGCCGTGTTCCTTTCCAAACCCTGGGAACACCAAGGGACTTGAGAGTGGTCCATGGTGTCTTGAACCACTTGGAGGTGCTCGTCTCAACATTGCCTCGGCCAGAGCCAAGTTCCTGGGAAAAATTTGAATCTTCTGAGCAAAACATTACTGTATATGTATTCATATTCAATCTGGCTGAATAATAATGATAATTATAGTAGTAATATCTAGTAATAAAAAATTTTAAGGATAAGAATCATTCACAGCCTGAAAATAGATGAGATAAGGCCATTTAGGTATGATTCCCTTCCTAAACATCATTCCAGACACGTCACGACGTGAGGTCCTTTCTTTTTTTTCATCCAGATTCAGTCAGATCTAGAGGTCAAAATCCTCAAATCAGCCAATTTCATGGTGAAGTCGCCAAGTGAGGTCATGATAGTTTGCCCAGGTCATTTCGCAGCTAAAATTGGCAACAACAAAAAAAATAAAAAAATTGGCCAGGAAATTCCCCTGTTTTTTTTTAATTTGATGATTTTCCCAGCTACGGCTGGGAAACTCCATCCGTAGCTCCAACTGCCTCCCCATTGTTCATAGGAAATTAATCTACCCATAGCTCCAAACCGCTCCCTCCGAATCACTGCAAATTTATGGGTTTGTCTTAAATAGTGTATAATTACTTGTCAAAACAGTTATTAATCCCTTCCTCCTAATACTAAACGTCCCCCTAATACTAAAAACAGGCATCCATCTCCAATTTCCGAAAATTTCAGTTTGGCCAATTTGACTTTTAATTGATCCCCTTTAAAAAACAATTCAAAAATCAACCTACCATTTGTGGGTTCTCCCCCCTAATACTAAAAACTAATTCATCCCGGGCTGTTTAGTATTAGGGGGGCTAGTTTTTAGTATTAAGGGTTTTAATTTAGTATTAGGGGTAAGCTTCGAACTGCCATTTTTGGCAATATTTTAATTGCGTTATATAAGGAAATTTAATTGATTTTGAGATCGGAAAAAATAGTTTTTAGTATTAAGGGTTTTAATTTAGTATTAGGGGTAAGCTTCGAACTGCCATTTTTGGCAATATTTTAATTGCGTTATATAAGGAAATTTAATTGATTTTGAGATCGGAAAAAATAGTTTTTAGTATTAAGGGTTTTAATTTAGTATTAGGGGTAAGCTTCGAACTGCCATTTTTGGCAATATTTTAATTGCGTTATATAAAGAAATTTAATTGATCTTGAGATCGGAAAAAATAGTTTTTAGTATTAAGGGTTTTAATTTAGTATTAGGGGTAAGCTTCGAACTGCCATTTTTGGCAATATTTTAATTGCGTTATATAAAGAAATTTAATTGATTTTGAGATCGGAAAAAATAGTTTTTAGTATTAAGGGTTTTAATTTAGTATTAGGGGTAAGCTTCGAACTGCCATTTTTGGCAATATTTTAATTGCGTTATATAAGGAAATTTAATTGATTTTGAGATCGGAAAAAATAGTTTTTAGTATTAAGGGTTTTAATTTAGTATTAGGGGTAAGCTTCGAACTGCCATTTTTGGCAATATTTTAATTGCGTTATATAAAGAAATTTAATTGATTTTGAGATCGGAAAAAATAGTTTTTAGTATTAAGGGTTTTAATTTAGTATTAGGGGTAAGCTTCGAACTGCCATTTTTGGCAATATTTTAATTGCGTTATATAAGGAAATTTAATTGATTTTGAGATCGGAAAAAATAGTTTTTAGTATTAAGGGTTTTAATTTAGTATTAGGGGTAAGCTTCGAACTGCCATTTTTGGCAATATTTTAATTGCGTTATATAAGGAAATTTAATTAATTAATTAACATGACTTCGATTTGGTTCCCTAATAATAAATACCCCCCTAATACTAAAAACTACCTGCCGTGTTTTGTATTAGGGGGGGGGAGGTTTAGTATTAGGAGGAAGGGATTATATACTCTAATGTTATGTTATTTTACTAGTACCAGGGAAACTGGTGATCATCGTATCCATCTGAATTGGGACACCTCCGAAACATTCGCCATGTTTGTTTCGGAGCGAGGCACGCGTCGGCCCGCGTTCCACCGCATCCACGCTGGGCCGTGAGGTCCATAGGAGCCACGAGCGGTTATTTCCAAGAACCACCAGGCAAACCTTGGAAAATCTGCAGAAAATCTGCAGATGATACAGCCATTTTTTACACCTGCCAAAAACATCCAAAAAACCTTTCTGGCTTTCCTGTAGATTTTCCCTTGCCATCCATGGACAGATGGACTTTGAAACCTCCCATGGGGAGTCATGGAGAGATTGTTGCCAGATGGGGACGCATGGAGATGGAATACTGGATTGCTCTGGGAGAATTGCGATGATGTCTTAAATTTAAAGCTGCTGAAAATAAAGAATACCTGGAATGGGGTGATCCCAGTCCCAGACCCTCCAAAATCTGCATCTTGTGGTTTTCCTATGTTTTCTTATGTGTGCCTCGTTCCTGCCCAACGTCGCAACGTCGACGCCGAGAAACGGCTAGGACCAGCGTCCATGCCAGCCGAGGATCCCTAGTCACCTCAGAGGGAACCCTGCTATTCGCTGCTATTCACTCATGAATTGATGATGATTGACGGTTGAAATCCCACCCATTAAAAAAAATGGTAAACTTGGGGGATGGTCTACTTTGTTTTACTAACATCAGCAATTAAATCTTCATTCCACCAAATGTATCCAAAATCCTCTGAATCCGGATTGTGCATTGCAGTATTTACACCAGAAGCCCTTTAAACCAGAGGTCTCCAAACTAGCTACTCGTGAAACCGAGAAACCTCTTGATTCTTTCAACATCCATATATATATATATGTATATACATATATATATATATATCAATATTATATACAATAATATATACAATATTATATACAATATTATATATAAGATTGATTCCCTGTAGTTTATATATATAACATAGTATCTAGTATATTATATTATCTTATATTATATTATATTATATATAGTGTAGGATACATCTATATATATATGTATATACGTCATATCAGATATCAGAATGTATATGTCATCTTATATATATAATATTATAAATATATATATATCATTTATATATATATCATTTATATATATATATCATTTATATATATATATATCATTTATATATATATATCATTTATATATATATCATATATATATCATATTATATATATAATATTATATATAGCATATTACATACCATTAACTGATATTACATTATATACAGTATCTGAAACTGTTTTAATATCGTCACCGGTCAATTCTATGATTCTACATGTCTAGTGACCGTGCTCCAACGAAACTCCCCTCAGGGGGTTCATTCTTCATATCAACTAATGTGGTAAAGCCAATGACATAAACCATCCCCAACTGAGGTTTATGGCAGGGTATACCTCTATGACTGGGATGTGGATAATGTCAAATGATCTCAAGTCATGGTTGTTCGATGGGATGGTGACTATGGTATTGTTTTGACATGTTTTACCCTCTGGTAAACGTACATAACTATGGAAAATCACCATTTTCAATGGGTAAATCCACTATAAATTGCCATTTTCAATAGCTATGTTGACATAACCAGAGGGTACCACATTAGCAAAAATCCAACCACCATCCGCCAACCACTTGGGATGATCCACCACCTTGCGCTGCATCGTTCGCCTCCGCAGGACCCCATGGGTAGGGTGTGCTGTTTGGCTACTCTGCAGCTAGTTTGATCCTAATCATCCACAAATGCCAATCATCCTACCTGCCAACATTCCTTGGGGACACAAATTAAACATACTTTGAAACCACCTGTACCAGGCACCTTCCGAGCAGCTTCACGTTGATCCCGGAGCCAAACGGGTCACGGAAGCCAGCGGTGCTGGGAGATCATCACGTGCAACGAGGGGAGAAACCAACGAAGCATATCTGATTTTAGTAGTTTAGGCTACCCTCTGGTTATTTAACATAGCCATGGAAAATGGCCCATAGAAATAGATAGTTTACCTATTAAAATGGGGATTTTCCATGGCTATGTTAAATAACCAGATCGTATATCTAAAATCTGTTGAGCAACCTTCCCGTGAGTACACTTTGGAGTGTTGTTTTGGAGCTTGCCCGTTTTCACATGATCGAAAGCCCACACACACTCACACATGGGATGTTCATAGATTTTTCGGTCAAGACAACCCTTCACCAGTTGGGTAACCTGCAGGACCATCCTCATCACTCACCATGAAAACTCTGCAGGTCTCTGTGTTTCCCATATGACACGATGAATACTTGACGAATCACTTGACGAAAGACGAAAGTCAGACCTGGGAATCCACAGACTCTGGTCATGTCCTGTAGCATCCATGTTTGAAAGATTTTGCACCATAACATATGGCAACAGTTCAACCATTGAAAGAGTGTGTAATCGGAGAAAATGATAGGGGAAAACAAAAAATCTGCGGGAAAAAAAGAGTTGCAGTACAGACTAGCAAGGTGTGATGCACACTATTTACTAGGGCAAAGCCGAGGAAAGGTTGGTGGACGACTCCAACACCGGCAAAGGGCAGTTCAAAAATGCAGCATTATCTGAAAAACAACTGATATAATGTTAGTACAGCAATAATAAACATTCCATATGTTGATCTATAGCACCCATTGATGGTAATTTTAGTATAAACATCTTTCCAGCGCACTGGGATTCCAAACCACCCAGAAGTTGCGGAAGAACGGTGGAAGAATATCCTGCCAGGCGCCAAGCACGGAAGTCAGCTCGCAAGTACCATCTGGGCAACTATGTATGCGCATATTATGTATCACATCATCTGAGATCATATCATATCATATCATATCATGGTATTTCATATTATAATTATATTATGTTATGTTATATTGTATTATATCATGTGATATTTATGTGTATACAGTATATATAATGCATATTAGTATCAGTATTTCTATGTATCGTCATGTCTATATGTTGTGTCTATATATGCTGACAATGTGTATGGGACGACACAGGATTCTGAAGGCACAGTTCATTGCGATCCCCAAACTTTGCTGGTCAATGACAAAGGATTCAAAGGATCACCCATTCCCCCGCAATAAACCCAGCCGAAAATGAGTATACCAGTAGATACACCACTATACCAAGTTCTTTAGGGTACCAATGACTGGTTTAACTTGGTCACTTTTGCTCGTCAACTCGTCAACTCAGCTCAAGACCAGCCTCGCGAATGTAGCTGGGTTCAACACCCTCTGTGGCAACGCACTGCTTGACCACCTGCAATTATCATTCTCATGTGAGAAGATGTGAGAAGCCCTCATCCCATTTTGTTTATTGGGATTCCTAAATGGGTCATATTCCCCAATGAACCAGGGCACCAGGCAGCACCCCCGACAACAATTCAACTAGGGATGTGGTCAAAATCAGCAAATCACGCCTTCAGCACAATCTTCTTCATCTCCTCATCTGGAGTCGAGAACTCTCGAATCAAAATGATCATGACCTGCCATGATCAAAGCGAAGCCGGTACTGCTGGGGTTTGGGCGCTGCGAAGCCAAGGAAATGACTTTGAGTTATAGAATGGTTTCCTGGAACCAAACACAGAACTCTGTTGACAGCTAGAAATACCTCTCACTGCTTTGAAATTTAAAACAATCCCCATACCTCCAATAAAACTCCACGTGCATGTGAACTTGGTTTCTTCATTCACCCGGTGAAAGTGAATCTGGTAGAACTAGCCCTTCTTTTTCTACGCAGCTGGCCCAAACCTTTGGCAGGTCTCACCCCATCAAATGTCAAACATCTGTCTTGGTTGCACTTTCACAGTAGCCATGAATCTTCAGACTACAGTAGTTGGTGAACCGCCCATGTTCTGTAGCCATCTGGGTATGGGTCAATACCTATAGATACATTTTTAGTGGGATGAACATCCATAAATCCCAGCTATTTTGGGGTTCACCAGGGGTACCACGGTTTTGACCCATCCCCATCTGGTTCCACTAAAAAATTCTCCCAACTTTCCCATCTTCGCCTCTCGAGTGTAGTAGTTGGCATGCTCTGCATCCATCAGAGGAATGATGAACCCGATGGCCTTCAGGAAGGCCGCCAGGCCCTTCCCGCGATGCTCGCAGATGCCTCGGCGGAAAAAACGGCACGGGTAGAACCATTCGGCCATTCGGCGCATCGTGGTGAGAAAAGGTGCTATAACTGCTATAAGAACCATAAGGATCCATACTATGAACCAGAAGGATCCATAAGGTAGATCGGTTATGATCTGTTAACCATAAAACTGTGATACGAAAAGAAGCCCAGGAGCTGTTGTGATGTCCTATGGCTCCGACTGGGTCAACATCTGAGACCCAATGACTTGACCCACAGCTACTCATGTCATGCCATAGGGAACCATAAGGAACCCCAAGATATGGATGGCAAAGTGCTCATGGGCTTCATGTCAACCCTGAGAATCTTAGGCTAGCACAATACCCTCAGGTTCAAAGCAATAGTAGCAACATGTAGCAACATCCTGGATCGTATCACTGATCCACCCCAGTTGCAAAAGTTTCCCTTTTGTAGCTGTAAATATAGATGCGTCGAAAAAAAAGTTAAAGAAACATCAAGACAATATCAAGTCATAGCAACCCCAACAAAACAGATAGAAAAGGTCAAGCACCTGATCTATGGGGAAAACATCATCGAAACAACATCCTGGTCACGTTTCATGGGGATGCAACCCATTTTATGGTGACCCACCCAACAGATGATGTTTTTTGGGGCCCAACAGGTGATTATTGGTGCTTAAGCCCTTCATCATCCTTTATTGGGGAGCTCACCTTTGGGGGCTGTGGGAAGGGAATCCTTATGATTTCTGGGGACCCCCATCAGAGTTTTTGTTCATTTATATCCCAATTGGACATACCGACATACCCCAGAAACGTGGACATATCTCAATTGGATCATATATGGCTCCCAATCATAGGGGTAATACCATCCTTGAAAGTATGTGAAAATAAGGGTATCATCTCATCACCCCACCACCGAAGCGGCCAAGAGACCCTTCCACAGGGGTCGCAGCACAGTATCGAAGGCCTCGATGCCGTATGGCATCGCAGCCTGATTTTTTCCGGATGGAGCCAGCATCAATGGAGGATTTAATCATCGAATATTACAATATGGCGATATATGGGGAATATGGTAATGTTACTATAAATATATCGAATAACGTAACAATATGGTTTACCCGAATTACTGGTGTTTTTTTATCTAGAGAAATGCTGAGAAACCAGTGGATTTAGGGGAGATCTTCAGACAAACCCGTGTAAAAAACACCAAAAATCAGGCTGTTCATGTGGCTTTTGACCGGCCAATTTTTTTCGCAACTTTGGGACATAAAAACACCAAGAAGTTGCTTCAGATCCCAACAAATCCCAGTATAAACAAGCCCTGAAGCCCACGAGATTTGATAAAAAATCGCATCAAAACCCTAAACCCACATCCCACAAAAAATTGCAGTCTGGAAAAATCGACTCCTATCAAATCCTTCCAGAAAAATCCAAAACATCAATTGGTGCCACCAGTTGCAATTAATCTTTAAGCTGGGTCTGTCTGGATATACGGATATACCTCCAGAATGGCAATGTGACTATAAGGAAAATGATGTTCCAATCGGAAAAAGGAGCATATTAAAGCTACCCTACCCTTCAGACAAACCCCAATTTAAATGGTTCGGGTAAATCCATTGATAAGTTATATAAGTTGATGAGCCCCATTTTTTCTGAGAAAAGTTCCCCCATGTTTTGAAGGAAAAAACAACCTCCCCGCCTCTGCCAATGCGGCCAACGCCAAGGCAGTGATGGTGCGCACCTTCTGTTGCTCGTCCTGGACCATGGTTAAGTATGGATAAGTGGGTCGAAGTTTGAAATTGGAGAGCGCAAAAACATGAGAAATCGAGAAATCTATGGATATATATATAATGATATGTTATCAAAGGAAGTTTAGGGGGAGAAACTTCCGTGTTACGGACTTTTAGAATGTCAGGGAAAGAGTTAGTCAAAGAAAGAGTTAGCAAAGAAAGAGTTCGTCCGGGAAAGAGTTAGTCAAAGAAAGAGTTAGTCAAAGAAACAGTTAGTCAGGGAAAGAGTTAGCAAAGAAACAGTTAGTCAGGGAAAGAGTTAGTCAAAGAAAGAGTTAGTGAGGGAAAGAGTTAGTCACAGAAAGAGTTAGCAAAGAAAGAGTTCGTCAGGGAAAGAGTTAGTCAAAGAAAGAGTTAGTCAAAGAAACAGTTAGTCAGGGAAAGAGTTAGTCAAAGAAAGAGTTAGTGAGGGAAAGAGTTAGTCAAAGAAACAGTTAGTCAGGGAAAGAGTTAGTCAAAGAAAGAGTTAGTCAGGGAACGAGTTAGTCAAAGAAATTGTTCCCTCACTGTAAATGGGATTGCAAGTGGTGCTGGTGGAGGAGTTGCCGATGGAGTTTTGAAGGAAGTCTCGCACGAAATGCGTTTTTGAGAGATAGCAGATGCACGAAAGCCTATGTTTTTCCATACAAAGTCCGTCCCCGAACCTCGATGATCTACCTCTGCGGTGCGACGGGTGCGAGACGGTCTCGTGTGTGGTCGGATCATGCTCGGATCATGGTCGGATCATGCTCGGATCGGTTCCGCATTGTAAATGGGGTTTCAACTGTTTTTCGTGCATGTGCGGTCGACAGAATTCCATTGTGATTTGCAACTGTAGGATCGTTCCCGCATTGTTGCAAGTGGTGCTGGTGGATGAGTTGCCGATGGAATTCCATTGTGATTTGCAACTCTAGGATCGTTCCCTCACTGTAAATGGGATTGCAAGTGGTGCTGGTGGAGGAGTTGCCGATGGAGTTTTGAAGGAAGTCTCGCACGAAATGCGTTTTTGAGAGATAGCAGATGCACGAAAGCCTATGTTTTTCCATACAAAGTCCGTCCCCGAACCTCGATGATCTACCTCTGCGGTGCGACGGTTGCGAGACGGTCTCGTGTGTGGTCGGATCATGCTCGGATCATGGTCGGATCATGCTCGGATCGGTTCCGCATTGTAAATGGGGTTTCAAGTGTTTTTCGTGCATGTGCGGTCGACAGAATTCCATTGTGATTTGCAACTGTAGGATCGTTCCCGCAATGTAAATGGGATTGCAAGTGGTGCTGGTGGATGACTTGCTGATGGAATTCCATTGTGATTTGCAACTGTAGGATCGTTCCCGTATTGTAAATGGGATTGCAAGTGGTGCTGGTGGATGAGTTGCCGATGGAGTTTTGAAGGAAGTCTCGCACGAAATGCGTTTTTGAGAGATAGCAGATGCACGAAAGCCTATGTTTTTCCATACAAAGTCCGTCCCCGAACCTCGATGATCTACCTCTGCGGTGCGACGGTTGCGAGACGGTCTCGTGTGTGGTCGGATCATGCTCGGATCATGGGCGGATCATGCTCGGATCATTCTCGGATCGGTTCCGCATTGTAAATGGGGTTTCAAGTGTTTTTCGTGCATGTGCGGTCGACAGAATTCCATTGTGATTTGCAACTGTAGGATCGTTCCCGCAATGTAAATGGGATTGCAAGTGGTGCTGGTGGATGAGTTGCTGATGGAATTCCATTGTGATTTGCAACTGTAGGATCGTTCCCGCATTGTAAATGGGATTGCAAGTGGTGCTGGTGGATGAGTTGCCGATGGAATTCCATTGTGATTTGCAACTCTAGGATCGTTCCCGCAATGTAAATGGGATTGCAAGTGTTGCTGGTGGATGAGTTGCCGATGGAATTCCATTGTGCTTTGCAACTGTAGGATCGTTCCGCAGTGTAAATGGCTGCGTCAAGGTTGCTTCGTGCTGTGGCTGCATTGGTAATACTATTGTCTTTTGCAGCTGGATCTCGTAAATCGTATTGGAGTGGCTGCATGAAGGCTGCCACAGTGATTTGTCAGCAGATTTTCTCCATTTTGGCGCTAGTGATTTTCCTTCTAAAAATCCTTTTAAAAAGTGCTTCAAAATCGTCTTTTTTTCGCTCTGGCGTCGAGATCCGGTTTTGGAGCTACAATTTCCACGCCGTTGTGCGTAGTTCTGTTGTGTTTTGCAACTCAGTCTCTGCAGATCGCATTGTAATGGCTGTGTCAAGGTTGCTTCGTGCTGTGGCTGCATTGGTAATCCTATTGTCTTTTGCAGCTCGATCTCGTAAATCGTATTGGAGTGGCTGCATGAAGGCTGCCACAGTGATTTGTCAGCAGATTTTCTCCATTTTGGCGCTAGTGATTTTCCTTCTAAAAATCCTTTTAAAAAGTGCTTCAAAATCGTCTTTTTTTCACTCTGGCGTCGAGATCCGGTTTTGGAGCTACAATTTCCAACGCCGTTGTGCGTAGTTCTGTTGTGTTTTGCAACTCAGTCTCTGCAGATCGCATTGTAATGGCTGTGTCAAGGTTGCTTCGTGCTGTGGCTGCATTGGTAATCCTATTGTCTTTTGCAGCTCGATCTCGCAAATCGTATTGGAGTGGCTGCATGAAGGCTGCCACAGTGATTTGTCAGCAGATTTTCTCCATTTTGGCGCTAGTGATTTTCCTTCTAAAAATCCTTTTAAAAAGTGCTTCAAAATCGTCTTTTTTTCGCTCTGGCGTCGAGATATCCGGTTTTGGAGCTATACAATTTCCGACGCCGTTGCGCGTAGTTCTATTGTGTTTTGCAACTCAGTCTCCGCAGATCGCATTGTAATGGCTGCGTCAAGGTTGCTTCATGCTGTGGCTGCATGCGTAATACTATTGTCTTTTGCAGCTGGACTTCGTAAATCGTATTGGAGTGGCTGTATGAAGGCTGCGACAGTGATTTGTCAGCAGATTTGCTCCATTTTGGCGCTAGCGATTTTCCTTCTAAAAATCCTTTTAAAAAGTGCTTCAAAATCGTCGTTTTTTCGTTCTGGCGTCGAGATCCGGTTTTGGAGCTACAATTTCCGACGCCATTGCGCGTAGTTCTCTTGTGTTTTGCAACTCAGTCTCCGCAGATCGCATTGTAATGGCTGCGTCAAGGTTGCTTCTTGCTTTGGCTGCATGCGTAATGTCTTTTGCAGCTGGATCTCGTAAATCGTCTTGGACTGGCTGCATGAAGGTTACGAAATGGATTTGTTAGCAGATTTTCTCCATTTTGGCGCTAGTGTTTTTTTGTTGCACGTAGGTTTAGAGCAGTGTGAAGTGTGGGGCGTGAAGAGTGCAGTGTGAAGTGTGCAGTGTGAAGGAAGCAGTGGGAAGTGAGAAGTGTGAAGTGTGGAGTGTGAAGTTTCAGTTTGGAGTGCGAAGAGCGCAGTGTGAAGTGTGAAGTGTGAGGTTTGGAGTGTGAAGGAAGCAGTGAGAAGTGTGAAGTGTGGACTGTGAAGTGTGAAGTGTGGAGTGTGAAGTTTAAGTTTGGAGTGCGAAGAGCGCAGTGTGAAGTGTGAAGTGTGAGGTTTGGAGTGTGAAGGAAGCAGTGAGAAGTGAGAAGTGTGAAATGTGGAGTGTGAAGTGTGGAGTGTGAAGTTTCAGTTTGGAGTGCGAAGAGCGCAGTGTGAAGTGTGAAGTGTGAAGTGTGAGGTTTGGAGTGTGAAGGAAGCAGTGAGAAGTGAGAAGTGTGAAGTGTGAAGTGTGGAGTGTGAAGTGTGGAGTGTGAAGTGTTGTGAAGTTTCAGTTTGGAGTGCGAAGAGCGCAGTGTGAGGTGTGAAGTGTGAAGTGTGAGGTTTGGAGTGTGAAGGAAGCAGTGAGAAGTGAGAAGTGTGAAGTGTGGAGTGTGAAGTGTGGAGTGTGAAGTTTCAGTTTGGAGTGCGAAGAGCGCAGTGTGAAGTGTGAAGTGTGAAGTGTGAGGTTTGGAGTGTGAAGGAAGCAGCGAGAAGTGTGAAGTGTGAAGTGTGGAGTGTGAAGTTTGAAGTTTGGAGTGCGAAGAGTGCAGTGTGAAGTGTGGAGTGTGGAGTGTGAAGACTTTGCTTCGTCTCTCGCTGAAAAAATCAAACGGTTGTCGAGGGAAGGACACGGTCGGGACAGGGTGTCTTTGAACTATAGGTCATTTATGTTTGGGAAACTTCCGCCGCCGGCTTGCCCGGGTCTATGTTATTTGGAGATTATATATATATGGCAACAATTGGAGAATTCTCATTGTTACTTCCCAATGTAGCAATGTGCTCGAAACGTTCAGCTTCACCAATTCCAACCTGGAGACCATGGGCGATGATGTCCACCATCTGCTTCAGGTGTGGCAACACAGCGCATCCCTGGCACCGTTGGAGGTTTGTAGATCATTTTCCTAGGGAAACCCTGGGTGTTTTTCCCATATCTGTGTCAGTTTGCCCTGTGGTACCCGAAAATGTTGAGGAAAACCCCGAGAAACCCTATTAAAACGACCAGCTCATCCCTGCTTGGTCCGCAGGTCTACACGCAGACAGCTCATGTCATTGCTGGATGAACTGATGATCTCCTCCTATGTCTTCGGCATGAATCTATGGGTCCCTCTGAAGTGCGACTGCTTGACATCAAAAAAGGGTGGAAGTCAGATGCATGACTCTTACCCCCTAACCAATTTAAGGCCAGCAATTTGGAACATGCAATTTCTTTCATCCCCAAAAGCTCCAAGGCCCACCATGAGGATGGCGATCTGCTGCACCTCGGGGGGGGGTGATTTTGGGTGACCCCCCGATTTTGACAGATCTGACAATGGGGATATTTTTCCCATGGTTTTTCCATGGCAAATCATGGTAGATCATGGCAAATCATGGTAAATCATGTTGATAATTGGTGATTTCCATGGCAAATCATGGTAAATCATGGAACATCATGGTAAATCATGGTAAATCATGGTGATCACATCTAATGAACATGATTTTTCTTAGCAGTGCTCCTGGTTTGTCTCCTGCTCACCCAAGATAAAACTGGTTGGTTGCAGTGGTCTTCCCAGTTCTTCCCTGGAACGACTGGGACAACGTCTAGTGAGGAGGTCAGGAGCCACAAAGCGGTCGCTGAGGCTCTGACAATCTTGATACCAGTATGTCTGGCTTGCCAACTCTTTTTTGATTGGCACACCTGATGCGACAGCCAGTGACAGGCAGTGACCACTAACTCTCGCACGCTGGTCCTATGACCTTGGTCATCAATAATCAATGCACCAAGTTAAGCACCTTACTCTGGGGAAACCAAGCTATGATTCTGTCCAAAATTAAGACCTTCCACGAGATGACTGGGTCGGTGGGATTTCCATTGACAAAATATCTGCAAGTCTTAGGCCCTACTGTGGCAATGTAAAATTACCTCACCGAACACACCTCTATATCAATCGATTTGAACATGGGCAATCCCAAATTGGAGTGGTTGATAGAGATTCCCAAAACAGTAAAACTGCTTAATAGAATACTTCAATCCCCAATTTTATAGTTGATTTCTTCGTCCAAGCCCCTTCCTCAGCATCCAACTCTGGTAAACCTCAAATTTGTTAGCTATATAAATCACCATATTCCCTCAGCTAAATCCCCAAGCTATTCAGCATCCCAATACTTTTGCTCGGTTAAGCCAAGTTTCTTTATTATTAGTTGTGTCACACATGTTTTGTTTTCGGGATTTCCCTCATAGTCACCCGCAAACAAAAGATAGAAAAGATACATTCGTTTCCACTGACAAACAATATATTGGGATTCCACCTCAAAAATCTGAGAAAATCACCCACTTCTTCATCTTTCTTGGGTGTTTCACACCCTACTATCACCCAAATTTTGGTGAAATTCTTGAGATAGCAAGATTTTCACTTCAAAGATTTCATCCAAATTCTCGGGATCGTTGCTATACCCTCTGGTATAACATACCTTAAAAACTCTGGAAAATCACATAAATCACCATTTTTCATGGGTAAATCAACTATTTCTATGGCCATTTCCCAGAGAAATCCATGGATCATCCCCTCCCCCCCAGCGCACCGCCCGCAGGAAGAGCAGCAAGGACGGAATACCCAGCGCAGAGGCGACGACCGCAAAGGCGCGGGCCGTGGTGTTGCGCACGTACCTCGACCGGCCGCGTTGGAAGGTGGTGGAAGGGGAAACGCCATGACCCGTCCACGATGGGGATGAAATGGGATGAATATTCACCTCCAAAATGTTTGGGGGAATGCAGATGCTGTGTGAAAAATGGAATTATAATGAATTATATATGGTTCATATTATGATATGTTTCAAAGCTTTGTTGATGGCAAGTGTCTTTTAACACCAGCAAAATATGGGGATCTCTAACCTACAATAAAATTGGAGATCAAACAGATAGAACATATAGAAGATATAGGGATTTCAACTAGAAGAATTCAGAAATTGGATTTCTACCTAGAAAGATGATCGAAGGAAGTTTAGAAGTCAAACTTCCAACAATATGGACAGATGAAAAGCAGAGCAGGGCAGAGGCAGAGAGAAGAGGAAGATTAGAAGAGAGAAGATCAGAAGAGAAAGAGTAAGAGGACAGAAGATACAGATGCGCGAAAAGGTAGGAAAGTCGCGAAACACTGTGTTTTTCCAATGGTTTGTGGCTCCGGAGGGTCGAAAAGTAGGCTCGCTAAAGCGGCGAGTGCGGACCCAGCTGGCCACAGGAACGATGAAAAATTGCACGCCGTTGTGGCGCGAAGCACATTACCAAGTCAAAATGTACAAAGCACCTCAGCTCCGGACCACTTTTGGAAGTTGCGATGTCGAAAAAGTGCACGCCGTTGTGGCGCGAAGCACATTTCCAAGTCAAAATGTACAAAGCACCACATGTTCGCGCCACTTTTGGAGGTTCGGATGTTGAAAAGTGCACGCCGTTGTGGCGCGAAGCACATTTCCAAGTCAAAATGTACAAAACACCTCAGCTCCGGACCACTTTTGGAAGTTGAGATGTCGAAAAAGTGCACGCCGTTGTGGCGCGAAGCACATTTTCAAGTCAAAATGTACAAAACACACCATTCTCGGACCACTTTTGGAAGTTGAGATGTCGAAAAAGTGCACGCCGTTGTGGCGCGAAGCACATTTCCAAGTCAAAAGTGTTAAAAACTGACGGTCTCGGGTCACTTTTGGAGGTTCAGATGTCGAAAAAGTGTCAAAAAAGTGCACGCCGTTGTGGCGCGAAGCACATTTCGAAGTCAAAAGTGTAAAAAACTGAGGGTTTTGAGCCTTTTTTGACGTGAAGATGTCGAAAAAGTAGACACCGATTAACTTAACTAACTTGACTAACTTAACTAACTTCACTACCCTAACTTCGACGACAACAGCAACAGCAACAGCAACAGCAACAACAACAACAACAACAACACCAACCACAACAACTACAACTACAACAACAACAACAATAGATCGATAGATGGAGAGAGAGAGAGAGAGATAGATAGATAGATAGATAGACAGCTAGACAGGTAGACAGCTAGACAGATAGACAGATAGACAGATGAAAGAGAGAGAGAGAGAGAGATAGATCGATAGATAGATAGATAGATACATAGATAGATAGATACATAGAAGATAGGCTGGTAGGTAAGTAGATAGTCAGAAAAAGAGAGAGAGAAAGAGAGGAGACCTCAAGCACCTTTCGGTCCATCAGTGGATTCGCTTTGCCATCCCTGATTCACAACAACCAACCTCTCCTATAGGTTTCCTATTTTTGAAACTTCCGCCACCGCCTTGTGCGGTACTACTGGTAAAATTGAAGCTACAAGAATTGGGGATTTGCTACCAACAAAATTTAAGGGGATTTCACATGATTTCACCTACAAAATACTTGGATTGACCTCCAGGCACTGGGAATTGAGCTCCACAATGTTGGGATTTAATCCACAAAAAAATTGAATTAACCGACCAAAATTGGGGATTGTTTGCATTTGTTGACTAACAAAAGATGACATTCTTGCTTACGTCCCCATTCTTGCGTTTTGTGTTTATCCCCGGAGTGTCTTTTAAGGACAAATTTACAGGAAACTCTCATGGTAGGTAGGTTGGAAAAACACGGTTTCATGCAGATGTGCTCTGAAATCATCCCACTAATTGACATGCCAGGTGGTGAAGAAAAGGACCAGAAGATTTTTGCGGGAAACTAGTGAAAGAGGTAGAATAACCAAGTTCAAGCCCAAGTTTGCTGCTTTCTCGATATCCAGACTTTAGTTTCTATCTATATCGTATATGGTTTGGTCTGAAAATAGGGGTACCCCAAAATGTTGCTGGTGTATCATGGTTTATCATCACTTCCCCCGGTAAACTTGCCACAAGTCCCACCAGAAGCCAACCGGCGCACTCATCTGCGTGGTCGATGTCAGGTCGCATGGTAGAGATCATGGTGGCAAGGCCTGGTGGGCGCGGGGGACTGAAAGATTGGCTATATCCAAAATTGGAAAATGATGACCATTGGATTTTCGTGGTACCCTAGATTCAGACCGTGGGTTATTCCTCCATACATGTTGCTGAAATTCAGGCGGATACATGATTGAGTGGTTGGTCAATTAACATTGCTTGCATTGATATCTGTGGAAAACGGGAGGATGTTCCAAACAGATTGATACGTATATAACTTACAACTACCACACCTGAGATCACTGATCTATATATTTTAACCATTTTTCAAGAAGAACAGGTAAGAAAGGTGTGTCTCACTGTGTCTCAACGTGGTTGCCTGTCGGTCGTCATTTTCTACACACAAATAGGATGCCCGGTATCGGTGTCGTCACATCAACTTTGAGACATATGGATCGGAGGTTTCCTGAAATGGCGGTACCCCTAGATCATCCATTTTAGATTGGGATTTTCGAGGATTTTCTTTTTAAACAAATTTGGGGATACCCCCATGACTTAGGAAACCTCCACCAGTCTTTCTTGGATAAGTTCAAGTCCATTTGGGGACCACATCGTGTAGCGATTGCTTCCCTCCAGCTAGGACACAGGGAATCTGACAAGACTTCTGGGATATCTAAAGCTGGTCTAAACTCACCACGTCTTGGTCTTGGAAGATTGGGCAGTTTCATTAAGATCCAGAAACGGTACGGACTTTGGTCGGTGCGCCGTCTTCGGCATCATTTTCTCTGCGACATCTGCAAAACACAGAAATTCTTTGCTTCCTGTGAGTTGCACCGCAAGCCATTGTGCGGCTGATTTCAGCTCAAATGGCTGGTGCCAGCTTGAAATCTGCTGCGAATCCTGCATGGGAAAACGATTTGGCGAAAGAAGGATGATGAGACAAAAAATCAAACAATCTGGTTTTAAGGGGAATAATTCCAAGTACCACGGCTCAAGGCCCCAGTCAAAGTCTAGCTGCGAAAAATGAACGCGGTCAATCTGTGTCCCAAAAAGTTTGGTATTCTGACTGTTTCCAACTGTCAGCATCTTCTGTCGATCATCAGAGCTTCCTTCATGGGATCAGGGCGACACAGCGACACGTTGTCAGATCATGAGGGTCGTGAAGGCGTGCCCGCGACCATCAGTCCATTCCGTTGAGACCATCTGGTTCATCTTTCATCAACAACTCCTCGGTGCTAGTGGAATCTGCCTCATGTGCACGCCTCCAAATAGGGTTTGGTTGAACTCATGGAGCAGTTGAAAAGTGGAATCCAGTCTACTTTTGGGACACTTTTCGTGGTCGTCTGTTTTATGTATCTTACAGGAATAGCCATCAGTACAGTACATAGAACACCAGAATACCTTCCAGCGTCAAATCCCTCGTGCAGTGCCTCATATTCCATTCTATATCTATATATTTACATACATACATTCATATCATCTACTACTAACTACAAATGTATATTTCTATGTAAATGTATATATATATATATGTGTGTACTGTATAGCATATCATACAATGTATATATATATATAATATATATATATACATATATTATGACATCTCCTGCAAGATGATTCCATAAACCCCGCAGCCGGAGTTCCAACTCTCCCGCGACGAGCGCGGCTGGAAGCAGCGGCGCCATGTTCACGTCCAGGTCGCGCGAGAGCAAAAGACGCAGCTCCTGGAGCTGCACCTGGAACTTTCAAGGCATCTGAGGATGCTACTTGGGTGGGTCTGAAAACTGTGCGATATTTGTTATACGTTATTCAAAATGTTATCTATATATACAGTATATACATTGATCATTACTATTATGACTAAATATTATTGTTTTCATTATTATTGTTGTTGTTGTTGTTTATGCAGACGGATCTTTTACCGTCCCACAAAAGTGGGGTTGGGGGTGGGGTGGGGTGGAGTGGTACTAACTTTCATGTACATGTTCATACATCACCGACTTTAACACCACACCTAGTTATCTTAGACTGTACGTCAGGGGTACGTTGGGGGTGGATGGGGTGGGATATTAACTTTCATGTACATGTTCATACATCATCGACTTTAACATCACATTTAGTTATCTTAGACGATACGTCAGGGCTACATTGGGGGTGGGTAGGGTGGGGTGGGGTGGGGTGGGGTATTATAACGTTCATGATATCTAATTATCTTAGACGATACATCAGGGGTACGTTATCTTAGCTCTGCGACAGCTGATGAGCTGAGACGAGGCGAGCAAAAATAGCCTTTTGCAGATCGCTGCGTTTTGAAGACAGAAACGCTGTAAGGGTTGTCGAACCCCGAAAAAAAAAACATAAAAACATATATCATGCATTTTTCAACCACAAAATCTTCATTTTGCTGTGACGAAAACGCGAATTTTATAAAATTGTGGGACGGTGAAAGATCGGCCGGGGTGTTTATATACCCTGCAAATGGCAATTTAAACACATGTTAACCATGGGAAAATGCTGATAAACCATGGGATTTGGTGGGTAGCCTATTTTCAATCCCACTTGGAGCCCATGGATGGGAATACTAACCAGCTGGATTAATCTAAGCAAGGGAGTATCATTAATTACCCTCCGGTAATCAAACGTGGCAATGAAAAATCTTCAAGAAATGGAGGTGTATAGTGCTGCTTTCAGTGTTTGACGTTTGACGTCCATTTCGTGCGAAAGGGTGAAAAATGTCCAGAAAAAATGTGTCACTTTACACGATTTGTATTTGATAAATAAATACGGTTATTCGCGAGTGCGTCTGCGTGTCTTCGCATCTTCACGTCTGCAGATCTTCGCGTCTTGAGATCTTCACGTTTTCACATCTTCACGTTTGCAGATCTTCGCGTCTTGAGATCTTCGCGTCTTCACATCTGCACGTCCGCAGATCTTCAGGCCAGCAGATCTTCACATCTTCAGATTTTCAGGTCCTCACATCCTTACGCCTGCAGATCTTCACGTCTTCAGATCTTCAGGTCTTCACATCTTCAGTTCTGCAGATCTTCAAGTCTTCTGATCTTCTCTTTCTTGCTCTTAGTCTCAAGTCTTCAGATCTTCTCTTTACATCTTCATATCTTACATCGACATCAAAGATTCATTTCCTGACATCTTCATTGCTTACATGATCATGATATTGGAGCTTCAACATAAACCCTTTTCGCTCTCGGGCCAACCGTCGAGTTTGTTTCTGTCCAGCTGGGTTTGCCAGCTGCGCATCACGCCTGAACTCCCAGGTGCAACAGTGAACGCTGCCAAGCTGCTCAACGGTTCCTGCAAATGAATCATGAGATGCCTATGCAGTGGCTTGGCATATCTTGGCACTATGATTCGTCAGGGCTCATGCAAATAATGATGGTCTTCTTTCTCTGAACCCTAGCTAGCATGCTCACATCCTAGGTCCAAAGCCGACATGTTCGAACAAGACCGTTGCTCCTTTCAGAAGAAGGCCAGTCACGTCAAATCATTTCCCACAATTTCCATGAATATCCATGAACATCCATGAACAATGATTGATCTGCCGGCAGGTGGGACTTTTTGCGGCCGGCTTTCCGTGCACACCCTACTCCTGCCTCCATGGAACTTCGACGCTTCTATGGGATGGCGAGGCTGCCCAAATGTGGGAAACGATCAGACGGCTCAAAAGGTTGCTGCCAGCCGCTGCTGGTCTGAATTTTGATTGTCATCGATGTGCTGTTCAATGTTCAAAACACATTGGCCCCACTCCGCATGAGTCCTTACTCTAAGACCTAGGCTGAATGCCAATGGTTTTGGATAGGTCTCAGTTGCAAAATTTTGGTAGCTTAGCCGTTTCCAATTCACTAGATCCCTTCTGTCTCGCGGGTCAGGCTCTTCCTATGAGACAAGGGAGGTGGAATGTCTTCGGACCATCGGGCCATTGAGGTCCACTTGGTGGAAAAATGTTTGCGTCCGAAAATCTGAATGCCAAATTCAGCATCATTGCAAAATCTTATTGGCATTGCATTGCACTCATCACCTAGAAACAGCAATCATTGTGCCATTGTGGGAGGTGATCCGCTGGCCCGCACTGTGCAAATGGAACAATGACCAGTTCTTCGTTGTCTTGGAAATCCAATCGGAATCACCCAAGGCATGCAGTGATGCGGAGCCATGTACACTTCGTGACTTGCTGCACGAACTTGAAGAACAAGGCTTAGCTGATGTATCGCTGCATTCGCAAACAGTTGAACGACCTGGTGCTGGATCAGAGACATCTTCAGGTGCCTCATCAAATTTTAAACTGAAGTCGACAGCATCCAGTCATAGGTCATACTGTTTTGGAAGCATCCAACCCTTTGCCCAGGTTTGGATTTCTACAATGTGAAGCCATCAGCTTCGGGGCCCGTGTTCTCCTGCCCCTGGATTGGCCAATTTGAAATTCTCTACCATTGCTGGCGCGTTCTCTCGTGAGGCTTGGTTTTGTTGAAATACATCATCAATTCATCAACATCTCATTCGGAGACTTCTCCAAAAATGGTTTCAACATCTCAATAAGATTGACTTCAGACTTCATCTCCCAGAATGGATCTTCTGTGATCAATTTCACCAACATATTTGGTGCCTCGGATTGTATTCACCCCCTGACTTGGGCGTCCCAATTTGATGCGACATTGGCGAATGACCTTCTCGAAAGCTGACAAGGAGTCTTTGGGGGGTTGTGTTTCTGAATCTCATCCTCCCCAAAACCAAAGACTATGATGGCCAGTTGCTAGGCATCCCATCCGTTTCCACCCTTACCCACCCAACACTTCCACGGATTGCCCACTGTGCTCAGGAGCTGACCCCTCGAAACTTGGGCGCAAACAGGAAACCTTGACCATGAACTCTGGTGATGTTTTGCGATTGGTCTGAGCGGTGGATCTTAGGGTGCGTTCCGACGGAGTGCTGTCTGATCCTGCGGTCCATGGCTTAGTTCCAGGGATGGACCCACCAAAAATTGAGGTGACACACAACGATTGATCCAGCGACTTTTCGACTCGTCGTTTGATTCCAAAGATTCACCCAATGATGGGCTATCCGCTAAGTGGTTCATCCATGATTCTACCAATGGTTTGTCCAATGATCCATCCACGGTTCTTCCAATGATTTATCCAGCCTTCTTCGAGTCAATTAGCTGAGGATTTGTCCAATGATTCATCCATTATGCTTCCAATGTCCTGAAATCTTATTTACAGTATCCAATGGTTTTCATCCAATGACTGCCATCCACCAATGACCGTCATCTAATGATCGAACGATTGTCATCCAATCATAACTGATGGTGGACAACCATCTAACCTTGGAAATGCCTGTGCGGTGACCTTGAGAGAGAAGGCGAGGGGGCGTCCAAAAAGTCTCTTGGCTGCCAGTTGAATCCAGGAATCAAACATAATGAAAAGGGGAGCGAATGCAATGAAATGCACTTACATCCATTGTGAACAGTCCATCATTGATGGCATTGGTTTCTGGGATTGGTTAGCTGGGTCCCATGACCTAGCCTTCACAACTTGGAAAATGATCAAACGGTTGTCACTGATCTGGTTTCTGGTCTGGGCTAACCATCCACCGATGCTTGGACACTTCGCTGAAAGGTACCGGGTGCTACCACCTTAGGAAGAAACAATGATCATTTGTCTGTTGTGGACAGCATGGAGGACAACCACCGTCGCAAGCGGGAGCACAATACTACCAAAAGGACGTGCGCTGATTTTACTTATGCTATACATTTTGGCCGTTTTTGATGTCAAATTCGAACCGTCCAAGGCGGGGAGCCAAACCAAAATGGCCCAAGTATCACCAACGGTGGGTCGACTCCCGTATTGCCGCGCCCCGCTCTCCTGTGTTGCGTACAGCATGCCGCCTGAGATAGCTGAGCTGAAACTGACAGCGTGGAAATGATCAACCCTGCCGCAAAACGATTCTACACTTCAACGATCCTGCCTCCACGGCAAACCAGCCCCCTGGAGTCGCCACAATTTGCCATGGTGACGATGTACCTGGTGTCGTGAGAAAGCCGCTGGCTGAACAAAGGCTGACCGTAAAGGGTGCCTGCACATTGGAGCCATTTGGGTGTACTTGGTGGTGGCTCCTTAAGGCGGGCGACACCAAAAAGTGGGAAGTGGATACCTTTCATGAGCCATGTGGTTACAAGTCCTGTCATCCGCTGGGGTAGCCAAAGTTCGCCAAATCAGCAGGCGTTATTTTTGGATTGAACCATGCGTTATTTTCTTTTGGGAGGGGTCACCATTAGGTGCTTTCAAAACACCAGCGGAAATTTCCATACCCAAAGCTGAGCAAGTAGAAATCGCTTGCCCAGTTGGCACCAATCAAATCAAGTGTAAAACCTTGCGACACCACCCATCACCAAACAACAGCACCTACCACCTACCCTTGGCACTGGCCGGGAGCCAGTGTGTGGATGCTGCAGGCGACGCAAGTGGTTCCGGACTCATCCTGGGCTGCCACAATGCCACAAAACTTAGAGAAAAAGACCAGACAATTAAAGATACGACTCGAGAAGAGGTACTTGTACAAATTCTGCTTCTACCTTATACAGAGGTGTTCTTATTACAAATAAGTATAAAACAATTAGAAAGTTAGATCAAAAATGCACCTGTCCGTGGCGGCATTCGAAAAACCTTCCCCACGGGGTCCGGAAGATGAAGGCGTAACCACTGCTCGCATGTGAAGAATCCTT